CTTGGACATCCTCTTGTGTACCACAACCTGTGTTCTACATGGCAGGTATCCTTTGTTGTGTCATTTGAGATCAGACAAGCTCCAGGAAGTAGCTGCAAGATATCAACGATAACGATGATGATGATGATGTGTGTGACCATAGCAAGATAAAACAACAAAAGAAAAAATCCTGGAAAAAGACCAATGTATAGGGAAAATGTGAATGACCTTGTCAGCTTTTGAAGCACAAAACCCGCAATCTGGAGAGGAAGACTTCAAACACTTCATGCAGTCCCAAGCTGCAGAGTTTCTGGCTGAACTATAATCCGGGCAGGTGTAGTTTGTGAAGTGAGACGTTTCGATTGGGCTAACAAGAGGAGAATGGGAAGTAGTCTCATGGAAAACTGCTGATAAAAGGCCGAGTGAGATAATAACTCCACACAAACTGATGATGAGAAGCTTCTTTCTGCCAGTCCTGTCAATGAAGTATATGCTCACAATGGAGCCCAAGGTATTGAGACCAGCAGTTACAAGTGAGAGAAGCAATGCAGTTTGATTGGATGCAATCCCTGCCAGCTGAACTATGGTGGGACTGTAATACATTACTGTATTTATGCCCACAAACTGCTGGAAGACCTGAAGGCCAACACCAGCAATCAGTCCTCTTCTCACCGTTTTCGTTTTGAAGAGTTCAATAATGCTAATTTTGTTTGAAGAACCTATTTCTCGGATCTCAGTTTCTACGGACTCCTTTAAAGCTTGGATCTCTGCTTCAACCTCATCAGCTGAGTATATTCTCCTCAGTATGGTTTTGGCTTCTTCTTCCCTCCCCTGTTAGTAAGAAAGACAAGTGTTCAATAAGATAAACCCAAACCAAATGTGTGTATAAATATATAAATATATAAGTGTTCAAGCCGTTATCATCAAGTCTTCATTGTCTTAAGAACATGTGTGTAACCTTTTGAAATACTTGATATGGAGTGCTTATATATGCATAATCTTGACACTTCAGGACTAAGACCAAGGGAAACTCTACTACATATACGTATTCTTAATTAACTTTTTGATGGAAGTACAAAAGACTAAAATTACTAGGCTTATAGTGCAAAAATAGAACCTTGCGGAACAGCCAACGAGGAGATTCTGGAAGAAGCAGCATTAGGATGAACTGAAGCAGAGCTGGAATTCCTGCAACACCAAGCATCCACCGCCATGTCCCGGGGGCCTAAACAAAAAACATCCACAATTTAAAGTTTAAGTGCTAAGAAGCCACTGAATAAACCAATTAAGCATGAAGAATAACACCCTTGTTTACCTTGGTGAAGGCCAAGTTGATGAGGTAAGACAGGAACTGGCCGCCAGTAATGAGAAACCCGTTGGTACTAACAAGGGCACCTCGGATTTTCGCAGGAGAAGCTTCTGAGATGTACAGAGGAGCTGTCATTGATGCCATTCCAACACCAAGTCCAACAAAAACCCGGCCAACAATGAGAAGGGCTGGGTTAGGAGCAGAGGCCATGACCACAGCACCAATGAAGAATAAGAAATCTGCTATAAGAATTGCAGTTCTTCTTCCAAACCTGTCATTCAACCATCCCCCTATTGCAGCACCAATGATGGCTCCAGCCACTGCCATGCTCACTATGCTTTCCTATATATTTGACAACACCATGCATATTGAATGAACATCTTTACTACTTTAAATTGAATTTTTTTTTTTCTGCAAATAAGTGGCATGGTTACATTGAAAGAATGACATATAAACATGAACAAATCCCATTTGCACTTAACAAGTTGGCTAAATTTTCACACATCTTATTAACACTTAACAAGTTAGCTAATTGTCAGATGAAATTTATTAGTCATTTTTTTATTTTTGTGGATTGACCCAAGGTTTGTTGGGCCCATCTTTGGCTTGAGGTACTTAATTGTAGCGGTGGAACCAATTGGGTTTTTGTTTGTTGGTCAAATTGAAGCTCAAGCCAGCATGTGTCAGGCTGAAGCATCTTTTGGACTCTTACAAACTTACACATTTAAAATGGATTAAATATAATAATTTATTCAATCTGTGCTGAGCAGCTGAGGTGCATTATTTTTGTCAACCAGCACAAGAAAATTACAAGGAGAACAAAAGATGATTGAAGTGGGAAGAAGAAGAAGAAGATAAGGAACACAACACAAGAAAGAAAACTTGGATTATGTGCTGTGTGTGTTTCACTTTCACCTCACCTGCAAGACAGTCTTTCTGTCCACAGATTTGAAGTCATCTCTGATGTAAAGAAGAGCTCCTGATATCACTCCTGCATATGTTTACCAATTTACACACAGTTAATTCACATGAGTCACTGAGCCACAACATAATGGCATAATGAGAGAGAGAGAGAGAGAGAGAGAGAGAGAGAGAGAGAGAGAGAGAGAGAGAGAGAGAGCATTTGAGTATTTGAGTTTTGACCTGTGTCATAGCCAAAGAGAAGGCCACCAATTCCAGCAGAGAAAGCAAGACGAAGAACATACGGGTTTTTCCAAGCCAAAGAGAAACAGTCTCTGAAGGCTGATGCATCTGCCTCTACATGTACTCCTTCCATTCCTTTACAAGAAAAAGAAAACACAGAGCCAAAGGCATAACCTTTTTCTCCTTTTCTATGAGAGAGAGGTGTACTAGGTAGCCATAAAAGGGCTGGCTGATTGGTTTGAGAGAAAGTGAAAGAAAAAACTAAGTTTGGGTTTTCCTAGAAGATGGAAGCTAGGAGAGAAAACTGAGAAGGGAGTGAGGCAGAGAAAGGGAGTCCGTGAGAATTTATGTTTTGTCTTTCTGTTGGAGAGAGAGAGAGTGAGAGAGGTGGATGGATAAAATTACCCAATTAATTATAAAGAAGGGAGAATTTGAATTTGAAATCTGTTCCTTTTCATTATACACCAATATACCTTCTAACATTGATCCCATCCATTTTTTTTTTCTGAGAGATTGATTGTAAGTGCTAATAGAGTCTCATATTTTTGGTGAGTATTAGGTACTGTACACTCATAAAATTCATTAAATTCGTATTGTCCTAAAGGGTTGTCACCCATAAAAAGATGCAAAAAAACAGAAAAAAAACTTGCTAAGTTATCAAAGTGCATGCAACATAAAGTCATTGACAAGTGGAAAGCCAAAATGGATAGGCTTTCAACTCCTCTGAGCCGACTGACATGCATGCAATGCAACAAACTATTGCCACTTTGCCTGTTTAGAAAGGGTTTCTTCAGCATGATACTTAAAACCTAATCAGTTACAACCAACTGAGATCAGACTAATCAATAGGTGCCCAATTAGCAAACAAAACATATACATTTTATATCACTTATTGATTGTGTGTTTCAGGGAGTTGTTATTGACACTTCAAAAATGTTATCGTGCACTCTATTTTCACAAAATTTGAGAGTTGAAATTTTAGTCCTACTCATCCTCATAAGAAAATCCTACAAGATTGACTATGACGCATAATTTTTTGATGCATAACGAATATTTGATCAGTATACGTGTCTGTCGGCACACATAAACAAGAGGACTCTCTGCAATACGATGAGTAGGAATTTTTATAGCAACACATAGATTGAGACTGCCTGCTAGCTTTTCCCCACTCCACTCGAGTGTCTTTTTACTTAAATACAGCATTATCACAAACGCAATAGCTATATGGTGATAATCATTGATGATGGGTCTCTGCTACTGCTTGGCAAAAGCAATCTATTTTTCCTCTAAAAGCGACTCAAAACATTTGATCTATATGGGTTAAAAAAACAAGGCAAAACATGAACATCCCAACAGTCATGGCAAAACAAGGCAAAGCTGTTGTTTGTTTGTTTCTTAATCTCTTTTTCATGCATGAACTCATGTGACTGATTAACTAGTCAACCTATCAATTGTTTAATATGAACGATTATCATGAATTCTAATATGAAATATTTTGAGGATAAGATAGCTGTAAACAAGCACAAAAATAGTCTTATCCTAATTTGGCCTCATTTTGGTCCACACGATTGGATTGAATTAGATCGAATTGTAAATTGTGCTACTTACCCTATCATGGAGGTTAGAACTTAGAATGAGTGGTTATTGTCATCCGATTTAGTGCATTTGTTGATTGAGAACCCAAAGGTGAAATTCAAGCCCAAATTAATAAGTACAACTCCAATATGCTTGTCCAAGTTATGAATGTTGTTATGCACCAACTTGTTATGTTTGGGATTGCTTTTTAGGAAGCATTTATGCTCATAAACAATTCTAGAAAAAGTGCTTTATTATAAAAACCTCGAAATATTCGTAAGAAATCCAAGTGCTTTTCTAGAAAACACATAGCATATACTTCTTCATAAAGTGTTTTTATGACGCATAAGCACTTTTAAATTTTTTTTGCTAAATGCTATCAGAAAACTCTTTTAACCCTTCCGAAAACACTTCCAAACAAACCCGCCATACCAATATTCCAAGCAAATATGCATATAATTTTTATTCATCATATGCGGAGTGTCGAATTAAATTCATGTTAGAAATTTGTCCAAGTCTCCAATAATGTAATGTGTGCTCTAAATCTTCCCATGCATCCCAAATTACAACAAGTTCAGGATATTCTGTCCAAATCTTAGATATATATATATATATATATATATATATATAGAGTGTTCTTTCACAAAGATGACAAACTTGCAATATACATAAATTTAGCACCATCGATTACGAACCGTCTGCAAGTTAAATAAAACCAATCTTTATATATCAAGGGAAAGCCGTATAAAATGGAGCTCCTAAAATCTACCAATCCAAAAACTTCCTCTCTCTTCTCTCTCAGATTATAACCAATGAACAAAAATACCAACTGTTGCATTTTCCCTCCATCACAACAGCTAGCAACCAAAACCAATTAACCTAAAATCTCCTTCTAGTCACATGATTTTAGGTACTTTCATTGGTCCTTTTTCCAAATGCTCACATTTGTTACACACAAAACACCATCATCAAACTTTCATGCCTTGTAATTATAATGGACACAGAACTCCAACTCATAAAAAACCTACCTGCACAAATACTGCGCAGAAATTCATCATCAAACTGCAGGACTGACCCGGAAATCGACGATGAACATCGATACACAAGCTTGAGGGACATCATATTGAACTCGCCACAACACAGCACCACAATCCCGGAGGAGAGTGACTTTGAATTCGACCCTTCGAACATCACGATTCGAAACCAGCTGGTGAAGCGTGCAGCCTCAGCATATGTGCAGTCAGCTGCAATATTGGCCAGCGGTCGAAACCAAAACTTCATTGCGAGCTTCTGGGGGAGGCTTAGGGGCAATGTGACATCAGGTACACGCTGGTACGCTTATGTTAGGAGCCCAATAGAAGCTTGTTTCAGGCCTATTTTGCAGTTTTTAGCTTGCATGGTTTGGAATGTGAGGACCACATTGAACATTCCAATCTCTTGAAGCTAATATATATGGTGAATGTTTCTCTTCTCCAAGATGGGTTTATTTTCTTTTGGGTTTTGTCCTTAAATTTATAGGCTTACAGTTCCATTTGTATGTAACACAATGTTGGGTTTGTGTTATAATTTCTGAGGTACATAATGTAAATTATGTGTAAATAGTTGTCTATAATTTATGATCAAGTATATATTTAATCTTCTGCTAACCCATTAATTCATTCATGGTCACCATAACTGAGCTAATTGGTTGCTGGCCTTCATCTGGGCTTGTGAGTCGAGAGCCGGAGCCCGACAGGAGGGCTACATTTTCTCCAACCCTGTCACATAATGTTTGGTATTGAACCTCTAGCCAGTTTGCTGCACCATTCATCTAAGGTGAGCTTCTATAATGAGGGGCCTATTGTTGAGCGGTTCAATTCATCCGCCCCCAATTCACCCTTTCATTGTAACCCCTCGTTGCAGTCTCTCTGTCATCTTGGCCCTGGTGAAGCAGATATTGGGCCTCATATAAGGACACATTTTAACACCATGGCCTAGTCCTTCTGAAGCAATCTTCTTAACTCATGATTAGGCTCTTCTGTTTAGATGCAGAGGACTTATTAATCACATGCAAGCTCTGTAATAATGAAGTATACTTTTCAACACTCCTATCCTCTATGCATGCCTTTTTGATAGGCAAATTAATGATCAATTAACTCCACTGTTTAGAGCAATTTGGAAATTGACAGGCTTTATGGAATTCATAATTGAATCTGACCAGCTAATGGATATAAGCAAGCACAATAATTATCTTGTTTTATTGAATTTATAAATAGCTTCAGAGGCTATAAAAACTGGTCGACGTTGAAAAAGCCGTACGAGGCTCACGCGTTCAAACTTTAAAGACATGAGAAACTGAGTGTGAGTAAGCAAATTGCAGCAATGCTCGTACTCTATATATCCCCCGTCTGCTCTTTGTCCCCCCCATCCAAATCCCATGCCTTTTACTATTACAATTAATTTGGTCACTTTTCTTTGCTCTCTCTCTCTCTCTCTCTCTCTGTCTGCAGCTTGCCTTCTCCCAACCCAAAGTATTTTTGTGTGACCAAGCAAACTTTTAATTTCTGTTGGGATATTTTTCCTTTCCCTCTTTCTTCTGTTTCTCTCATGGGCCCCTCCTGTAACTTACAGTTTGTAAGAAAATGATCATCGAAATGCATATGCGTTGTGGGTTTTGTTTGACTGACGCGTGTACGGTGGATGATCAATCATGCATGGCATTGGTATGTAAAACCCTTTAAAACCCACCCTTCCATTTTGCCCCAATCACTCCCTCTGTCTCTCTTTCTGTTTCATTGGGATCAAGTGCCCTGCTAGCAGCAGCCCTGCCCTTAAAAGCTTTTAGATTTTAAGGTGAAAACGTCCCTACACTTGAAGAGGAAGAGGAAGAAGAAGAAATTAGTACAGCTTAAAATTATTACTACGCCCTCTTATTTTGCCTCGTTTTCCAAGGTACAACATAATAATACACAGCTATATCTACCTAGCTTTCTCATCTTTTTTGTTCTAACTTCTTACCACACATTTCTAAAGTTTCTTCCTTTTTACTTTGTTTTCTTGCCTCTCAGGCCCTCTACTTTTCCTTTTCTCTCTCTCAAGGGAAAGAAAAAATATATCATACCAGCAATGCAGGTGGCAAAGAAATCAGCAGGGATTCCAATGGACCCCATCACCATGGCTGCTGAGTCAAGAGCGGGGAAACTGGCGGAGAACAATATCATGGGGGCGATGATGAGCCCTTATGAGATGGTGAGGCAGCTGGGGGCGTGCAACGCGGTGGTGGTGTTCAGCATGAGCGGCTGCTGCATGTGCACTGTGGCCAAACGCCTCCTCTTCAGCCTCGGGGTTGGCCCCTCCATCATCGAGCTCGACGAGCACGTGGCTGGGGCAGACATCCAGGCCGTCCTGTACGAGCTGGCGGTAGACGGCCAGCAGCCGATACCGGCCGTGTTCGTGGGAGGGAAGTTCTTAGGTGGCGTGCAAGCGCTCATGGGTTGCCACATCAATGGCACCCTCGTCCCTCTCCTCAAAGACTCCGGTGCTCTCTGGCTCTGATCATCAACATCATCATCATCATCATCACCGCCATGATCGTCATGTCATCATCTTAAAAGTGTTTAATTATTAGGTTTTATTAATTTCTAGGCTTATTACATATATAGTCTGAGCAGTAAGGTGGTTGTACAGACTATATGTAGCCGAGCTACTTAATATCAATATCTGACAGTTAATTAATATTACAACCAAGATTATATATGTTGCAATAATATTTCTCTCAATATTAATTTCTTGTTTTTCGATACATGCCATATTAGCGAATGAGGAATTCGAACACATAATATGCAGAATGATTTACCTTTAACCGCTTGCGCTACAACCTCTTTTCCTAATTTCTTGTTATAATAAATTGATGTTACATATGCTCTTTTTTATATTTTATATATATTTGTGTTTAATTAATTTTATGATATTGTTATATTCTGGAGAGGAGAGGAAAAACATGTACATATATAAGATAGTACCTGAACTGCATGTTGCCGGAAAGATGGTATATCGAGGATATCTGGAATAAATTCAAAGGGGAGTGACACGTCAGCTGGACCCACCGGACTTAGCCGTACTCAGATACTGAGGGCATGCATGCCATGCGAATACTGCAACTGCCTGTAGTTTCTCTCTCAGGCTTACATATTTGCTAACGGTATCTTTGAAAGAAAATGATATGCATTTGACCCAAACTCTGCTTTTTCTTTTTCTTTCTATTTTCTTCAATTACTTTCCTTTTCATTTACCAAAAGTAAATAGCTAAATAAATAAATAAATAACAGGATTTATTTTTCTTTCTGTCTGAATAAAAAGCATGTGCTTTTAACATGGTTTAATAATGGTTTATTCTATCTCAGAAAAGAGCAGACAGTATGAGTAAGAGAGAGAAAGAAAGTGGCTGTAGCCCTATAGGGGCAGCTTGTACGACTGAGATCTGCCCCCTCTGCCGCAAATGTGATCAGAGAGAGAGAGAGAGAGAGAAAGCTTTCAATAATTTTATATTTTGTTGACTTATTTTCTTTTACTTTGTTTTATGTGAGATGAAAATGGTTGGTTGTGGAAAGGAGATCAGAAGATATGAAAAATTTGACCATGATGTGTTGCCATTTCCTGAAACAGAGTACATGTGAGGACTCAAGAATCCCCAACATTTTTGTTTCCCTGACCTTCATATCCATTGGGATTGACCACTTTCAGAAATGATCTTGTTCTCATTTGACTCTTTGACTAGCCGCTACCTACTATATGACTATCAACTCTCATGCACAGATAAGGCACTTACTCATTTTCATTCTATGAAAGTTGAAACATTTACAAGAACACTTAATTTACTCCGTTGAAACACCCTATTGCACTTTCTTGTTTAATTTCAAGTAAAGACAAAAAGTAAAACAATACATCTTCAAGTTTTCAAAGGAAAAATGTTAGAGTCACTAACGAATTTCTCAACTGTTTTTACAATTCTCTCTCACATGACGTGAAACTCATGAGATAATGAGATCATACATGACCCATATAGGGCTCGATTTATGTGAGAGAATTGAGAAAATAGTTGGTGTGTGTAGCATTACTCATCACATGCATCTTTGATATTCAAATGGAATGGGCTGCACCTTTAAGGGTTCAGGACTAGAGTTGGAGGGGCGGGCTGGCGGTGGGATTTGGATTGGGTTGTGTGGGCTTAAACCAACTAAATATCAACGCTCATAGCTCTAGTGGTAGAACACTTTACTCCACATTTACGATAAGAGTTCAGTCCTCCCTCCCCTCATTTCCTCTGAACCAACAAAAACCCAAGAAGAGCTCATCGCCATCTTGAAATGGTAACCAGGCGTATATGCAAATTTGGGCTTTTGAACCAGCTCAGCCAAGTATTGGGCTCAATTTCAGCTGATCCGGCCCATCTCATAGAGCCCAAAATACTGAGCCCATTTACCAGTTCCGCGGATTTTCTCCGACTTTTCCCACCCGCCCATAGTCGGCCGTTGATTTTCATGGAATTTTCCTTTCGCCCATCGTCACGCTGCAAATCAAACCAATTCTCACACAAAAACCATCAAACCCCACAAAACAACGCCTAAAACTTTTAATTACCTCTTTGATCTTTCCAATTAAAACTAAATCCACTGTAATTTACCTCCTGTATAAATACATTTCCTTACCAGCTAAGTTACAGAGATCACAAGACTCAAGACTTTTCCTTCTCATTTTCTCTGGAACCAAGCAGGGTGGGTTTTCGAAAGTTTTAAGGTTTTTGTGTACCATTTGTTGCAGTAATGGCTGGGGAAAAGGGTAAAACAAAGCGATGGGGTTGGGCCGTCGGAGCGCTGATCGCTGTCTTTGTTGCCGTGGCCATGACATCGAGAACTGCTCCTAAAATCTCATTCTTCGGACGCTCTAATAAGCCTTGTAACTGTACTCAGGTACGCTTTCTTGCATGTTCTGTTTGGTTACCGAGAAAGTAGAGAAATGACGTCCTGTGGAAGATGGGAGGTTTAAATTTTGAAACTTGATCGTGTGTTTATTTATGGTGTGGAATTTTTGAACTTTCAATTTCAGGTCATTTTAACTAAGATGGCACATTGTTGAATTTGGGATAATTGGAATTGTGTTAAATTGGAATCCTGCTTTACATTATTCAGACGAATGCGAAGCTTCTTAATTCATGAAATGGAAATGATGTATTGTTTGTGAATTATGTGAACTGTTTGGATTGGATGTTAGAATTTTTTTTTTTTTTTTTTTTTTTTTTTTTTTTTTTGGGATGATTTTTTTTGCTGCTTGATTTCCCCCCTCATAAACTGTGCAGGAAACACATAAGTATAGTGGGATAGTGGAGGATTGTTGTTGTGACTATGAGACCGTGGACCATATTAACAAGGAAGTTTTGCATCCATCACTCCAAGAGCTCGTTAAAACTCCGTTCTTTCGATATTTCAAGGTTAGATGATTTCTATAAGTTGGCGAGATTTGTATGCTTGTTAAGAAATAATGAAATATACTATTCTAATTTTATTATGATTAATTAGTTAGGGACATATGTGAATCAGACTGATAAATGATGTTTTAATCTGTTGTGAACTTTGCTGCTGTATGTCATTCTTGAAATATATTATTATTTTATTATTCTGTTGTTCTGCTGTGCATCTGATTTTTCTGAAGCATGGTTGATAAAAATTGTTTTAGGTTAAGTTATGGTGCGACTGCCCTTTCTGGCCTGATGATGGTATGTGCCGTCTGCGAGATTGTAGTGTATGTGAATGCCCAGATAGTGAGTTCCCAGAATCGTTCAAGAAGCCCCATCATGGCCTTCCATTGGATGATCTTGTTTGTCAGGAGGGAAAGCCTGAAGCAGCTGTTGACCGTACACTAGATAAAAAGGCATTCAGAGGCTGGACAGAAATAGACAATCCCTGGACGAATGACGATGAGACAGACAATGGTGCGTATCCTTGCTTTTCCTTCTCAGCTTAACAGTTCCGGTTGTTATATGATAAGTTATGTCCTGCCAGTTGTATTTTCTTTGAAAATTTTAGTTTGTATAATGCAAATTTGAATTACTTTGGTGTAAAGAACACACTTGATGATTCATGATTTGAATGATTAGAATAGTTTATTGTACTTGCAATGATTGGTAGCACATTTATATTTGCAGCTGAGATGACATATGTGAATCTTCAACTGAATCCTGAACGGTATACTGGCTACACTGGTCCATCTGCTAGAAGGATATGGGATGCTGTCTATGCAGAGAACTGTCCCAAATGTAAGCATTTACTCTCTCTCTCTGCCCCAATGCTAGTGAAAATGCTTGCATATTTTACTCAATTGACTCGTGTGCTTAATTTGAAAAGTACAAGTTAGCAATTCCTCCTTTGAGAAATCTTTCAGTGTAAACACTTCTTCTTACAAATTTTTGGGGCACTTACACTGCATGTTTCATTGTATCTAAGATAAGATTCCACTGAATTACTAGTCCTTATTATGTGAATGTTGTATTCACTTTCAAATTCTTCTCCAGATCCATCTGAAGAGTTATGCGCTGAAGAAAGAATTCTGTACAAGTTGATATCTGGTCTTCATTCCTCTATTTCAGTCCACATAGCTTCTGATTATCTCCTTGACGAAACTACACAAATGGTACAAGTTCTGATTCATCATTTCCTTTAAGACTTATATTTTACACAGAAAACAGACAGTTTCCCTGATTTCTGAAAGATTTCATACTGTACCCATGCCCCATATATTTTATACCCGTGGATCTTGATAAGAGATATCAATGGAAAATTCCTCTTTATAACGCCTGGAAATTTGTAAACTATTCAGAATTTAAATAAGTCTATAGTGCTAACCATCACTGCCATTATCTCAGCAATGAGTTTCTTTAAATAAAAAGTTGGCAATCTTGGCTGTTTCGTTATTAGATGCATCATGAAGGCAACCATAGTCTTTCACTAGACTTATCATTTACATGCCTTTACTTTAAGATCTAACTTTATTTTCTTCTTTCTAAAATTTCTGTTTCAGTGGGGTTCAAATCTCCCATTAATGTATGATCGGGTCCTAAGATACCCGGATCGTGTCAGAAACTTGTACTTCACATTTCTCTTCGTTCTCCGAGCTGTGACAAAGGTGAGTCCAATAAGCTTAAATTCTTTTCAAAGCATTATGTTATGCTTACTGGTAGGCATACTGAGCATACTAACAGTAGTTTTCACTTTTTGTATATTGTTACTTTTGATATTGTTTATCTTGCTGAGATAATAATATCAATCTTGTTCAAATGTATTTAGGCTGCAGATTACTTGGAACATGCTGAATATGACACTGGTAATCTTAATGAGGATCTGAAGACGCAATCCTTGGTCCGACAGCTACTCTATAATCCCAATCTACAAGCTGCATGCCCAGTCCCATTTGACGAAGCTAAGTTGTGGAAAGGACAACGTGGACCTGAACTGAAGCAGAAAATACAAAATCAGTTTAGAAACATTTTTTTTTTTTTTTTTTTTTTTTTTTTTTTTTTTGGCTTAGTGTCTTGATATTGGTAAGATTCATAAGTATCATTTTTATGCGACTATGATTAAACTGTTTACATTGTCATTGTAGCGCACTGATGGATTGTGTCGGATGTGAGAAATGTCGACTTTGGGGGAAGCTTCAGGTCCTTGGTCTTGGCACAGCACTTAAGATCCTCTTCTCTGTTGATGGCCAACAAAACACTGATCAGACTGTAAGCATCTCTTTAAAAGCTAATTTTATATGGCTCTCAGGTGAAGAAACACGTTTTGCAATGTTATTTAGTCAGGTCTCAAAAAATTGCGTATGGACCCTTCTTTATCTTTGATTTAGAGACACGTTCTTAAGATAATAACAGCCAAAAGTAGTTACCAAAATTTTGAACTATTTTGACAAAGATTTTGAACAATTGTTAGTTATCGCATATGGTAAAAGGTTCTAATTATGAAACTAATTATGGAACTCTAAGCAAGCAATGTCGACATCATTTCCTACTTTGTTAAAATGACATAGCATGTACAAACTTCCCATCAATAGTTTTTTGGTTTTTTTGGAATGGACAGTCTGATCTTTACTCTGTGAGTCATGCATGCACATCCATATGTTCTTTGTCATTTGTGATTACATCATTTGTAGGTGTAATTGAGTGTCCAACATACTTTTGATTTTGACTGAAGTCTATATTGTATTGCTCTTCAGCTGCACTTGCAACGGAATGAAGTGATTGCCTTGATGAACCTACTCAATCGACTCTCAGAATCTCTCAAGTTTGTTAATGAAATGGGACCCTCAACTGAAAGGCTAGTAGAAGGGCAGATTTCTCCACCCACCGCCCCTAGTTGCCCCATGCAAAGGATGTGGGCATCTTTAAAATCTAGGTGTGCAACTTGCTGTTAATACATTTAATCTCTCTTCTGCTGCAGCACTTTGATTCTTGCTGTTATTAAGCTGATTACCTTACTTGCAGGTAAGGAGAACTAATTGGTGATACCTCAAAACAGCACACTTCTAAAAATAATTTAAGAAACCCAGTTCGGGTTTTCAAAAGATTGACCCGTGGAAGGACAGAGGCATGTAACATGTAGATGGCTAGATACAGAGATGCGTACAAGAACCTCAACAGAATTTTGTACTTTATTGAATTTTGAACTTTTCAAATAAAATTAGCACGACACTTTTGTTGTTTCACAATAGGTTTGCTGAAAGTTTATAGTAAAATTTGGTGGCCAAGGACTTCGACTTCACTTGTAGCAGAATGATTTTGTCGAAGTCCAATTCAATCTTTCTTGTTTCACTTGACTCTTCTTTCTTGTGAGGTTAATGAAATTGTATTATGCATCATTCATTGAAAACCTTGTGATGTAAGATTTTCTATATGATCAAGGGCCAATAGCGCCAGTAGCGCCAGCTGAATTTAGTTCTTTTTGTTCCATGGGTAAAGTAATGCGTGTTTAAAATTGTTCAATCTGCAATGACATGATCTGTCAGCCTTTTTTGTATCCAGCAAGCAAACCACTATTGATGCCCTATCTTTCTTCAGCCAACAATGCAACCTAATTTGCACAAATAGGATGCACTTTGACAGAGGTATTTTGTTAAATCTGAATTCATGGTGGTCGCACTGATTAAATACGATCGTACAAGGTAGATCACTAAAACACATTTCTTGCTACCCAACGGATCTGTCTGCCTATTTTATGCTACTTGCTAGTGGTCAGATAGGTGCTTTGGCAATAACTCTCAAGATATACAATTACAGACGGGACTAAAAATATTGTCAATACCACAGATCAGCTAGTAAACCCACAAATGAAGCAAAGCTACATAATTAGGCAAAGGAAGCTCCCTTTCGGTTACCAATTTTTACAGACTACTAGTTGTGCAACCATAGTGAACCGCAATAACCGGGCACTTTGTGCATCATTCAAAATTTACATAATATATCATATTGATGAGGTGAATGTGGGTATGCTGTGTTGTGCTCAAACAAGTTGAAAGTCAGGAACTACATAGCAAGTACACTCCAAGGGAGTTTTCTGTGCAGATTTGACAGTAAGCCGCAAGCAACAGTCTCAGCAGCTAGCGGGTTTTCTTTAGCCGCTTGGGGGGTCGCATTGTCTCCTTCTTCAAATCTTCTGGAGGTTTCAAGTCAATAAATGGCTGCAAGCATATTTAAAATCCACCAATGGTGAGAATCAATTAAAAGGCATGTCATCATTCAGTAGAACTTAAAACCAGCAATCATCGATATACAGCAGCGCAAGTGCTTAATCACGGATTCAAGTCATACAACCATGAATTTTTTCAATTGACAAGAAAAATTAAAATGGGTGCCTTTCAACCATATTATCCAACTAAATTATATGATGGCATTAAAAGTACAATAAAAGTAACAATGCGAATGACCAGCCAAAACCAGACCATATGACCAGCCAAAACCAGACCTTATGACCATCCAGTCTAATTTTCAAGCCAAATAACCTTTTAGATTCTGGACCTTCAGATATAGGTCACAGTTGTTTAAAAATTATTAACCAGAAGATTGACAAAGACTAATAAATATTTTCAAGGGCATAACAACGTTTGTGCTTTATCAACGCTAAGACCTAAGAGATCCACCAAGCCATATGAATGGGAAACAACACTTGATCAAATTAGTATGAGAAACAAGAGGGCACCATATCTGACCTCATCACATTTTCTTTGAAGTTCCAAGAGCTCTTGACAGTATGCAAGGCATTCCGCATGGTATACAGCAGCTAACTCCTTTATCAAGGCCTTTCTTTTAATGATGCCAATCACTTCAAAAAAGAATATGACAAAAGGTTAGAGTCATGGCAGAGGTTCATTATAATAAATCCGGTGCCACAAGGAGCAAACAATAAATCTAAAATCTGCCACGATATATGGCAAGACAAACACACATTATCTGAAGTTTTCACAAGAGAGGTACCACTTAAATTGGGGAATGAAATCGCTAACTGTGATTAGACATATCAAAACCATTTATGCGTGTTCCGTGCTTCATATAAAAACCATCTCAAAGAGCACCAGAAAGACTACAGAGTTGTCAGCCATAAATTCAAGTGAAATATGAAAAAGAAAACAAGGGTTTATCTTTTGTTTCCTACTTCCTACAGAGAATAGATTACTTTTACACGCATGTAGTTACACAGGATTTGCAATCACTGAGCCGATGTATCAAGAAAAAACGAACAAGAATTTGAGCCCAAGAGAAAATTTAACAGACAAAATATCTAAGCCTTAGATTTTAACAATGTGACAACTTCCCAATTAAAAAGTCAAGCACTTTCCTTAGAAAATCAACTTCAATTGTGAAATTCCACATCTTTCAATAAACCCAGATGGGAAAAATACAAATTGAAACATAAAAAGAATCCTAAAAACCTAATCACACTCGCAATTTCAGAAAGAAAAAAAACCCAAACAAGAAAAATACAAGAGCGAGAGAGAGATAGAGATAAGTACTTCGACTGGGATCGAATGGGGGAGCAGGAGGGTCGGCCTGAGAGGAGGAGGGTTGCTGAGGGGTCGCATCAGAATGAGGAGCTTCAACTTGTTCTCCCTCTTCTTGTTCTTGTTGTGGTTGTTCTCGTTCTTCTTGACCCATTGAGGTTGTTTCTCGGAACTCCCAGAATCCTCTGAGGGGAAATCACTAATCAGCAATTGTTTTGATTAGCTCTTAGCCGAGTATATATAACTTCTGTGACTTAGGAACAACTCGACAACATTGTACGGCAAAGGAACCACCCTCTACCACTTCACACCATGAACAAGTGTTTTGGGGAATTTTGTATATTTTCCTGTACATGTGTTACGGGTTATGCTTTCCTCTTGCCTTCTTCCCGCTGAAGTCGACGTAATTGTGTTTGTTTGGGCCTGTGCTCAGCTTTAGTCGTGCTCTGGTTTATGTTTATGCCTCTGTGTCCTTTGGGCTTTTTGCTAGTTTCATTTGCCTAGGCATGTTCGTTGGTACCCAATTATTGAAGATTGCACTACTTCTCTGGACACCCACAATCTTTTTCAGATTATACCAACACTATCCTTTAAATAATTTTTTATCTTAAATAATGAACTAAATATTTGAAATAGAAATAAAAATGGGGAAAAAAAAACCGACTCCCAACCTGGCCCGGTCTCCTTCTGCCGGCCACTCCACTCCTACAATAGAGTAGTTTTTATCACGTGATGATGTTGAGTGACAAGAACAATCTTAAAAAAGTCGGCAACCTTATTATAATCCCTTATTATAGCCTTCTTGTATTAAATATGATAACAATTGGAGTATCACATGCCCACTTAGCCACAAGGCCCATAACATTTTGTTCATGATATACCAATTCTTGGATTTTAATATTATGAGTTATACAAAAAAAATAATTCAGAATGGCTTTTTGGTCATTTACAAATTTTATAATTCAATTGTTACTAAAAGAAAACAAAAAAGAAGAAGGGAAAATTATAGTTCAATGTAAAAACCCTTCTTGTTTGCCTAAAACCCTCATAGACACGGCAAGCAATCGCAACGCCACCACCATCACCATGAGTCTAATAGCAGGCTCATACGAGAAATTCATATGGGGCTTCAAGCTCAAATCCCTAAAACCTAACCCTGATTCTCAATCCCTAACCCTAGCCCCACTCTTCTCCTACCCCTCCCACCTCTCCTCCATCACCACAGTTGCCACCGCTGGCTCTGCCGCGGCCTCCGGTGGCTCCGATGACACCATCCACCTCTACGACATGTCGTCCGCCACCTCCCTCGGCTCTCTCCACGACCACTCCGCCACCGTCACCTCCCTCTCCTTCTTCACCCCTCCCCATCTCTCATTTCCTCTCAACCTCGTCTCCGCCGCCGCCGACGGGTCATTTTGCATCTACGAGGCCGACCCTTTTGTCCTCCTCAAGAGCCTTAAACCCCACAGGAAGGCCATCAACGACGTGTCGTTGCACCCTTCTGGGAAGTTGGCTTTGACCGTTGGAAAAGACGAGTGCTTGTCGATGATCAACTTGGTGAGGGGTAGGAGGAGCTTCTATTGCAGGTTGGGGAAGGAGGCTAGCTTGGTGACCTACGATGGTTCTGGGGATAAGTTCTATATGGCTATGGAAGACAAGGTTATGGTTCATGAGGCTGAGGATGCTAGGTTGCTTTGCGAGTTGGAGAATTCAAAGCGGGTTCTCTGCGTCGAGCCCGGCGAGGTTAGTTTCTTGGGCTTTCTGTATTGGTTTTTTTTTCTTTCAATTTTGCCTCCTTTTTGCATTTTTCAGTCTGCACATCGTCATGTGAGTACATTGTCTTACACTTATCTACTTTAGTTGTAAGAATCCCAATATTGCCTTCTTTACATCTATCTGTAATTATTTACACTGCACAAAGCTATATATGTCTGCCATATATCTGAGGTTACTTGTGTTGGGGGGAATATTAAACCATTGATAAAAGGCATTTCTCCATTTGCATTTTTTGTGATAGCTCTACTGGCAATTCACAGTTCTCTTTTTGCTAAGATATTTCTGACTACGCAATTCACAATCTTTCTTGTCTCATACTGAAGCAGTTTATTAGAAAGGTTATTCAAGTTTCCCTAAACATTACATTTTAATTTTTGATAGAACGGAGTTTTATATACTGGTGGTGAGGACCGCTGTATTACAGCATGGGACACAAACAGTGGGAAGGTTGCATATCGCATTGAGGATGCACACCCTGCTCGTGTGAAAGGAATTGTTGTGCTTACAAGCAAAGCTGGTGCTGTAGCCGATGATGACCCATATCTTGTAGCATCTGCCTCGTCAGATGGAGTTATACGCCTTTGGGATGTTCGCATGGCTGTTAAGGAGAAGCCAAATCCATTGGCCGAGGCTAATACAAAATCAAGGCTTACTTGTCTGGCTGGATCATCTCTTAAATGTAAGATTTACCCGTGTGTGATGGCTTGAATTTTTGTTGTTGGATAGCATGTTTTCCCCTTAATGAATTGTAAGTAGTTTTGTTCTAGAGTTTTCTTTTTCTCCCATCATTTCATTAGTCATTGTCGCTATAAGCTTGTATTGGCATGAATCTTGTAGGATAAGATTATCATATAACTTGGCAGTAAATATGTTATGTCATAAGAATTCTACACACTTAACCAGTGGAATTTCTGGATGAATGGCTTTGACTTTTTAATTGTTGACTTGGTGTGTTGATTGAAGGTATAAAGAAGGATCTGACTATAGCCAAATTTTGACTCTTATATACACTCCATGTATGGTCCTACTATACATGTTGCCTTTAGCCTAGCCTTAGTGTGGGCTCCAACCCTTTACCTGATAAATGCTAAGGTGAAATATGAATATCCAATTCAAACACTCTGATAGGAATCTATTATGATGACACTAGGCCTGTTGGATTTGCATGTTAAAAGTTCAAAACTAAAAGAAACTCTTAGTGTTATCTTTGTACAATCTCAAGATCAGCATTATATTGTGTTGGTGAGCTGTAGTACCTATCTTGATGTTCCAATATACCTGTCCTGATGCTGCCATATGAACATGCAATTATGGATATAGGAATTTTCTGTAATTCTTGTGTCAACTGATCGTTAGTTGTCTTATTGCTTTCTTTTTCCTTCTTGTATAGCTTTCAAACGGCCACAGATTGGAAAAAGCGATAAAAAAAAGGAGCATGATGCAGCAACAGAAGGCGTATAAGTTATAACCAAATCAAAATGTCTGACCCAACAAAAATTGGCTTCACAGTCTTTGTAAAGGCTTTATATGTGTGTGCCTGAGAGATTCTTCAATTGCTGATAAACAGTAAAGGGAACTTCCAACGTATCAATTTTGTCGTAGAACTTGTTTTTATCAATGTTAGTTAAGTATTGGTTAATTCTGGGCCTCTTTGTATCTCTGGATTCTTTACAAATTTTCTGGTAAAGAGATTCCTTTGTGTAATCCAGAGTTTTGAGTAAATTGTATGGAAGCGAATGCAGATCTCCCTACGAAACTTCAATGTGTTCAAATGTAGTTGCACACATTTCCAAAGATGATCCAATATTTTTGAGTAAATTGTATGGAATAATGGAAGTGAATTTAGATCTTCCTTAAAACTTCAATTTGTTCAAGATGCAGTTGCATGCAAAGCGAAACATTAGCACATTAATGCGTTACTATACCTTCCCAAATGCGTCTTTTGCTTTCTTTTTATTTTCCTCTATAAAATCATGTAGTTCTCATACCGGGTGAAGTTTGTTAGTCCTAGGTAGTCGTTAGTCAAATGCTCTATGAACTGGTTTTTCTCTTTTTGACCTTAAGTCTTGTACTCTTCTGGGTTCAAGGCTAATATGTGGCTCTTGGAAAACCATTTACACAGAAGAAAAAAAACTTAAATATGTTCAATGAATAAAATTGTCAAAAACGAAACAGTATTTCTATACTCCATCTCTGTCTCTTGCATCCTTGATTTCCCACTCCAGGTTTCTTAATATGGCATATATACCATCTGATCTTGGATGAGATCGATCCGCTACTCGGAACTCATGTAGACATCCATTTATCTCTACCCAGCTACAGCCGGGAGTTTTCTTTAGTCCTCTATCCCTGAGGAAACTCCTCATCTTAGCAACTCCATCCCACTTTCCAGCTGCAGCATATATGTTGGCAAGCAATATGTAATTTCCAGCATTTTTTGGTTCCATGGTTATAAGCTTCTCAGCAGCAAACTCTGCAACCCCAGGCTCTGAATGCAACTTACAAGCACTTAACAAAGGGCCCCAAACCCGAGCATCAGGTTTGAAAGGCATAGATTTTACAAGTTCTCTGGCTTCATTGACATGCCCAGCACGCCCTAGTAGATCCACCATGCAAGCATAGTGTTCCTGGCTTGGTCGACAATTATATGTCTCAACCATCTCCTTGAAACACTCCTTCCCTTCTTGAACAAGACCTGCGTTTACGCAGGCTGTCAGTACTCCAAGAAAGGTTACTTGATCTGGTTTCAATCTCAGTTCCTTCATTTGGTTATACAACTCAAAAGATCGATACCAGTCTCCATGCTTAGCATACGCACCAATCATAGAGTTCCATGTGACTAGATCTTTATCATTGATATTCTCTTCATCAAAAAGCTTCCAGGCCATCTCTATGCATCCACATTTTGCATAGCTGACTAGAAATGCCGTATTAACAGACGAAAGTGAGTTGAGGCTAAGTTTCACCGAGTACCCATGAAGGCATTTTACATTCTCTAGTGCCCCTAGATTCACACAAGCAGGCAAGATGTTAATAACTGTAATGAAATCGACACTGATTCCCTCAGATTTCATCTTGGAGAAGAGAGAAAGAGCATCAAGTGACTGATCATGATTGACATATCCTTTAATCATTGCACTCCATGAAACAACAGTCTTGTTTGTCACAACATCAAAAACCTTTCGAGCCAAATTTAGACGATCACATCCACAGTACATGTCAATCAGAGAATTATGAACGGACACTTGATAATCTGAACCATTTCTTATCACATGAGCATGCATTTGTTTGCCCCAATAAGTAGCTCTTAACTGTGTAATTGAAGAAATTGCAGGGATTGCAGTAAATAAATCAGCTCTAATGCCTGAACTTCCCATGCATCTTAGTAGCTCCAGTGATTCCTTAGGGTACCCAATTCGAGAATAAGCTGATATCATTATATTCCAAACAACAGAGTCCTTCTCAGGCATTTCTTCAAATACCAATTTGGCATATTCTAAATCACCTAACTTGGCATACATAGACAACAATGCAGTATTCACAGACAAATCCACACACAAATTGCTCACAACAACCAAACAATGAACAGCCTTTCCCACCTGCAATGAGTTCAAATCCACGCTTGACCTCAGCAAGTTAATCACAGTAACTGAATCAGGTTCAAATTTCTCTATTGCTTTTCCGCTTTGTGAACCCTCAGAAGTCAGAGAATTCCATTGCTTTCCCTCATTTTCAAAATTACCATAGCTTCTATACATATCAACCAAAGCAGCACCCACCAGATCATATGAATCAAAACCCAATTTCACCACATGCCCGTGAATCTTTGCCCCATTTCTAGCATCTGAACACCAAGAACATGACTTCAAAACATAAGGGTAAGTATTTCCCTCTGGGTACATAGATTTCATGACCATTTCATTGTAAACCAAAAGGGTTCTCTCAAATTCACCAGACTCTGACAACTTTCTTAAGATTGTGTTATACAGAAGGGAACTTCGGTCACTGATAGAGTTGAAGACTTGTTGGGAAAGACTGAGGGCGCCAAGGTTGGCATAGCAGTCGATGAGTTTGGATGAGAGTGTTGGGTTTTGGTGCAGACCATAAAGGACGAACCTGGCGTGGATTTGCTGGAGTTTTTTGGGATCGTTGCAGAGGTTCAAGAGGGAAGAGAGTGTGTTCAATGGTCTTGTTTGGGTCGCGGGAAAGTGTAGAAATTTGAGACGGAAGGGGTTGTGGAGAACATGTCTTGACCGTTGGGAGGGAAGCATATTAGGCAAAAGTGACCCCAATCAACATCTTGGTGACGAGTTCACATAAAAATTGGGTCTTTAGTAGTTTAGTGGAGGCATCATTGCTGGCATAGTAGAATAGAAAATTCACTTTTTTTTCTTTCTTTTTTTATCTTTTGAGACCAAGAAAAATCACTTTTTCAAGGGTTAACCAAACACAGAGAGAGAGAGAGAGAGAGAGAGAATTTATTTCAGTGTTGAAATTGAGAAGGGAGAACTAAACAGAACTTTCCGTTATTTCTGGAGTTGCTGTCCTCTAAAGCTAAGCATATTGGACAACACCGATGAAAGATTTGAGCTTGTCTCAGCGCCAAGTAATCTCTTTCGTCTTCCCTCGTATTTCTCTCAATTCCCAGTAAACCCAACACTCAATTTTTCACTTCAAATTCTACAGGTAATTCCAGATCTCCCTTCTCTCAATTATTATTTGCTTTTCTTCGTCTTCTTCCATGTTCCTTTAGATTCCCCGTTTTTCTGCAACAATCTCTTCTGCTTCATTTTAATTTTATGTTCCCAATTTGATTCTTGATTGAACATATCGGGTGTTTGGTTGCTGAGAAAATGTTGGAAAAGAAAAGAGCAGAAATTGATGCATAATTTTTTTTCGTCATGTAGGAAACAGGGGAAAACTAAAACCCTTAAAGCAATTGAGCTTCATCCTGCTATTTAGATTGGTTAGCTAACTAATTGCTTTGGTTAGTGCGGTTGGAAATTCAGTTGCTTAATTAAAAGATTAATTTGATATATACAATGGGAAGTTGAGGCTCGTTCTCGATGGGGACATATAACTAAATAAAGGTTTCACTTCTGGTGGTGTATCCTTGGAACGTAGTGCTGGTTAAAGTTAGTGCGTTGTTGGAGGTGTAGTGTTGAAGATTGAATTTGATGGAAGTGGATGGAAGTGCCTCAACAGTTTCTAGGGGTGCTCAATCAATTCCACTACAATCCAGGCGGCAGAGAGGTATGTTTTTCGGGTCCTTCCCATTCCTAGTCATGACTTGGTTGCCTTAGATTCTGCTCTGAAACTTTATTTAGGTTCTTTTCACGTGGTTCTGTAGCACAGATTGTTAAAAAATTGGCGTGAGTGATCATTAACCGTGTTCCCTCTAATCGAGTCACAAATACATTGATTTATTGATTTGTGATATCTGAAGAGATAAGACATTGTACTTTTGTCAAATATATCTAGCAGTTCAGCAGGAGGCTAATGCCTCGGTTGATTTTTTTTTTCCAGGGAATAGGTTCATAAAAGATAAGACTTTGTACTTTTGTCAATAAGAGTTAAATCTAAGAATATGTTATCAAATTCCACATGAAGAAGGAGAAATTAACTCAAAAGCTTGAAAAGGCATGATCATTGAAAGTAGGGAAGGAGAAAGTAGAATGCAGTTTAAGATCAAATTGTTGTCATGGATTTTGGGAAGAGGCTAACCCGAAAAGGCCTTAAAGTCTGGTTGCACATATGCATATGCTTTAAGCAAATGCGTGACTCATCTAATTTTATCTATGTATGCCTTCTTTGACCTTTTTGACATTTGGAACAATTGTTCAACGTTAATGGCATGGAGCCATACATTCTGCCAATTCTTAATTTGCTTTTAGCACGAGTCTTATTTGAAAAGAAAGAAGACTTTGCACTTTATTCTTGTTCACACAAAATGGTTATGTTTATGGTGGTTTTGTAGCTTTCTATCAGTTTACACAGCAGAGTCTCCCCGCTTGTAAGCCTGTCCTCACACCAGCATGGGTGAGTTATTAAATATCATAAGCAACTTCTTCTGTAGTATGTTATTCACTTTGTATATGTGCTTAGTGATATGGACTATCTTCTCTGCAGGTGATTACTACATTTTTATTGGTTGGTGCCATTTTCATACCAGTTGGGCTTATTACACTTCATGCCTCCCAGAACGTAATATCTTGTCTCTGTTGTTCATTGGTTCTTGTTTTCAGCTGCACCCATATTTATAGTGGAACATGATTCTGTGTGTAACCATTTGTTTGACATTGGATTCATAGGTTGTAGAAATTGTGGACCAATATGATACAGAGTGTGTACCGGAGGCATTCAAGAGCAATAAGGTGGCCTACATCAAAGATAACTTAATCTCTAAAAACTGTTCTCGGTACTTGAAGGTAATCTTTTCTTTGTTCCTGTCTAGAACTTTAACTATGACATTCCTTGCGACTTGTTGATTGGATATCTTGTCTGCTTCATTTAAGGTTGTCACAGAATATGAAACTACATATTGTCCATTAATCTAGATAATGTTTATCATCATCATCAATAATTGATTCTACGGAGCTTGATCTGTTAGGGTTGTTTAAAGAGGCAAGGCCATAAAATAACATTGTGTAGTAGAACCGTAGATGAGGAGCTGGTAGTAGGCATTTTTAAGAAATCAAATCTAGGAAAGGAGAGAATTAATGCAATAATTGCTTGCTACCCGGTGAGTGTGCAAACTTTTTTTCTTTTGTTTATTATCCAATATCCCATGATGTAAGAAACTGATGCATTTCTGCTAAGCTGTTGTAGTTTCATTATTCAAGTTTCTTTTAAGATTGGTTAAATCTTAATATGCTACAAAACCTACAGCTACTTATTCAATTGTGTTGACTTTGAATTCTTCTATAATAAATTGGAATTATTGCACAGTTTTATAAGCTATTCCCTGGGGTCTTGGCACATGCCTTCCCAAATATTTTCCTAAATTCAGAGGCTCTGATTCCAGTAGTTTGTGTAGTTTCCAATAAACCAAAAGCTTCACAGATTGGTCTGTGTATGTATTCACTTTAGGAACATTTCTTTATTAAATACTCTTTATTTGAAACTTATCATGCATTGGTTTGACTGCGTTGGTTTTATTCAATAATGTTGTTTTTCATTTACTTTTTTTTTTTCAAATTTTTTTACATATTCGTCTCTCTTTGAAGGTTTACAAGCATATGAAAGCTCCAATTTATATCTACTATCAGCTTGATAACTACTATCAAAACCACCGACGGTGAGAGCTCTTGTGTTTTTATGTTTGGCATAGCAAGGAATCCATCACTTGTTCTGATTTATCTTTCTTCCTGCCTTTTTTTTCCTTCATGTTTTTCTTTATTCCATTATTCTGAAATGACTTGGTTTCTTTATTGCCAACAGTTGCCTTCTTCTATGAGATTCTTCATGATAAGCTTATAGTGCTTTGAATTCTTTCAAACAACTACTGCAGTATAATATGTAGTGCACCTGGCCTTCATACTTTAGTCATCATACATCTTTATTTTGTAGATCCTTTTGGCTCCATCTTTACCGTTATGAAAAATCTTTCCTGAAGATATATCACAGTGGGGGAAAAAGAAATTTAGGTGTAAAACCTTACACTGTCCTTGAACCGTTGTAATAATATGTTCAAATTTACTGATCTATATGGATCGTTAGTATTATAGGTATAATTTACAAGATTAAATATTTTGCTAATACAATGGAAATTATTTTGGAGAAATTTTTGTTCTAATTTTTTTGTTTTTTAGTGAACTTTTCAAAGGGAAACTTGGAGAAGGTCAATAGTGTCTTTGTTGTGCTGATTTTGAAATAACAAGATTTATACCTGAAGATCCTTTCTCTTCTTTTTTCTTTTTATTTTTGTTCGTCATGAAAATTCTGTAAAGCCAAATGTTTACTAAGTATTGTTCCTTATTCTATTAATCAAGAAAACTTAACTTTGATGTTACTTGTTTTGATCTCCAGCCTTACAGTTTTACTAAGCTGATTCCCAATTTTTCAGGTATGTCAAAAGTAGAAGTGATCAGCAGCTTTTACATGGATTGGGGTACAATGACACAAGCTCCTGTAAACCTGAGGAGTCCAAGAATGGTCTTCCAACTGTTCCTTGTGGCTTGATAGCGTGGAGTTTGTTTAATGATACCTATACTTTTATTCGTGGAAGAACTGAATTAAAAGTCAACAGGAAGAACATAGCATGGAAGAGTGACCGTGATCACAAATTTGGGAAGCATGTATATCCCTTTAATTTCCAGAACGGGACCTTGATCGGTGGTGGAAAGCTAGATCCAAGAATTCCTGTAAGTATTAGAGCTGTATAACAATCTATTAATTTGCTCTCTGTGCAACTATACCTTTGGATATGATGCCACCATTTATAGTTCACGGTACCTTTATGCAAGTACTCCACCTGAAGTTGTTGCCCAAGATTTGTACTGTCTAGTGAAAAATAAACCTTTCATTTTTCGTTTTTTAATTGAGATATTAAAATGATAATAAATGGTTGCATATCAAAACACATTAGAATGCCTCCATTTTGCATCTATAACCAAAGTCAAAGAAGTTATACCATGTTTCCAGTCCCAAAAATCAGTGCCTATACCTCCATAATATGTGATATATATATATATATGCATACGTTTTTAGAAATATATTTAAAGTTTTTATCAGGCTCTTCTTTCTGGGGGGTCTCACCTGGCCAACTGGGTCATTTGCAAAGGATGCTGTTAAAATAAAAATAAAAACCTACCTTGTCTACTGCTACAAATTTTCTATAATTTCCTTGGAGTAAAACTAAGTTCTTACGAAAGTACAATTTTTCTGGAGTTTTCATGAACTGTAATTTTTCTTTATTTAATTAGCTAAGCGATCAAGAAGATCTTATTGTATGGATGCGGACAGCTGCGCTCCCCAGTTTCCGGAAGCTGTATGGTAGAATTGAAGAGGATTTGGATGCGGATGATGTTCTAGTAGTCAATCTAACGAACAACTACAATACTTACAGTTTTGGTGGGAAAAAGAAGATTGTCCTTTCAACATCAAGCTGGTTAGGAGGAAAGAATGACTTCCTTGGTCTTGCCTATACTTTTGTTGGTTCGACTTCCATATTCATCTCTGTTGTCTTCTTGTTGCTACATATGAAAAATCCAAGGTAAATGTGATATATCATGCTTGACTTCTCCATCTTCTGCGTATTTTCATTGTTGCTACATCTGACATGTAAACCCCATATATTTTTTTTTTTTTTTTTTTTTTTTTTTTTTTTTTTTTTTATTACCTCCAAATATTACTGACTTCAGTCTTAGATTTTGCTGACAAAGTGCTTTGTTTTCTAGAACTCTTTAATTGCCGTAACTGGGTTACCTTCTCAAATTTTCCCTGCCACTGGTTGCAATACTGATTTGGTTAGTTCCTCATTCATATTTGTTTTTCATGCCTTAATTCTTTCCCTGATAAGCTAAATGGCTAGATCTTCTAATCTGTTTCGTAGACTTTAATGCTGTCTTTGTCTGTTGCATTATTTGATTTGTTTATGTTTGCAGGCCCTATAGGGAAAGACCTTATCTGCCTTGGAACAAGCAAAGCGTTTCCAGCGGAAGATGTGATGATACTTTATGAATAGTTTGAATCTGTGGATTTAATGTAACCTCAACAACACCTACACGTGAATTATCAAAATGTCGAGCGATTCCAAAATGTACTTGCAAAAGAGAAAGGGGTTCTTTTTTTGTGTAATATAGAAGAAAAACAGCATTCGAGCTAGTTACATGTTGTACATGCTACAGAATTTGTTCAGTCATTGATGACTGGTTTTCTCTGTATTCTTGTACTATAAGATGAAAAATTAGTTTGGATGAAACTTTGTATTCAAATGGGGGTGAATGGAGCTTGGTTTCTATTTTTAATAATCTAAAGCAATCTTTGTGCTTGATAAATTTCAGTCACAGTCAGTTTGAGCTGTAGGCCTCCTAAATCAGCCCCAGTCACTAGCTAGGATGAGATTGGGTTTAGGTCTGGATTCATTTTCTTCATTTTTTTTTCTTTTACTATCTTGGGACTCAATTCAATTCTTAATGTCTTATCTTATCTGATCCATGAACAATTATGCTGATGTCTATTTATATATATAAATATAACAAAATAGGAATAGGATATATAAAGCAGCATATAAGATGAATTTTTATCCTATTTTTATGAGGATTTTGCATCCTTTCAGCTAAAAACAACCTTCATGCAAAATTTAGTTTTTAGACATGTTCAAATATGGGTTTACTTTGCATAACTGATTGGTGTGCATTCCTAACAAAGCTTTCCAAGGCCTTTCCTCCTACCCTATTTTTGGGACCCTATCATCTTTGAGCCCTATAAAACCTATGCCTCTAGTCCATAGCTTTCCTAGTTAAAAACAAAGGCCCCCTACACCATTGCATTGCTAGTTCCTTCCTCTTTCTTGCATCCTCCTCCTCCTCCTCCTCCTCCTAGAATCAAGAAGAAGAAGGAACTAGCAAGGTTCTTCAAAAGCATTCTTTTTGGAGAGATAATGGGGAAGAGGTTCCAAAGCATGCAAAATTGGGGAGAGGTTGCACCTGCAGCCCTTTCAAGAAAATCTTCTAGGGTTTTGACAAAACTAGAGACCATAATTGAAGAGGGGTCAGAAAGCAGCTTTGAAGGTGGGCAAAAGGGGATGTCTTTGTATGTTCTTCCTTTGCTCCTCACTGGGTTTATGTACATCATGTTGTACACAGATGTGGCTTGACATGGTGCATGAGAGAGGCAAGTGGAGAATTTGAATGGCTTATGTCATATGTTACCTCAAGGTAATCAATGTGTGTGTTAGGAAAAAAAACCTAAAAACAATGTTACAATGTGAGGTGGAATTTGTAGCCTATGAACTTTTTGTACTAGTGCCATTAATTGATATAATTAATTGGCTTTTCACAAGGTACCATATCTTCTCTTCTCTTCTCTTCTCTCTCTACATGTATAACGAAATTATATGATCCTTCAAAATATTTCTGGTGTCCGATCATAAACGGCCGTGGTGAGGTTCATATACCAATAGACTTGGTACATAGAGGTTGAAAAAATTATGCTAAAAACAAATCATAAATTTCCCTTGATCGATCCCATTAGGCATATAAACCATAGCTAGACTAATTTGCCAAAGGCCACCACAAATGGGAAATTATATATATGAAAGGACAAATAAACGCCGGACACAAATTAAGCTCCCTCGCAAGAAGAATATGAAATTAGGTGAATAAATAAAGAGAACATATATATTAGATGAACATTTATTCTGAGACATGACGCGTTGAGAGAACACATTTTTACTCAATTTTTTTCAAATTTGATCCCATTTATTGCATGGTTTTAGAGCGCACTCTAAATTTATAATCTTAAATTGGTTAATCGCTTTGATTGATTTTAAGTAACAAATTTTAGGCTTTGATATTTGAAACCTAACGTTGAATCTCTAAATGACCATTTTATAACCTAAATGGGGTCGAAGTTGAAGAAAATTGTGGAGAACTGAGGTTTTCCTATTTCCCATTTCCACGATTACCCGAAGTTTTTATGATTTGGTAGGGAGAAATGAAAAGAAAAGAGAAAAAAAGTTGTGATGGAAAAGATGAAGCTAATTCTGATTTCAGCAAGGCTTTTACAAAATGCTTGATTTGATACGAATTCGAATTTAGTAACTAGAGCAACATCACATATTAACCAGAACAGGTGATTGATGAAAACAAAAACCATTCCTTTCATATCTCTCACCTCCATTCTCATTTATAAATTATATTTTCCTTCTCCACCTATAATTCAGAAAACAGAAAAAACCAACCACCAAAAACAAAGAAGACACGAGCTTAGCCAAGTTGGCAGCAGATATGCTTCCTACTCTGCATTCGAGTTCGAATCCCCCTCCTCGTAATTTAGATTAGATTAAAGTAGAATATCGTTTGTATTAAAAATAATAATAAAAAACGAAGAAACGTATATTGTTAAACAGGCCAAGAGTCAACGTATAAATACCAGTGAAACTCTAAAACTTAAAATAACTATGCAAAAGGCCAATAGAATTCGAAGAACCTGCCATTGATTTTCCAATTAGAATGCCATGAGCATATACACTGTTCATATATATGTCTTTAGAGACGAATCTACCCTCGATCTTTCAAACTATTTCATGTACAGTTTCCTTTCCAATTCGCCTACATCTGGTAATTGGTCTATTGTCTGTACAACAAGAAATAAGAAACAAAAGAAACAAACACAGGAAGAAGAAACAAGGCCCTCTTCGGAATCGGTGCAACTTCAATGCTAATTTGAGACCCCATAATATTTCCTGGTCCTTCTTCAACAATGGTTTCCAGCTTTGGACACTTTGAAGATTTCTGGTGGGTTAGGAGCAGAGTTGGTGCAACTTCCCCCCAGTTGTGCATGTAGCTTACCTCCTTCACCATCATTATCTCTCTAATCAGATAATAATATTACTGCTCTAATTACTCAGCTAATTGTAATTAACACAAATATGAACGATCTTAGTTGGAGATTTTTGGCTTGTGAGAAGAGATTGGTGAAGTGTTCTCTATATATAATGGTGATTAACGCGAGATTATAGGAGGTGGTAGCTGGCAAATGACCATGGAGCATCAATCGTGGGGTGACACATAATGCATGGAGTTTGAAGAAGTCTATGGAACTTTCTAAATTTGGCAAATTTCCCGTGCTACAACGTTGTAAATTTCACAAAACCACATGTTTGGGAAACCGCGTGTGATGTCTCTCAGCCATTTCGAATTTGACAAGTGCTCGGTGCACAGGAAAAATCGATGAAAAATAAATCTAGAAGACATTGCAAAACAAATATATTTAACCGTAAAGCCGTGCGGCTGAAATAAAAATACAAATGAAAAACTGTATAGCCGGACGGCTATACTTCAAAATTAAAATGAAAAACTGTACAGCCGCGCGGCTATACTTAAAAAATTTAGTATAACTGAGCTATACTATTTATTTTATAAATGGAAACGATTTCACAAAAAACTTAATAAATGGAAATTAATTATGTTTTGGAATTTTTCTTTAATTTTTATATTAAATAATAATTAAAATATAATTACTAATTAAAGTAATTTAGAAAGGCTAAGATATTACCTAATTACATATATTAAATTAAAGAAGTAGGCCAAAAAAAGAAGTAAAGAAACTAATTTTTTATAAAAACCCACTCCCGACGACATTTCGTCCGAACAGGTCTATGCCTGCGAAATGTTCGGCTATACTGTTTATTCCTAACAGCCTTACCTTGAGATTCTTAGCTTGCACACAAATAATTGGACCATTGATACTTCAACTCCAGAAGCAAACTTCCTTTCTTGTTTGGCTAATCTTACGAATTGCAGAGATTGACCTTGTCAAATAATCCATTAAATGACACTCTTCCTGTTTCCTTTGGGAATCTCTCCACATCACTTGTATATCTGGAATTAAAAAACTGTAGCATAAGGGGTAAGATTCCTGATGATATCGGCAACTTAAGCAGCTTGATAGCTATGAGAAACAATCAATTAACTGGCTCAATTCCAACCTCAGTGGGAAGACTTGGGAATCTCCAAGGTTTGTAAATAAATAAATTTTATAAATTTTTTTTAAAAAAAAAGCCAGCCTAGCGAGTAGGCGCCTACGTGTCAAAACAAGTATAGCAGCCCGGCGATACCTTTTTTTAATTTTAAAAAACCGGAGTATAGCCGCCCGGCTATACTATTTATATATATAAAAAATCCGCCAAGCTACTAGGCGCCCACGTGTAAAAACGGTGTAGCCGTGCGGCTATACGTTTTTAAAAAAGGGAAACTTTATTATAGCCGCGCGGCTATACTAATATATTATATTTAAAAGGTATCGAATGGTGGTCTGTGGTGAAGCCCGACTCCATGTTCCACCATGCCAAAATAGTACACTTCAACCAAATTCAAGGAAAGCTAGAACATCCAACTTGAAATATATTATTCCAGGGATCATATCAGCAATACTCCCGGTGGCCTCTGTATCAATGCTCATACTGCGCAGGAAAAGGAAAGTGGAAGTTGCAACAGAGGCTGCCTTATTACCTCGACTTCTTTGGAGAAGAGTTTCACACCTTGAACTTCTGAGGGCGACGAATGGATTTGATGAAAGCAACTTACTTGGCACTGGTGGTTTTGGCTCAGTATATAAAGGTACAATTTCAGATGGGATAGATGTTGCTGTAAAAGTTTTCAATTTACAGCTTGAAGGGGCTTCCAAGAGTTTTGATAGTGAATGTGAAGTGCTGAGCAATATTCGTCACCGAAATCTTATCAAAATTGTACTGTTGTGGTTACTTTTCAACATCTAATTTTATTTTCATCATATATAACTAAATTGGCGTATATAATATTGCAGAGCTTGGAATGGAAGGAATTGTTTCAACAAGAGGGGGATGTGTATAGTTTTGGTATTGTAATGATGGAGACATTCACAAAAAGGAAGCCAACAGATGAGATGTTTGTTGGAGAAATGAATTTAAAGAAATGGATTGCAAATTCATTGTTTCCATATGTTGCAATAGTTGAAATTGTGGATGGCGATTTGCTTGGGACAGAGGAAGATCATGATACTGTGAGCAGGAAGGTTTGCTTATCATCCATTATGAGATTAGGGCTAGCTTGTTCTGCAGAATCGCCCGAAGAGAGGATTAACATGCAGGGTATAGTTGTCACACTCAACAAAATCAAGATTAAGTTTTTAAAGGACTGTGGAGGAGTGCATGAATGAAGTTCTTGTAGTGATGATAGAGCATGAACTTATTGTTGTGAGGGGAGATATTAGATTTGGATTTCCTGTAAGTTCTTTGGCAGTGGAGGTCCTTATCCTCCTATCAAATAATTAAGGATAGGAAAGTAAACATAAAGTTAAGCAGACATTCTGCATATGCAATGTAAACATAAAGGATTTTGGCTAATAGTCAAATCTCTGGCTTCTAGAAGATATACCATCACCGGAAATTATACTTTACTTACTGAATGCACGCATTCAATAAGCAATCCAATCCAATCCACCTACGTTCCTCTTGTCAATAATAACGTTGCTACTGCTGTATATAGCTATAGGCCGAGTAGCAGCGCAACTTACCAACTTAGCCATTGATGAAAATGAAAACATCAATTTTGCAGCTTAAGAGTCCACGAATCTCTACCGTACCCAAGAAGAAGAACAGAAGCAGGAAAGAAATAACAGGACCTGGCAGAGCTAGCTTAGCCATTGATGTTATGTTATACAAAGTAGTGTAATTTCTATGGTTGACTAATTCATGAAGAGGAAGATGGGATATTTGTAGAAGCCAGAGATTTGACTAATTCATGAAGAGGAAGATGGTTGACTAATTCATGCAGAGGAGGCCACATAATGATCATGCAAGAACAACTGAGTAACAATCTGATATGCTCCATTACAGTCAGATTGCATATAGGCTGGCATTTGTACTTTTGGGCCACCTGTTACATACAATAAATTGCTTGCCTCAGCTTCTTTGGTTTGGTTACAACCAAGGTTCAATTAATTCCAGTCTTCCCTATCATATAATTCCAAATTCAAGTTAAACAGAAATTTCAGAGAGTGTAAGACTTCTCTTTGTCTGGGCTTGAGCTTTCTTTGGTCATGAATTCTCCATTCATGAGTAAATTCAAATACCATTTTCCTTTCGGTCTGACTCAGGCATAGATGCAATCACCAAAACCTGCAACACATGATCATGAACACTTCAATGGAGAAATTGATGGTAGGGAGGTTAGGCACTGATTCGAGTAGTTTAGATCATTGGAAAAATAAAATAAAAAATACTTGCGTAACGCCACTCGGCTGTACTATTCTTTTTTATTTTTAAAAACGGTATAGCCGGGCGGCTATACTATTAATAATGAGAAAAGGGACCCGCCTAGCGCCTGTAGGGCCACGTCTGGAGACCGGTATAGCCGCACGGCTATACTTATTTTTATAAAAGTAGCCGGGCGGCTATGCTATTTATAAATTTGAAAAAAGAACCGGCCTAGTGCAGGAGGGCACACGTGTGTAAACATGTATAGCCGGGCGGCTATACTAACTTTTTTATCGTGCAATTTGGAAAATGCGCGACGAGAGTATAGCCAGCCGGCTACACTATTTGCTATTGAGGAAATGTCAAACCCTTCCTTCAAAATTATAAAAGGCCATATGAGTCCACGAATATGGCAAATAACAAAATTGGACTCTCACCACGCACACGTAGGAAACATAGGGCTGCACATACGAGAGAGAGAGAGAGACAGAGGAGTTTTATGCGAAGTGTGAGAGGGTGGGGAGGAGGGATGGTGACGCGATGGGTTTTGGGTGGGCGGAGGAGGCTACTGCGCAGTAAGGGTTTAAAGTTTAGGGACATACAAAGTGACCAAGATTATAAAGTTCTGTAGGACAAATCTACATGACTTAAAATGAGTCTGGGCTGCGCTAGGAGGGTCTGGGCGGCGCTAGGCGTGTCTGGGCGGCGCTAGGACGGGTCTGGGCTGTGCTAGATGTGTCTGGGGGGCGCTAGGCGGGTCTAGGCGGGTCTAGGCAGGTCTAGGCGGCTCTAGGCAGGTCTAGGCGGCTCTAGGCGGATCTAGGTGTCGCTAGGCGGATCTGGGTGCCAGGGTGGGTCTGGTTCTTTTCTTTTGTTCTTCAAGCCTACTGCCTAGCGATTCTTCTTTGAAGCCGATATTTCGAGCAAGAACTGTATCAGATGCACCACCTTTTGACCCAGCAATATTGTGTCATTGCAGGCACATTTCTGCAGCCACTTTCTTTTAGTCTATTCTTTCACTTCATTTTCTTCTATGTTTATTGATGGGAAACTAAAATTATGGCAGCTCATGTTTATTCTTTCACTTCATTTAAGCTCCCATTATCAAGCATACGAGCATATCTAAAAGAGCCTATTACTCCCAGGTTTCACATTCTTTTCATTTTGTTGGATTATCTTCTTATGCTAAACATAATTGATCTGCTAGGTGCACTTTCTGTTCTAGTCTTTAAAGAATCTCTTTGCTTTGTTCCGTGTAGGTTCGTACGCGTAGGTTCTGCAGGAGTTACCCGACCTTCATGAGCTGAAGGTTTCATACTAATTCAGTGCAAGCTGTATGATATTTTTATATATAATCAGTGTATCAAAATACCGCTTCTCAGCTCTTTTCTGTTCCTTTTCTTTTTCTGGGTTAGATGTAGCTCTTTCGATTTTGTACATTGATAAGTTTTGGAGCAGGGGGAGGATTTAATACGGGAAAGTGGAATATCATATGCAATTGTGAGGCCTTGTGCATTAACTGAGGAGCTTGCCGGAGCAGATCTCATTTTCGACCAAGGGGACAATATAACGGTATATAATCAAATAGAAGATCACTATTCTCTCTTTGTTGTATGCCTGTGATGACATGTATTGCTCTTTCTTTCCCTTATAATAGTAATAATATATGAAGGTTATGATTTATAGTATTTATATATATGCAGGGTAAGATATCAAGAGAGGAGGTTGCTCAGATTTGTGTTGTTGCGTTGGAAAGCCCCTATGAATCTGGCAAGACATTTGAGGTCACAGCCCGACTTATGTCCCTTAATTGTGTGCTGTGTGCCGTGGCTGTAATTTGCTATTTTTGGAAGTTAAAAGATTTTGCAGATTCTGAGATGGTTAAAAGTGTTGTGCCAATTAGTGAGCCATTTACAGTGGACCCTCAAAATCCAACCCCCCGAGAAGGACTACAATGTTTACTTTAAAACTTTGAAAGATGGAATTACAGGAAAGGAAATCCTCGAACAAGATCCTGTACCAGTGTAATGTTTTGCATACATAGAGCTCTAATTTCAACCTTAACTCTGTAAGTATAATGGAGCTTAATATACTTCCATTTTCATCTGAGATAATTCTCTCAGCAATGAGTCAATGACTAATGAGAAGAAAATCTGTCAACATATTAATTCTAACCACATACCCACTCCTTTCATGAATTGACAGAAGTTGCAAGGCCTATATATAATATATATATACTTTGTATCACACTTTACCCACAGAGAAACAATGGTCAGATGAGTTGTATATTACCAGAACATAAATTCAAGTGGAATCCAAGTATGAGTATATATGATGCTTCCATTTGTTTATGTACTTAGATTCTTTGTTACTTGTTTACCTATAAATTTAATATTCCACAAGTGAAGTTTATGATGTTCTGTAATGCAGAGTCTGGGGTTCCTGGCTTAGGCACACACCAAGTATCCTGCAAACCCAACACAGCATAATAGTAATTAATTAAGTTTAATTCAGCATTTGAAATGATTTTGATATAATTAAGATGATTTGAAATCTTACAGAACGATCATGAATTTTCCATTCAATTAATTCCAGTCTTCCCTATCATATAATTCCAAATTCAAGTTAAACAGAAATTTCAGAGAGTGTAGCACTTTTCTTTGCCTGGGCTTGAGCTTTCTTTGGTCATAAATTCTCCATTCATGAGTAAATTCAAATACCATTTTCCTTTCAGTCCGACTCAGGCATAGATGCAATCACCAAAACCTGCAACACGTGATCATGAACGCTTCAATGGAGAAATTGATGCTAGGGAGCTTAGGCACTGATTCAAGTAGTTTAGATCATTAAAAAAAAAAATACTTGCGTAAAGCCGTTCGGCTATACTATTTTGGGGAAAAAAAGGGGATATAGCCGGACATCTATACTATTAATAAATAAAAAATACAAATTTATAAATAAACCCAATCCTAGACATGTATTTATAAAAAACCCAAGCACTATTTAAACATAGAAACACACCCAAAATCAACTCCAAAGTCAACTTTTTGGGTGTGTTTATAAATGGGTTTTGAGTGTGTGTAATGATGGGTTTTGGGTGTGTTTATATGTTTAAATAGTGCTTGGGTTTTTTTATAATTTCAGACCCCATTTTGGGTGTTTTAGTGAAACTCCCAATAAAAAAGGGCCAAGCAGGGCCACGTCTGAAAACCAGTACAGCCGGTCGGCTATACTTTTTATTTGAAAATGCCCGAGTATTGCCGAATGGCTGTACTATTTATAAATTTAAAAAGGAACCGCCTAGCGCATGTGTGAAAACAAGTATAGCCGCGCGGCTATACTTGTTAAAAAAAACGATGCGCGAGGAGAGTATAGCCATTAGGCTATACTATTTGCTATTAAAGAAACGTCAAACTCTTCCTTCAAAATTATAACAGGCCATGTGAGTCCACGAACATGGCAAATCACAAAATTGCACTCTCACCACACACACGTAGGAAACATATGGCTGCACATACGCGAGAGAGAGAGAGAGAGAGAGAGAGAGAGAGAGGAGTTTTATGCAAAGTGTGAGAAGGTGGGGTGGAGGGATGGTGATGCGATGGGTTTTGGGTGGGCGGAGGAAGCTGCTGCGCAGTAAGGGTGAAAGTTGTTAGAAGGGGCGGCAAGAAATGAGAAGAAAATCTGTCAACATATATTAATTCTCTCTCTCTCTCTCTCTCTCTCTCTCTCATTGCAGGTGTATATACTCGTAGCAGATGAAAAGCACAGGCTTCTACAGGAACATACCTAAGCGACCAAGATTCTGTAGGACAAATCGGCCTGGACGGCGCTAGGCGTGTCTTGGCGATGCTAGGCTGGTCTTGGATGCGCTAGGTGGGTCTGAGCGGCGCTAGGCGGGTCTAAGCGTCGCTAGGCGGGTCTAGGCGGCGCTAGGCGGGTCTAGGCGGCGCTAGTCGGGTATAGGCGGCGCTAGGCTGGTCCAGGCGGCGCTAGGTGGATCTGGGTGCCAGGGTGGGTCTGGTTCTTTTCTTTTGTTCTTTAAGCCTACTGCCTAGCGATTCTTCTTGAAGCCGATATTTCGAGCAAGAACTGTATCAGATGCACCACCTTTTGACCCCAGCAATATTGTGTCATTGCTTTTTCTGGTTCTTTTTTCAGGCTACGAATTTGATCACAGAGTGTGTGTAGGTGAGTTTTGGACAGTGGTGAGAGTTTCTTTTCAAGGAGGGTCCAAGCTTCGTATGCTGAAATGCAAGAGATTAGGAGGGTTTTGATAGAGGGAGATGCGGTTGCTTATATCCACCTGAGAACTAATTTGTCCTTGGCATAGGTGGGGTTGATTGAGCCATCCTCAAGCCTTTTTGCAGGACGATTTTCATTCTTCATGACATCCTCCAAGTCATGGATTTCCAGGACATCAAGAAATTGCGATCTCCAGGAGAGGAAATTGTTACGATCCATAGGTGTATTGAATATGTGGGAGATATTGAAGGAGGTTAGAATTGTAGCCGTTGGAAAGGGTAGAATTTTGAGAGGTTTGAGAATTGACAGAAGAAGGCATAGGTGAGCCTTCATCGATGGCCATAAGAACTGTTGGATCGAGTCTTGAGCCTTCATCATAGCGTCCATCGGTCTTGTAGTTAAGATTCATGGCAAATGTGGCATGGTTTATGAGGGTATTTGGAAAGTAGCATGAACCATGTTCTTGTATTTCACTCCATTCTTTTAATATTCCACAAGCAAAGTTTATGATGTTCTGTAATGCAGAGTTTGGGGTTCCTGGCTTAGACACACACCAAGTATCCTGCAAACCCAACACAGCATAATAGTAATTAATTAAGTTTAATTAAGCATTAGAAATGATTTTGATATAATTAAGATGATTTGAAATCTTGGTTTAAATTATACTGTTTGGATTTGAGTTACCTCCTTTTCCTGTGGCAGTGGTGGTCCTGATCCTCCTACAAATTTCGAAAGGGAAAGTGAAAGTAAAGTTATAAAAATATTTTTGCATATGAAAATGTCCAAAACTCATTATAGTTATAGACACATACCACTCACAAATTGGCAGCAGGGATTGTAACCTGCAAAAATGGTATATAACCAAAATGTTTAATTTGCTGAAAAAGAAAGTACAAATTATTATTATGAAATTGAAGGCCTACTTGGATCTGCCACGGAAATTAGACTAGTATCGTTAAAATGATAATTCCATTGGTTTCGGGTCATAGCAAGAACCTCCTTTCTTTGTAGGGCTGCAATCTGCATAGTTACAGGCGTAGTCCAGAGCTGACTGCAGTGCTTGTTGTGGTGCTGCTGGCTTTGCCACACACCAAGCTTTCTACAACATCATGTATATATGTAAATTAATTGCTAATTCATTTAAGAATCGTTTCTTTTTAATTCTTACCTGTCCATTCACCAACATCACCTCCCAACAAAAAAAAAAAACAAAACAAAACATAGGTGAAAATGTAGAGAGAGAGCAGAAAAGGGGTAAAGAAATTACAACAATGTGGAATGCTCTATAGAGTTGTTGAAAATAAAAACATAAACTTTGCAGTTTAAGAGTCTACGAATCTCTACCATACCCAAGAAGAAGAACAGAAGCAGGAGAGAAATAACAGGACCTGGCAGAGCTAGCTTAGCCATTGCTGCTATGTTATACAAAGTAGTCTAATTTCTATGGTTAACTAATTCATGAAGAGGAAGATGGGATATTTGTAGCAGTGCTGCAGAGGAGGACACATAATGATCATGCAAGAACAACTGAGTAACAATCTGATATGCTCCATTACAGTCAGATTTTATATTACACACAATAAATTGCTTGCCTCAGCTTCTTTGGTTTGGTTATAACTTACAACCAAGGTTCAATTAATTCCAGTCTTCCCTATCATATAATTCCAAATTCAACTTAAACAGAAATTTCAGAGAGTGTAACACTTTTCTTTGCCTGGGCTTGAGCTTTCTTTGGTCAGAATTCTCCATTAATTTTTTTTTGGAAGGTTGTAACTGTCAACCTTGGATCCTGAGAAAATTTGGAGAGTTGGTGGAAAGAGATGTGAAGACATCCAAACTTTTCTTCCTTTTTAAAGACATCGAACTTTTCCCTTTATCTGTTGCACCAGTTGAGGTTTCTTGCATTAGAATTAGATTTGTATTCTTCCAGAACGATCAAGTTGGTTTTTATCATGGTAATTCTAGACTACAATCCCCACAATGGGTGCATCCCATTTATGAGTAAATTCAAATACCATTTTCCTTTTGATCATGAACACTTCAATGGAGAAATTGATGGTAGGGAGCTTAGGCACTGATTTGAGTAGTTTAGATCATTTATTAAAATTAAAAAAATAATAATAATACTTGATGCTATTTTGGAAATATATAAATAAAATAAAAAAATAAAAAAACACCAGTATAGCCGACGGGCTATACTATTTTTAAATAAAAAAAGGGACCCGCTTACCGCCTGGACTGCCACGTGTAAAACAAGTACAGTCGTTCGGCTATACGTTTTTTTAAAAAAAAAAGCCCGAGTATAGCCGACCGGCTATAGTATTTATAAATTTAAAAAGGGGACCCGCCTAGCGCCGGAGAGCCCACGTGTGAGAACAAGTATAGCCGGGCGGCGATACTAATTTATTTTTAAAAAATGCCCTCGTATAGCCGCACGGCTATACTATTTTCAAAATGCGCAAGGAGAATATAGCCAACCGGCTACACTATTTGCTATTAAAGAAATGTCAATTCCTTCAAAATTATAAAAGGCCATATGAGTCCACGAATATGGCAAATCACAAAATTGCACTCTTACCGCACACATGGCTGCACATACGAGAGAGAGAGAGAGAGGAGTTTTATGCAAAGTGTGAGAGGGTAGGGTGGAGGGATGGTGATGCAATGGGTTTTGGGTGGGAGGAGGAGGCTGCTGCGCAGTAAGGGTTTAAAGTTGTTAGAAGGGGCGGCAAGAAATGAGAAGAAAATCTGTCAACATATATTAATTCTCTCTCTCTCTTATTGCAGGTGTATATACTCGTAACAGATGAAAAGCAGAGGCTTCTATAGGAACATACATAAGCGACCAAGATTATAAAGTTCTGTAGGACAAATCTACATGGCTTAAAATGGGTCTGGGCGGCGCTAGGCGTTTCTGGGCAGCGCTAGATGGGTCTGGGAGGCGCTAGGCGGGTCTGGGCGGGTCTAGGCGGTGCTGGGCGGGTCTAGGCGGCGCTAGGCGGGTCAAGGCGGCGCCAGGCTGGTCTAGGCGGATCTGGGTGCAAGGTTGGGTCTGGTTCTTTTCTTTTGTTCTTTAAGCCTACTGCCTTGCGATTATTCTTTGAAGCTGTATCAGATGCACCACCTTTTGACCCCAGCAATATTGTGTCATTGCAGGCACATTTCTGCAGCCACTTTCTTTTAGTCTATTCTTTCACTTCATTTTCTTCTATGTTTATTGATGGGATTCAAAATTATGGCAGCTCATGTTTAGCAAGTTATTTGATGGGAAACTGAATCCTACTTTTGTGGAAGGGGCATTTAAGCTCCCATTATCAAGCATACGAGCATATCTAAAAGAGCCTATTACTCCCAGAGGAAGATCAGGATTTTGTGAGCAGGAGGGATTGCTTATCATCCATTATGAGATTAGCTCTAGCTTGTTCTGCAGAATTTCCAGAAGAGGATTAACATGGAAGATGTTGTTGTCACACTCAATAAAATCAAGATTAAGTTTTTGAAGGACTCTGCTGGATTGCAGCCTTAGTTTTTCTAGTGTTTTTGTTTTTGGTTTTTTTTTGTTCTGGATCCATTTTCTTGTTGTTTTCAATCTGAAAAGACTGCATTAATTTGTCATAAAGAGTTGCCTTTCTCCACTAATCTTTTCTTCTTCTGTCTTCATATGGTGGAAAACCCTATTTGTTCCTCCACGATTACCTTACTTACAAACAATGTAAGTAAGAGCGTAAGTGGCCATGACAGAATTTTATGTGCAAAACATATTCTCTCTGGGTTTTGCTGATGGATGCTAACACATTGCAGCACTGATTTTACACACACAAAAAAGCACTATCATAGACTGAAGTTCATTTGCAACTTCGTTGACTCATCTAATCCAATTTGTTCTTATATAATAATACTATTAACACCCAAAAGTTAATGTGAATTGTACATAATCAGAGATTATATGACCACGGTGCAATTTTCACAAAGACCCCGTTTTTTCCTCTTTTCGGATGGTAAATATTTCTCAAAAAAGAATAAATCAATCAATCAAATTCCGGGAGGCGTCATGAAGTGCTTCTTTAGGAGTTATTCCATTTGTTCATATTTCGAGAATAAGTATCTCCTGTTTTTCATATATATATAATAAAAACCGGCACATTTTGCAACATGCATGCTTACCTTCCTTATCAACAAGACCCCAAAGGACAAAGCTGTGACTGCCATGCTTGACTTTAGAGAATCTCAATCTTCAGTTCAATGTCATTTTCTGTATGCTCAATCCCCTCTCTGTACACTATACTTGTTGTGCTCATCTTTTCAGCACACCAAAAACAACTTCAAAGATAAGCCAACTCATTACTCTGGTTTATTATATGCTAGTTGTGCATAATGGGCACATCGTATGGTTGAAACCGCGTTTGGCCACTAGCCACAAAAAACCAGAATAGCACACTTTACAGAGTTGAGAAGGGAGAATTCACACTCCCTACAGACAGTCCAGTCCCCAATCACAAGCCTACCAAGAGTCTTTGTATTTAAGTGGCAGAATGAAAAGGAATATTATCAACTTAATTTTGATTTGAATTGAGATCTCTGAGATTTTTCTTTGATATAATGCCATCATGGTTGGTGGGCAAGCAACTAGCTTTTCTGGATTTTTATACTAGGAGGATGTTGGGTTGAGTTCAAAGTCAAATTATACTTCAAAGAACTTCCTTTGATCATTGTTTGACGACTGGACTTGATGATTAATGAGTCCACAGTAGTTTTGTATATAAAGGTTTCATCCTCAGTTATACAAAAGGATTTATCTATTACAAATGTTGTCTCAAAGATTCAGTTTGGTCATAATCCTAGTCTGTTCTGCTCTATTTACTGTTCTATCAGCTCAGCCAAGCTTGGAACTTGAAGTTGAGGCATTGAAGGCATTCAAGAAATCCATCACCAGTGACCCTTATGGAGCACTTGCAGATTGGACATCATATTCAAACCATCACTGGATCTGGTCTGGTGTTGTCTGTGACCCTTCCACAAATAGATTTAGGTGATAATTCTTTAACTGGAAGCATCCCAGAGAGCATTTGCAACTGCAAAAACTTGTCAGCCTTTGGTGTCATTTTTAACAATATCACTGGAAAAATCCCATCAAACATAGGAAATCTTGTTAATCTTCAGATTTTTGTAGCATTTGGCAACAGATTGGTAGGCTCAATACCTGCTTCCATTGGAAAGTTGGGGGTTTTGCAAGTTCTTGATTTGAGTCAAAACCAGTTGTCAGGTGTACTGCCCAGGGAACTAGGGAACTTGTCAAATTTAGAATCACTTCTATTGTTTCGGAATTCCTTTGTTGGGAACATTCCTCATGAACTAGGTCGTTGTAAGAAGCTTGTTAACCAGAGGCATTCCTTCTGAGCTTGGAAATTTGGTGCAGTTAGAAACATTGAGATTGTGCAAGAACAGGCTAAATTCCACAATCCCACTTTCCATTTTTCAGCCGAAGTCGTTAACCCATTTAGGAGTTTCAGAAAATGAGTTAACCGGGACTATACCATCTGAGCTTGGATCTTTAAGACCATTACAAGATTGACCATGCATTCCAATAAGTTTACTGGAGAGATCCCTTCATCCCTGACAAACTTGACAAATCTAACATATTTGTCAATGAGCATCAATTTCTTAACAGGGGAACTTCCATCGAATATAGGGATGCCTTATAATCTGAAAAACCTGACCATGAACCGTAACCTTCTTGAGGGATCCATTCCATCTAGCATTGCAAATTGTACCCATCTTCTAGTTATAATAAAGAGATTAAGGCCGCGGTATTATTTATACTAGTATAGCCAGGTGGCTATACTATTTTTAACACGTGGTGGAATGGCGCTAAGCTCCAGGCGGTCCTCGGCTTTTTTTAATAATAAAACTAGTTTAGCCGCGCGGCTAAACTTTTTTTTGCACGCACCAGCGGGTCTTTTTTTAGTATGTAAATAGTATAGCCGGACGGCTATACGGGGTGTTTTTATATAAAAAGAGTATCGCTGCTACTTTTTTGATGCAGCACAAGCAACAAAGGTTTCAAACGAAAACCTTGAGTAACAAGAAATCTGGATTCCACCAGAAATTGAGAGTAATTCTCTTGGAATAATTTTATTTAAATCTGAGATACTGAAAAACATTCACCAACTCTGTCTAAATACACATCTCTCAACCCTTGAGCTGCTAGGGGAGTTATTATATTAAAACTGAAAAACAGAATTTATTCCGAAAATTAACTATGAAACTTTGAATGCAGTTTTGGAAGGCCAAACGACCTCAGGATGCCAAAATCCATCATACATCACAGAAAAGTTGTAAGTTTGACTCGTGGCGTTGTTTCCTTTCTGAAATGGTATTTTGCGTCCTAATCGGAGATCGGACGACAAATCTGCAAATTCCCACTACGTCCTTTTTCTAGCTCAACCACGATAAAATCTGTCATTTGTTCTACATCATTTTTTATATTAAAAATGGTAACGCCGCACGGCTATACAGTTTTGACACATGGCGAAGCCGGAGTAGGGGTTGGCAAGCGGGTGGTCGTTATTTTATTATAAATAGTATAACCGAACGGCTATACGCGGAGTTTTTTTAAAATAAAAAACCGTAGTATAGCCGCGGCTGTACTCGGTTTTTTTAAAATAAAAAGAGTATAACTGAAAAACAGAGCGCATATATTTATATAGCAGATGTTCAAAATTCGAAGTTCTCAATTTTACTTAATGAAAACAAACACAATTAGGTTCTCAACAAAAAGAAAAAGAATAAAGGGCTTTCAGGACTTTTTTTCTTCGATTTTAGCATTTTCTCTTTATCGTTTGGAAAATAAGCCCAAACAGAATAGAAAGGAAACTCGAAAAGCACTGAAATTATTATATACGTGAGTCAATTAGCTAACTGGATGTACCAGGCAACCAAAAGATTAAGCTTACAATTCGGAAGGAAATAAATTATTAAACTAAGAGTCGTATAACTCAAGTGTTTAAGAGTATTTATATTCATAGACAGAAGGTCTTGATTTTAATCATGTATCTTGATCATAATAATCTTAGATCATTTTCTCTAATTCAAGCCGGGCTATGCTTGGCCCTTTTGAAGTTAAAACACATCAAATTCATGGAATAACTCTCAATCACAGCCGGCAAGAATTGAGCAAGAGAGATATGAAAATTTTCCGCAATAATGAAATTATGGTTTATAATGTGCAAAATGTACCATTGTATTTGTAGAGGAGAAAACATCTCAACTCTAGTCTTCTAAATACAATCTACTCGACATACAATTTTGCCTCTCTTTCATGATCATGTACATGAGATCAACGTCCCATGAACAAATCAAACAATCTGTCTATATAACATGAAGTAATAAGTCATAAAAGAAAGAAACACTGGAAAGAGAAACACCACTACGTTTGGCATAATCTCAAAGCTCTCGGATCCTTCTTCGGCAATAGTCTCCAATTTCGAAACATTATTGGAGGGCTTCTCGTGAGGTATAACAAGTGCTGGGGCCACCTCGCCCCAGTTGTGCATGTACTTCAGTTCCTTTGCCATCAAACCCATAATGAATATCTCACTAAATCAAATCTCAACGTGGAAAAATAAAATCAGAGATGGATGTGCTTGATCAATACGTAATATTGCTATTTGGGTTGAAGAGAAGGGTTTGTGATGCATTGTATATATAGATGAAGTGAGTGAAGGTTGAGATGGAACTAGAGGTGCAAAAATAGGGTGGTGGGCTGGCCTTGCTATAGCTAATCAGCGGTGGAGATGAGGCCACGTCATGGGATGAGCAACGTTTGGAGAGAATGTAGGGATGGATAGATTTGAATTTTTACAGTTTTACGCGGAGTGAAACCCAAAATGGCAAAAGCACGTTACAACGCACAACAACTAAGCGTGTAATTACCAAATTGGCAAAACAGCGTAACACAAAACCGCGTGTTTAGGTTTTGCGATCACAAGTGGCTGGTGCATGATATCCCTAGATTTTGGTTCAAGGAGTTTCTAGATTTTAAAATATTCTTTAGGAAATATTACAAATTATAAATTGCTGTCCGTTTGATAACCATTTCATTTTTAATTTTTAATTTTCACTTTTTATGCTATAGTATAAAGGAGTGAGGACTATATTGAGAGAGAGGATTAGAGGGGGAGGATGCAAGGGAGGGGGGTAACAAAAGTGAAAATAAAAACTTGAAAGTGAAAACAATTTCAGATTGATTTCAATTTTTAGTTTTTATTTTCACTTTTGTTACTCCTTCCTCCCATTCCCTCTCTCATTTTCCCTCTCAATCCCATCTTCACCCTCATTCTATGCTCCCTCTTTTTTCTCTATATTCAAAATATGAAAAATGAAAACTAAAAACTAAAATTGAAATTGTTATCAAACGGGTCCTTAATTTGTAATTTAATACATGATACAACTAGAATTACCAGTTTACAATATTGAGAAAAAGGCATCTAGCGAGGTACCAAAATGATAAACATGAAAAGCGTACACTTTGGCTTCCATGCATAAATATGGAAAGCATATATAAGATTAACAAACCTAATTAAATACTTCATAAAAAGGAAGCATTAATTAGCTAATTATGGGTCTATATTGATTTCTTCCCTAAGCACAGTACTGGCCATGGCATGCAATTGAACTAGTGTGATTGTACGACGACAAAGGTTTGTTCATCACTTGCAGGAAGCATGTCGACGGCAACGACAAGAGTGACGATGCCGGTGAAGAAGCCTGAGGGAGAGAACAGTTTATCTCAGGATTATTCTCAACAATAATATTAATATTGTCCGCTGGTTCTTCCTCATGGATTGTGTCCAGAGGCATATGAACTTGCACCCTAGAATGTTTAAGTAGTGGAAGAAAGCGAGAGGGTGCAACTGCAGACAATGGGGTCAGTCGGGAGGTTTCAGCCTTGGAAGCTTGGCTGATGATTGGAAGCCGTGGGAGGCCTTCCAAAGCTGTTTCTGTAGAGTTGGCCATTTTGGCTGATGAGGAAAAGGCAGCTATATGTAAGGAATTTGGTATGCTGTGGTCGATTTATATAGAGGGTCTGAGACTTAAGAAAAATATGAATGAATGTAGCAAAATATCAGAAAATATGAGTTGCGCAAGTGAACTTTTTAGATAAAGGTCGTGCTGGTAGGGACCTACACATCATTATCTTTCTGCCGCCCCGTATGACTGAGGGCAGCTTCAACTACAACTTTATTTGAAGAAATAATTTTCTAATTACAGAATAAGCAAATTAATTAGTTCTGTAGGCATAAGCATGAATGCATGTTCCTGTATGTTTCTTTTATTTTCTTTCTCTGTCTTGTCAAGATATCATTTTGGGAATTTTCCATGTGAATGATGGAAAAACAGAGGCATTGCTGCCAAGTTATAAGAACCTTGTTGTCAAGGAGATGAACATGTGAGTACTACTACTTTATGAATTAAATGCAAATCTTGGAGCTACTCATCAATTGGGGCTCTTTTTTATCCAAATATTTGCGGTCTCATTTGACAATCTAGGTATTTGTGGGCCATGACAGATTGTTGCCCTTTTCTTTCTGGCGTTTTGGAATTTGGGTCTTAAACAGACTTAACTAGAGACCAACATATGCATTACAAGTCTCTTCAACTCATTGTCTGGAAAATAAAATTTTCTTGAACTTACTATAGCTTTTTGCATTTATTGGTGCCCTACTTCATACGGCAGAAATGTACGTGAGGAGCAATTGCATTCTTGGTCTTGGATGACGGCTAGCCATGTGTGTGACGGAAACTGGCATTGATACGACAAATTGGCATCGATATCGCAAGTGCAGAGAAGCTCTTCCCTCTTGCAGAATGATACAAAGTAGTTAATTTAGATGGATGGATCACATTTTTATAACTTTATGTGATAGATCAGATATCGATCTATCAACTTATTCCAACCATTATCATAATCCTTTTTTCCCCCTCTAATTCTTTCTATATTTGACAATGTAATTCATGTATTCTTAGGTCATGAATTCTTTGTTTTATCATGATCTCTTTGGCAAATGCCAAGTCTGGAGAAAATAGGTGGAACGAACCAGAAAAGGCCCCTGAATATGGGAATGTCTGATGTAGACGAAAAAGAAAAGAGCGTGGAAATTAGGGTGAATTTGGACCATTAACACTTTTCTCCAAGCATGACTGTTCATGCATCGGATAAGAAGCAATTAATTCACCCAGGAAGAAAGCAGAAGTAGACAAACGTAGGTATGTTGACTAAGACAAAACCAATCTATATATATATGAACCAGCTGAATGAAGATGATGATGATGGGGCCAAATGTTTTGGCATCCATATCCTTTGAAATTTCAATTTCTTCCTATTACACTTTCTAGCATGTGATTTGTAGGACCATATATAAATTGATCTGTGTGACTCTCTTTTATTTTGCAACTCACTTTAGGATCATTGGGATAGGTTAGCCTTTAATTTTGGATCATGGGCTAGCTGGGAAGTCTAGCCAAGGTGATAATCAAGCTTCTATTCCTTACATGCCCAATGACATATAGCCCATCCAAAATGTTCACTTGCAATAAAAAGTAATCGGGAGTTGTGCTATGGTGAATCGCTCACTCTTTGAACAAAAATTCGAGATGCAGACTCACATTGGCGATTGCTGATATGAGCCTCATACATTACCAATAGTTTGAAATCACCCAAGTGCTAGCAAACAAATTAGGTCATTTTGTCGAGCAAGTCTTGAGTAAGACTACCGAATATTGCACCCTTATCTTGAACGTGAGACTCATATGTAAGAGCTCACATATGGGTTCCGCATTCCGACAATAAGTCGTGTATAAGAATTTCTACATTCTTTTGCCAATGCTTCACTCGAAACGAACATAATTTCAAAGTTGATTATTTAACAAACAATCCATCTAGATGTAGCCTCACCAACAAACAAAGCCGATTAATTACAAATGTACTTCTAAGAGCATCTCCAACCGATGTGTCAAACGTGCCACATAGACATTTAATAACTATAAATAACATTTCACATCATTCCAACCGATGTGTCAAAGCTGATGTGGAATGAAGGCTGGAGGTTGAGATGTTATTTTTGACATCCCAAAAGCAAGATGTCAAATGAATATTTTATTATTTTTTCTTTTCTATTCTTTTTAATTAAAAATGAATCAACAATAAAATGTAATAAAATAATAATTTAATTTGGCATATCGGGTGGAGTATAAAGCCGTGTAAGATGTCAAATTGCCACATCAGCCATCAAATTTAAATTTGACATTCGGTATTTGACATCTCCCTTGGAGATGCTCTAATAGCCCGGTTCAAACTTTTAACACAACTATAGACTAAATAATTGTAAAGCTTAATTGCAATCACATAATTTGATGGGCTAACTAAACTGATTATCGAAGTCATTGTCAGCCTTAAAAACACGGTACGTACATGCGTACTACTAAAACAATGATTAGGATATTTTCCTAACATTTCACCCTAATTAAATCTGAGCCAACCAAATGGAGGACCATATTTTCTCGGATCAAAGAAAGGTCCCCAAGAAAGTTTTTGTCAGCATCAATCTGCCGATAAGTAGCTTCATGAACTAACACGTGGCAAGGCCAATGGCTACTCCCAGTTCAACTGGGAAAAGTGCAATTTTGGAAGCCATCGTCCCCAACACAAAGCATATCTGCGGGAGATATCTGATCTCCATCCAAGCATTGACACCTACCATTGCGTGGGTCCCACGGCAGGCCATCCTAATTAATGTCAAAAGCAAGAGGCGGCACTAGATATTAAAACCTGATTTAACATTCTTGGACTGTGACTAGTGGCTGAGTGTAAGCCTAATAAATATAGGTTATGAATTTTTATCTATAAATAAGTTGTGTTCATACGTTCAAATTTGACAAGCGACCCGTTTTCTACAAGCTCATTTCTCTCTTGGGTTTTCTTCTCTTAGCTACTTTTTCACTTCTAAAGTTCTAAATTTCTTTAGTTTTTCCTTTGGAAAAATGGCAAATTCACGGCTAGCAAGGTTCATTACAGAGGTGGCACCACCACAATTTGTGAGTGTCATGAGACACAGAACCTCAAAGGTGTTGGATACAATCAATGAGGAGGAGAGAGAATATGCTAATACCTCATATGATTCTCTCATCAGTTCATCACCATCCAAGGGCTGTGCTTGTTCCACATCATCACCACCTAGCTTTGCTTCTGGTTCTGCAGCTGCTGGTACAGATTCTAAGTACTTTCTCAAGGAGGTTCATCGGGCTTTTTCGATGTTCGGTCACTGAAACTGAGCCTTGAAGAGATGATCAACAAATAAAAGCTGAAAGCTTGCTCTAGCCTTGAAGGCGTTATTGCGTGACATATATATTTGAGCTGCAGCCGTCTTTTTGAGGCCCTGTTTATATTCTGTCATTTTCTTGTTTTGGTTCAACTAACATGGCCATGAAGAATTAGTGAGATGACCAAACCAGCTGAGCTGATGAGATATGGAATATGAGACATGCATTATGTAACTTTATGCTGTACAAAGTCACAAAAAAAATTATATAGCTCATATTAATATGCTCCTCTTACTTACTTCTGGAATTGAGGATCAATATATATATGCTTTGGCAAATCTTAATTATTATCCAACATCTATTTGGGTTAAGGGATGATTAATGATTAACATGGAATTATTATTATTATTATTTAATATTTTGATAAGAACACGTCGGGAAGTTTTCTGAGAAGAAAGCAAATCATCTTTGAGTGGCAGACTAACCTAAAATGAGGTGAACGATGTCCTGTCAATTACCTACGCCTATAAGTCCAATAATTAGTTGTGCAATATTATTCATCATCACTTTAAAATGTGAAATGTCAATAACTTTTACATGATAAGTTTGGTCATAATAAAAGTGATCGTCAATAAGTCTGTCATAATAAACTTATTTTTAAAATTTTATATTTTAGTGTATGAATAATTTAGATATATATATATTCAAGATATTATATTGGAGAAACGCCGATATGAAGGCGTCTGAAAAAAAAACACTATCTAGGTAAAGAAATATTGCGTTTATACGAAGCGATTCAATATTTAGATATGTTTTTAAGATATTGGAGAAAACTAAAAGAAAGATGCAATATTTAGATACTGCCATACTGGTGTCTGTAATATATGTTTGCAGATGGTCAATGCTATTCTCTCCTTTTCCTTTGACTGAGTGAGGCCCAACAAACCAAACCCATTTAGATGGTCAAATGTTGACCAAACCAGTCGTCGACTGCGCTCGAGACCCAGCGCTCATCGGATAAAGTTAGTTTTTGACAAATATTGAGGAACGTTTGTTTAACCAAGAAGGGGACTAACACGAGGCAACAACATCACTTCACCAAACGTGCAAGTCCATGAACCAATAACTCATTGATCGGAATTCTCTTCTTTTTTCAAACACACACTCTGCTTAATTCCCAATTGACAACTCATGTGTTGGAATTACAGTGTCATTGTTTGTAATCTTAACCAACATAGTATGATTTTAAAAGTTGGTTACCATTTCCGGCTTTTGTATAGTCAAACTCGTGTTTTAACCAATATACTATAGACACTATTGACAGTTTCGATTTGGACACATTGCATTCTGAGGAAATAACTCTAGTAATTACATGACAGAGCGCATGCCAAATTTGCAATGTTTGAACCCTTGCGTATTTCAGGATCCCATTCAACCTTTCACTTGTCATCTTGGCTTTAAGAATTTTTGGATCTGATTGTTAAGAACCCAACAATCTTCTATCGTATCACTAATAACCCGATGTAATTAGCAGTATTTGGGATAACTGGCTGTTGAAGGTGCTGGCTGATGAAAGACATCCCCAGAATGCCCCTCTCTGTGCCTATCTCACTTGTCTCTTGACTCCTCCAAAGATTTCACCGCCAGGTTTTTTGTGACACTATGCTTTCACTCCGATTCCAGGTTATTGTTGATTCTTGTTAGCCATTTTTGGTTATGTAGTACAAAACTAGAAACCCAGAGTCACAGAAAGAAAGATCACAGAGAAAGTGAAGAGTCCTTCTTTAGGGATGGTAGGCTGGTAATTCTGTTATGCAGGTTTTTACTTCTATTTTTCTGTTTGTGTCTCAAACCTCATTACAAGCTTGTTAAGTGTGGGTTTTGCCTTGGTTAGGTAAATAAAGAAATGCAATCTTAAAAACTAACTGGAAAGCCTAATGCTGCTTATGATGTCATGGTCTTCTGCATTCATCCAACCGTTCATCATGAACTTGTGGAACTCTAATCTCATCTCATCGTGCTACTTCATCGCTTTACAAAAAAAAATACACACTATAAGCTCATTAGATGATTTTATCTAAAGAATGAATAAGAGAATTGAAATCGCATTTCAACAATTAACTAGTCGCTATGAGAAGTGATTCCATGGAGGAAAAGTTTTCAATTGTCTTTAGGCAATTTAATGCAGTCCCCAGCCCAAGCCAAAAAAAAAAAAAAAAAAAAAAAAAAAAAAAAAGGTAATTTCATACGAGGACAAATTTCTAAGAAATTATTATTATTTGGAAAAATAAGAAAGGGAAGAGAGGAGTACTGAATATACAAAAGGTGGATGAAAAAATTCTGTGTATATTGGATATACTAAAGTTTACAGAGCATCCCTCATGTTGTATTCCAGGACTTCCTTCAGTTTGCACCAACTCACGTCATTACTTTTAGCCACTAGAACTTGCTTTTCATTAACCACAAATTTGAAACTCTCAGGCAGTGCCCACAAACTTGCTTCACTGATCATTTTCTTTTGGAGGCTGCTGTGTTTCATTTCCTTTCGCCGCTCAAAGAAGACTTGAAGCCAGTTTTTCTCTTCCTGGAGGTTTCCATTTCAACTGTCTCCTTCAATTTCTCCAGTGCTGTCACATTGAGGGAAAAAAAAATATAAAAAGGGAAAGGAAAAAAAAACAGAGCCAGTGCTACTGAAGCATCTAAAGTCATTCCAATTGGTCTAGCTGACGGGGCTCACAATGGGTAAATTTAACGGAGGGCAAACATTTACAAATCAAGGATCAAACTGTAAATTCACCAAAATCAGTGTTTTTTTATACCAAAAATCACAAAGTGTAATTAACCTATAATTAGACATAAATAAGCCAAGCAATTACCAGATTCATAGACAGAGTGCAGCGGTTCAATGTAACTGGAAGGAACAGAGTATTTAGAGCAAGAGTTATTCTCAGCTTTGCGTAACAGCTTGTTAAATCGCTTAACCTGGCATAAAACAGAAAATTACAAGTATCCCAATAATTTATGAGTGAGAGTTCAAATTAATGACATTTAAGCTTAATCTGAACAGAGCACCTAATGACTTTGTTCTGGCAAGAAAAAAAAACACCTAATGACTTTCACTCCAACATCTAAATGACTTTCATTCCAATTCTTAATGATGATTAACACCTAAATTTCGTTTGTCCTTTGAGCTCAAACCTGCATCAAATTGATAGGTAAAATATATTTGTACATCCGAAAAGTGACAATTATGTGGGACAAATCAAGTAAATACAATTCCAGTTTATGAATAGAATTCAGCTGAAGTAGGATGAGATAAAGTTGTCCCAAACTCAAACCAAACGTCTACTTTATATGACAAGCTCACAGCCAATTGACACTGACCATGTGACCCATCCAAGTTGCACCCTTGGACATAGAAAAATTGAAGGAAATACTAAATTAAGAGAGAAAAAACACAAAGATACACATGGGTATATGGTAACAACTATTTTTTATCACACATAACCTTCACCTAGAATGTGTGTTGGTCTGGAGGCTAACAAGACAACACATACCTCGTCTTCACGCAACAATGTGAAGCAACAACCAGTTTGGCCTGCTCTTGCTGTCCGACCTGCTCGATGTATATATGTCTTTATGTATGCAGGCATATCATAATTAACAACATTCCTCACTCCTTCAACATCCATTCCACGAGTCATTGCATCAGATGAAACAAGTACTTGAATATCTCCTTTCCGGAATGCCTTCAGTGTCTTGCTGCCGTGAGAAATATCATTGTCATGATCTTGTCAACAGTTTATAAATAACCTAATAACCATATGCTGTGACAAGTTACAGCCATCTATTGGGAATGAAAATATCGAAGCTAGGACATGTTTCTTAGATGCAGATAAGAAGTGTTTATATGGATAGCAATACTTGGAAATGAGAACTAATCTTAGGCTCTTGGCCTATGAGAGTCGGCATGAAAAAGAGTAGTCACCTCCTTTGAGGCTCAAGTAAATTTCATCATGGAAGGTGATTTGACATTCAGGACAGTAGCTTGTGCCACACAAACCATGGATTGAACTGACCCTAAAGTTTGTTTCTATCACAGTCTAAATCAACACTCTTAAAAATATAGTAATATCATGTTTGTATAAACAAACACAGACACTACACCCAAACAGATTCCAGAATGCCATTTATCAGATTTATCCCAACTTTAGATGTGTGTCCACATCTTTGTGTTATTTGTAGAGAACACAACCTAACTACGTCAGGACACTCCTAATTTGTAGAGAGACAGAGACTGCTGTTTATCGTATCCCTTAAATTTACATACATAAAACAAGTGAAAGCCCAGAAATTACCTTCGTACAGATTGCCGTTGAAGGCCTGAATACTCCTTGATCTTGAAAGGCAAATTATCAAAAGAGTTCAATAAGGTGCATAGACGATGAGTCGACTCCACAGATGATGTGAAAACGATGCACTTCTCTTCTCCTAAGCTTTGCAAGAGCGCAACCAAATACAGTGGTTTGTATTTTGATTCGCAAAACTGTAGATAAGAAATGGAATATAAAATTAGGAGAGGGCACTGAGTTCTCTTTAGACACGTATTTTAGAATTTATAAAAATATAATGCCTAGATTTTCTATTTTAGTTATGCTACCGAAAGATACTAAATCAATCTAGTGTAAAATCAGAACTCAACTACCATACAGAAAGATATTCTTACCCTTGCCATCATCCCACACTTGCAAGGAAAATACGACTACGGTTTACAAAGTATCATTTTAGATAGAGGCTTAGACATTTGTCATCCCATCAAATAGGTCACTAATCTATTTATCCTAAATACTAAATAGGTAAAAAGCATTATTACTTCCGTGCATAACCGAAACAGTGCCATTCTCACAAGGACTCGTGTTTGCCAATGGAGTGGTGATGAAATACCAGTTTATAGGATTGTAGTTTTTCTGGAAGCTGATAACGCTTTTGACCAGTCGTCAAGAATAAAGGATGATGCAGATCAAGCTGAGCAAGCTTGCTTGGATCCTGGGTTAGCGTGGCAGAAAGAACCATTTTCACAAGCCGGGGGTAAGGTTTACCCTTAAACCCCCTCTCAAGACCACTGCAACAAATTTGAGATAATATTAAAAAACATGGCAAATGTCATAACTATAGTTTCATTTATGAAAGAGCAGTACCATTGCTCAATTGTGTGTCAGTACTGTCAGTATGAAACCAGGCTTGGCACAAGCCACATGACAAAGATGCAGTTCTGTAATATAAAAATTTCCAAGGGAAGAGAAAATGCACATAGAACTCACGATCTCCTTATGGTTTTCAAGGAAAATGGGGACGGTAGAAAAGTATGCGCACAAGGAAGGAAACTTTCATCATTAGCGCGAGTGATTTGAAGCACAGTGGGTAGCCAAGACTGGTATGCCTCCCTGAGCAATCGATCTGTTTCATCAACAACCTATAAACCATCGTATGCTTTGCCTTATAAGAGATTATGAAAAAGTTGTTTCAACTCACATCAAACATATACATATTCTGAAACCATTTTTTAAATATAACAGGCCCCATCAAAGGTTTCAGTTTGGAAAAAGATATACTGTAGCATAAGAAATATCTGTAATTCCAGTGTCACAACATATGATTGAAAATTGCAGTACCATAATCTCCTACTTACAAGATAACAGAGATGCTCAAGCGTAAATCCTTTAGTGTTATTGATATGGTCCATTAGCCTTCCAGGGGTAGCCACCAATATATCCACCGAGCTTTGTAACTCAGGCAAAAAATCTTCTGGGTCAAAAGAGACACCCAACTGAAGCTTAGGTCTATTGATAAGTTCAGAAATTTCATCAGCTATAGAAGATTGACCAACTGCAAGACCAACAGATAATCCTACAGCAGGTGCAATTGCAGAAAAAACCTCTTTAACCTAATCCAATAACACATGAAAATCATTGATTTAGTTAATATCACACCCAACGGCCCATACAAAGCTTTCATAACGTTAGTTTTCATGGGAAGTCATGAAACCTGCAGGGCTAAATCACGAGTAGGCAACACCACAAGAGCGCGTAGACATTTAACAGAGCGAGTTGACAACATTTGTACAATGGGCAAAGCATAAGCTAAAGTCTTCCCACTTCCAGTTGGAGAATTAATACATAAATCACGCTCAAAAGATCCAGGGCCAATAGTCTCTTGCCAAACTGCAAGCTGAACTGGGAAAAGTGAAGAGATTTCCATGTTCTCCAAAGCCACCTTCAGCCTAATCCACAGTAAAATGAAGTGAGTATTTCTATAACACAAAGTAGAATATGAAATGGAACATTTTGCCAATTGGGTAATTTTCACAAAGCTAATTAGAAGCTAATTTTGGCCAACTGGATTGGTTTAATTACCTGGGGTCAAGGCAAGGAAGGAGAGTAAGAGGGCATTCGTCAAACGAACTGACATCAATTGGGCTTCGCATCCATGGCAGAACTGGTATGCTCTTTTGTTTATCTTCTTCTGCACCCATTTTTAACAATTATGAACAGCTTTTGATGCTTGCTTCAAATTTTTAAGAACCAGCTTCAGGGTTTTTGTTTTCTTTGCCTGAACTAAAACCCTTTCATTAATGGCTCATGCTAGGGTTTTAGAAACAAGTTTCAAAGACGGGGACTAGCTGGCCAACAAAAATTGAGGTTGGAAATAGAATGGGAATTTATAATTGAACTTGAACGAAGCCCAATGCATTAGAGGCCTGGACCAGAAACGCAATCTTAAAAGTTTGGGTTCGACCAAAAACAAAAGGTTTGCAGTAGTAGTGTTTCAGGCAGCCCAAAATTCATAACCCAATTGGTTTCTTGTCTTCATCAACGGGAAGGATTCGATCTCTTTCAATATTGGAAGTAAAATTATCATTAAATTAAGAGCTAGTCGATAACAAGAGAGAGAACACAACGGAAGTAAGGGTCTAAAGGGAAACTCAATGCCGAAAAGGAAGCCCAAAAACGAACATTGTCGCGTAACGCATAATAGGTTGTTTCTAGTTCAGTCTAATTTCGCGTTGTGTTGTGACTTGTTTGTTTCATGCTTGTTTCATGATGCATTAAATATAATGATCAATTGAAAATTCACATAAAAATAACGCTTGTGTCATGATGAATAAAAAATAATGATCAATCAATAATTCACATAAAAGTAATATTAAAAATCTCAATATATTCACGCTTGTGTCATTGAACAAACGACAATTAACAAATTACACAATAAAAAAAGAAGTGGAGAAGAAGAAAGATGAGGGAAACAAATAAAATTTAATTGCTACCCTAATTAATGTTGACATATAATTGAAAAAATTGAATTAAAATAGTGAGATTGTACACATGATTGAACAAACTAATTTTAAAAATTGAGACCACACATGATTGGTCCTTTATGGCTATGTGTGGAGCCGGTGGAATCCTTCCTATTTAAATTAACTTTTCGTGATTACTGCGCTATGTATTTGTAGTGGTTCTTGCGGTTGACGGAGTTTGTGCTTGAATTATAAATGCAATCGATTGTCTTTTTCTATTAAGTGAAAAAAAATGACACCCACACAAGCTATATGGCACATCACAGCCGATACTTTATAAGACCAAAGAGAGATGAAGTAGAGAACATGTGGGCTGCAAAGCAGGGAATTCCAACTTCTCAGCCTCCCAAACCTCCAAAAAGTAAATTATAAAGTCTCCCCAGGTAGAGCCTTCCTCGTATAGACACGAAGAAACCAATACAAAGTCCAAAGCCCATCACCTCTCCATCCGCCCAATCATCGCCCAAAATATTCGATACATTCAATTTGAAGCCTGCCATTGTTCCCCATTTCTTACCAAAAACAGCAAACACAGAGATCAGAGATCAGATCGACGGCCCTGATTCAATCTCCCCATCAACCTATTTCTGATTTTTGCTCCAAAACAAAGTTTTCAGTTTTGTGCATGCATCACCGCCATCATCATCAGCATCCGTTTGATTCATAATTAGGGAACCGAATTGATGGGGTTCTTGTCGGATCGAACGGCCAACGTTTCTTCAACCTCGTGCTTCGGTGTTGGCTTAAAGGCTTCTTCTTTCCCAGTTTGAACCGCGATTTGGGGATTGATTGGCTCAGAGAATTAGGGCTTTGTTTTTGTTTTTTTGGATCAAAACATAAAAAGGAAGAATGAGAGTGACGAAGTCTCAGGTTTGGCAGCCTTGCAAGAAGAAGAGGTAGAGGGAACGCTGTATTAAAATTTGGAAAGGAAAGTTTGAGAGGAACGATTTGGAAGATTCTAGAGATAGAGGGGGGGAGAAAGACTGAAAGAGATTGGAGATGGCGTCGAGGTCGGCGACTGGCAGCAGGACCCGGGTCGGGAAGTACGAGTTGGGTCGGACCCTTGGGGAGGGCAATTTCGCCAAGGTCAAGTTCGCTCGCAACGTCGAGACTAGTGAGAACTTCGCCATTAAAATACTCGACAAGGAAAAGGTCCTCAAGCACAAGATGATCGGCCAGGTTAATTTTTTTATATAATCATTTTTACAAATTTCCCTTTGTGTTTCCTGTTAATTTAATGATGTTCTGGAGATTGTAATGTTGGACAATCCGCTGTTTGGTTGGTTAGAAAATGGAGGAAGAATCAAGGGATTATTTAGTTTTATTTAAGCTAAGAAAAAAAGGAGAGGAAAGGAGGTAGAAAAAAAAAAAAAAAAAAAAAAAAAAAAAAAAAAAAAAAAAAAAAAGTCACTTCGGAGAGATTGACACGCACGACTGGATTGAGTTTGTCGTTTTCTGACCCGAATCATTTTACTGTTTGATTATAACTGTTTTATTGACTCTTTGACTTTGGAAAAATTTGTGTATTTATAAGAAATTTATTGACTTTCTTGACACTGAAGAATTTTGTATAGTTTTAAAATAGTTCTCTATTTTTAATTTCCAAGTTAACTTATGAGAAACGAAGAGAGATTTAAAGATTCACAATCAAAGTTGAATTAGAGAGATTATGATTTTTCTTAAACATATTTAAGTTCCACAATTTACGTAATATAACCTCTACTGCTGTTGTTTTATATTAGATATTTCGTAAAGCATATACTTGTGGAAAAATAAAGGAAGAAGAAATGGAATGTGAGCATTTCATTGCAACTATCATGTGAGTTGCCTTTGGAGGTTCTTTGTTTGTGGGATGTTGGAAAACCCAGCTAAACTTGACTAACATCTGAAATTGAATCGATGTCAGTTTGCTATCAGCATACCATGTTAGTAGATGTACCAACTCCAATGATTTTTGGAATAAAGGTTTAGTTGAGATTAATTCCAACCAATAAGAAACAAGCCAATCACATGGTCTGACTTGACAGATATGCTTTTGTTACCCTCACCTTGCCTTTTTGATATCTTTAACATCTATACTTATAAAGCTAATTTAAGAAACAAAAGTAATAATTTTATTTTCATGGTCATTTTTGTTCTCATTTTGATTTATAAAATTGAATGAGTATTAATTGTTGTTATGCCCTCTCCTTTTGCAGATCAAACGAGAAATATCAACAATGAAATTAATAAGACATCCGAATGTCATCCGTATGTATGAGGTTAGACAAAGCAATATCCGTATTTTGAGTTATAAAATTGAATGAGTATTAATTGTTGTTTTGTCCTCTCCTTTTGGATTCCTAATGTTTTCTATTTGTATTCTTAGAAAATAGTTTAGAAGTTTGTTGTTTTCTTAATCATTATCTGGGATAAAATACATGTTCGGCATATACTTGTACATGTTTTTAATCATTATCAAAACAAACATGTACGAGGAGGTGGTGCAGTTTTTCCCATGCGGAGTTTTAAAACTGTGATTTATTTTAAACCATTATATTTATATTCTAGTGTTTCTTTATTGTCCCATTTATCTCTCTCTCTCTCTCTCTCTCTCTTCTGTTTTCTTTGGTACTTGGAAGTGACTTCCTGCTGTGTTTATGGTATAGGTGATGGCTAGCAAGACAAAAATATACATCGTTTTGGAATTTGTGACTGGTGGAGAACTGTTTGACAAAATTGTGAGACAGTGCTTATTTCAATTCTTTCTGGACTTTCTATTTACGTCTGATGATATATTATATATAATCAGAATCCTTGTGCTATTTTCAATTGCCAGGCAAGTAAAGGAAGATTGAAAGAAGATGAAGCAAGAAATTATTTTCAGCAGCTGATAAATGCTGTGGATTACTGTCATAGCAGAGGTGTTTTTCATAGAGACCTAAAGGTGGGAATTATGATTTCCCCCGTTGTGTGTGTGTGTGTGTGTGTGTGTGAGATGAGCTATTCTACCATGTAAGACTAAACTGTTGTGGTTGTAAATTACAGCCAGAGAATTTGCTGCTGGATGTTAATGGGATTCTGAAAGTCTCAGATTTTGGACTGAGTGCACTACCTCAGCAAGTTCGAGTGAGTATTATGACTTAATGCCTTAGGCAAAAGTAAATCCATTCAAAATTTGATAGTGAGGACTGGATGGCTTCTGAATCTTATTCTGTTTTGACAGTACCTATCTCACACTTATAGTCATAATGTACCATGGTGAATAATTGGGCAGTTTTACATTTATTTGTTACAGAATATGTGAGTGATTATCTTATCCCTTTCATTTAGGAAGATGGATTGCTTCACACAACATGTGGGACACCAAATTACGTTGCCCCTGAGGTATGTTAGCTTAATCAGTTATTTCTTTCTCTTATTACCCTGTTCCACTTAATGACACTCTTTTTCTAGGTGATAAACAACAAAGGGTATGATGGAGCAAAAGCCGATTTATGGTCTTGTGGTGTGATTCTTTTCGTCTTAATGGCTGGCTATTTGCCTTTTGAAGATTCCAACCTCATGGCATTATACAAAAAGGTGAATCTCTCTCTTTCTCTCCCACCTATTAATTCTTCCTCTTTAAATTTACTTTGCTTTGTCATCCTATGGCAGTGTTATCCTTGTTTTACATCTATGGTTTTTATGTGACCACCAGATATTCAAGGCCGACTTCACATGTCCTCCATGGTTCTCCTCAAGTGCAAAGAAGCTAATTAAGAGAATATTGGATCCTAACCCCTTTGCAGTATGTCCTTTTCCCTTATAATATAGAATTTTCCCTTTTCCAGGTGTTTCAATTTGTTTTTTGTACTATTATTTATATGTTGCATTTACTATACAAGCTAATTTTATGAAACAGAGAATTACAATTGCTGAGGTCATTGAGAATGAGTGGTTTAAGAAAGGATATAAGCCACCTAGTTTTGAACAAGTTGATGTCAGTCTTGATGATGTGGATTCTATATTCAATGAATCAGGGGTAAGAGTGAGACATTATGTATTATGATTTACTTTGGTTTATGATGCCAGGGCTTGACTATCTACTCTATTCTTCCAAAGCACAGGAATCTCAAAACCTTGTAGTGGAGAGGCGAGAAGTACAAAATGTGGCACCTGTCACGATGAATGCCTTTGAGCTTATCTCTACATCCCAGGGCCTGAATCTCAATAGTCTTTTTGAGAAAAAAATGGTATGGTCAATTTTATTTTTTTTTATAAAAAAAGTAAAATTGTAATTGTTATATTTCACATTGTAGTTTCTCTGTTTGCATTATTAGCAAGTCTTATCTTTTCCTCTTTGGTTCTGCTTGCATAAAATTTAAGAAGACGGCTGACATTTCCTTAACTAACCAGGAACTTGTTAAAAGAGAAACAAGATTCACATCCAAACGTCCTGCTAATGAGATAATTTCGAAAATTGAGGAAGCTGCAGGACCTTTGGGTTTTGGTGTAAAGAAAAATAACTTCAAGGTACAATGACTGCTCTCTCTCTCTCTCTCTCTCTCTCTCTCTGCATGATGTGATATGAGTTTCCGTTTCTCTTTCCCTGGTAACATAATTTAAAGCTGAGGAAAATGCATCTATATGTAACACAACCTCATTTCATTTTATACAAATTTATAAATAAACCCAATCCTAGACATGTATTTATAAAAAAACCCAAGCACTATTTAAACATAGAAACACACCCAAAATCAACCCCAAAATCAACAATTGTATATTTTTTGGGTGTGTTTATAAATGGGTTTTGGGTGTGTGTAATGATGGGTTTTGGGTGTGTTTATAAAGTGTTTTGGGTGTTGGGTTTTTTTATAATTTCAGCCCCCATTTTGGGTGTTTTAGTGAAACTCCCTTCATTTTATCCATCTCAGTTGAAGCTTCAAGGTGAAAAAACTGGACGTAAAGGTCATTTATCTGTTGCAACAGAGGTATGCCTCTTTCATTTTCAGACCTTTCACTTTCTTTTTTTCCTGTTGAGTTGACGCCCCTTTTGACAAATGGGATACAAACTAACTTTCTTTTCCAGATTTTTGAGGTGGCCCCATCACTCTACATGGTTGAGCTCCGCAAGTCTGGGGGAGACACTCTGGAATTTCACAACGTATGTTATTGCAATGTTGATGCAATGTTGATGCAATTATGGCATCTAATAAGTATTGTATATTCATCTAATTAAGAGCGATTAGGGGCTCTTCACAAATAATAGCCTCTGGGCTTCACCTGTTGCTTGCAAAATTTAATTGCTAGCAGTTGGTGGGCTAAAACTGGGTCGGCACCCCGCTTGCTTTATTACATAGCAAGCAGCAAATGGCAAGGGAATCTTATGCTGATTTAAATAAGAGGATTTATCCTCATATGGCCACATGATGTGGGCTGGATATAGAAGTGAGAATTATTTTCAGTCTGAGTTTGGTATACCCATCGGCCTAGAAAGTCAGCACCAGATTGAGTTTTACCAGGTTGAGCCAGACAGGCCAGACTGATCACGTTTGGCCATGCATGTTTTTTCTTTTCTTTGATTTTTCAAGTAAAAGTAAGAAGATGTAGAGCGCCGCTCAAGGATGGGACATGTATTATTAGTCCCTACGACGTTAGGTTTATTGCCCATCTAGCTGCTGCTTACATAATGTTTAAAACTCCCGTTACAACAGAGCATGCACAAATCCTTTTTATTCTTGTTTTGTGTTGTGAATTTTTTTCATTTGCATGTCTTCACTCGACTGTCTTAAATTTACAGTTCTACAAGAACCTGTCGACGGGGCTGAAAGATATTGTTTGGAAATCAGGAGATGAATCCAGGAAGGAAGCAGAAGATGGTAAGTCTCAATTCCTAATCTGTAGAAACTCAAAGGATTAATCATAGTGTCTTGCTTTCCTTTCCTAATAATCACTTTGAAAGCAAGACCCTCAGACACCTTTTCTCCTGCAGGTGCCGGTGCCGGTGCTCTGCCATCTTGATGATTGGCTTCCTTGACAGAACATACTGATGGGTTTCGTCGCTATTTTCTGTTTCTTTATTCAAAAATTTTGAGTGAACCTCATCAGATGTCAGTTGTTGAAAGAATACAGATAGTATGGCTTGCAGAATTATCTATAAAAAGTACTTGGGATATTTGCTTTGAGTGAACCTGTCATTCAGAAGTCATTTGTTAGATACTTGGTGCAGTTTGGGTTGGGAATTGAATGTATTATACTTGTTAGTTGTTGTTGTATCCTTTGAGAGAGAACAAAATAAAACGTGAAATCTAATTTCTCTCTACAAATACAAACACATTCCGCAGGGAAAATATGTAATCAAACAGTTGTTCATCCTCTCTCCGCCCCCCTCTTTCTATGTTTATTACATCTGTGTAATAATACATGCAAGTTGTATTTACTTTTGGATTCAACTTGGGGTGCAAAATAAAGAGTATTCGAGGCATGTTTTCGTAATATCTTGTGATCGATAAAGGAGTATGGAGCTGTTATTGGCACTTCAAAATAGTTATCTTACAAAGTGAAATGTAAACACATCAACACCAAAACACAAAGAAAAAAAGATATAAACACATCACTTGAGATTTAAAATTTTCAGAATAGTTTTGGTGATTTCAATTTGGGTCCAGTAATTTGGGAAGCATTGAATCCCATCCAGTCAGATGATTTGCTTTGTTTTGTTCGTAAATTCCAAATTCAACCGTTGCAACGCAAACGCATTTTTTTTTTTTTTTTTTTTTTTTTTTTGAAAAAAAAAACTCTTGTATAAAAAATATCAATAAAAATCATATGTCAAGTTTTAGGTAAGATATTAATAAATAAATATAAAGTTTTATATAAAATAATTGTCCAAGGCCAACCAGGCTCGTCTAGTCCCATTGTCCAGTAGTGAGGTCCAACCAACGAAATTTCAAACCGAACCCGCCCCGCCCAACATATCTATCAGTCGGACCCGTAAAACCCAACCCAGATTTGCCCAGAGGAAAAAAAAATAGTGAGTATCATTTACGCGCCACGCATTCGGTACTCGCTATAAAACGAGCTGCCAGTACGCATTCTCCCATTCTCTGCTTTCGAAAAAAATTGTGGGGAAAATCAACGACCATGAGAGAGGAGGTCATCAGCTCCGGAGGGACCATTGATCCTACTCCTGCTGCCAGGTACCCTATCCCTCCCCTTGCTCTCTTCTCTCTCTGTCTCCCTATTCACAAGGCTTTTCGGTCTTCGTTTTCCTTCAATTTCTCTTGCTGATCTAATTAGGGTTTTGCATTTGCTTGCTGTTGGTTCGAGCTGTGAGTGTAGTATACCAATTTGTGTTGTCAGTGTTAGGGTTTTGGTTATTTCTGTGGTGAATTGGTCAATTCACGCTTCTGTTTGGTTACTGTGAAAGTGGAGTGCACGAATTTCAGCTAAATTACCAAGTGTTATATGTTTTTTCAGCTTAATTTAGATTAAGCTTTTGTCTTTTCTAGGTGAAAGAATTACACTCTACTCAGTTACAGTTTATTACATGTATTATTGTTAATTCGATTTTCCTTATATATGTTTCATTTCTGCGTTATTAGTTCGGCGGGGGCATCTTCACCGACTGTTCCGGCAAATGTGGGGAGTGTAGATGGGTCTATTCATGGACAAGGCTCCAAAGGAGCATCTATATCTTGTGTTGGTTCACAACCCCCAATGACGTCTTTGAGCACGAGTGCTGGTGGTGGTGGTGGTGGGGGTAGTTCTGTTTTTGGATCATCAAGACTGTCGTGTAGACCTTGGGAAAGAGGAGACTTACTGCGTCGCTTAGCTACCTTTAAGCCTTCAAATTGGTTTGCAAAGCCCAAGGTTTTCACTTTAGCTATTATTTCCATAAACAAACATTTTAAATCTGAAGTGTTTCTGTACTTATTTGAGTTGTCACGGTAAACTTTGCAACACTGATACTTCCATTATAAAGTCATTTCGATGCATAAATGTGTGCATGCATACATACACATAAACATATACCTATTATATGAATATATATATATATATATGTATATGTATATGTACTCTACTATTTTTTTTTTTTTTTTTTTTTTTTTTTTTTTTTATAGTGTTATCGAAATGAAATACCTTTTCTTTTGTTGTTTGTTGTTTTTTTTTGGGGCTATAGAATTGTCATATCAAGGGATTTATATAGAAAGATGAAATGTATGGTGATATTTTTAAATATTCAACTGGTTATTGTGATTTGTAGCTCAAATTATGAGTTTATTTTATAATGTTACTCAATGAAGCTTTTTGACATTTAATATGTTTCATAGCATCTAACTGTTGCTTTTGTCATTGCCTGCAGGTCATCAGTTCATTGGCATGTGCTCGGAGAGGTTGGGTGAATGTTGATGTTGATAAGATTGCATGTGAATCATGCAATGCATCCCTGGGTTTTTCTTTATTGCCATCTTGGACTCCTGATGAAGGTTAGCTACTGCTGTCTTAGGGCCTTTCTAGTTATTTGATTTTAAAGCATTGTCGTTTAAAGTTTATGTTTATAGACCTACATGCTCTGCATTTATTGTAAGAAAAAATTGAAACATTCCGCTAAGAATGTGACTTCTTATATTGTTAATGCATTATGTTATTTTGGTTTCAAGTGGTTGTTTAGTCTACAATATCTATATTTGATGGTTGCAAAATTACCATCTAACTGGAAGTTGCTGTAGTCCAAACTGTGGGACAGAGTTGAATTCCTTGCTTCAAGTTAGGCTTCCCTGTGACCTTGTCTAAGCGTTTGAAGGATGTCCCCTGTGGTTTGATCCAATGTATGCTGTTTGGGGCTAAGTGTTGTTTGGATTAGTGTGGTCTTGTCTATTTTTAGTTGGGTTTTCCTGTTGGACTTCTTGCCCACCATGCTATGTACTTCTCTTTTCACTTGTTAATAGAATTATTGTTTCTTATAAAATATAGTATAATAATGCAAATCTTCAGTTTTAGAATAAGTTATTTGCCTTCCTATTTTCCTTCTGATAAAAAATTAGTTAAGAATACAATAACTTTGTCTGTTCCTGTTTTTTAATCTTTTTTTTTGTTCTTTCCTTTTCATGTCAATGTGCAGTTCAAAATGCAGCAGAAGTCTTTGTCAAGCAGCTGGATTCTGGTCACAAAGTTGCTTGTCCATGGAGAGGAAACAGCTGCCCAGAAAGCCTGGTGCAATTCCCTCCTACCCCTCAGTCTGCCTTAATTGGGGGATATAAGGATAGATGTGATGGACTTTTGCAATTCCACTCTCTACCTAAAGTAGCTGCATCTGCAGTTGAGCAAATGTGGGTTTCTCGGGGTCCACAGGTTGATCGCTTTCTGTCCCAGTCACAGAATCTTATGGGAGGGGAAGTAGATTTTAAATCAGAAAGTATACCAGAACTGGAAAGCTCCCGAGATGGAGCAATCTATTTATATTCTCGTGTAAGATTTATTTATGAACTTCCTGCTTGTGATTTGTTGACTTGGTCAATTACGTACTACTCGATTACATGTTCTTCTAACCCAGTTCCTTTCCTTTATCAGGCTCAGAGGCTTATAAGTCTTTGTGGATGGGAACCGAGATGGCTTTTGAATATTCAGGACTGTGAAGAACATTCAGCCCAATCAGCTAGGAATGGATATTCCATTGGGCCTACGTATGCCCAGATCCATCTTTCACAGGAACCTGGATCAAGCAGGAAAGCAGTTTCTGCTTCTGCTAGAAAGGATGCTGGAAAGAATAAAGTGTTAGTTAAGGAATCTAGAGGTGATCTCAGGTCACCTTTACTAGATTGCAGCTTATGTGGTGCTACAGTTAGAATTTTGGATTTCTTAACCATTCCTCGCCCTGCACGATTTACTCCCAACAACATTGATATTCCTGACACAAGCAAGAAAATGGGATTGACACGTGGGGCAAGTGCAGCCAGCGGGATTAGTGGTTGGGTTGCTGCTGATGATGCAGAGAAAGAACAGACTGAAGACCGTGATGAGGTAGCAACAACAACTGGGGGGAGTTTGGTTCCAAAATCAGATGTTGATTTGAATCTCACAATGGGAGGTGGTTTCACTTTTAACCAATTCGGCAGAACAGAAATGTCTGGAAACATTCACGATGTAGATATGGGAAGGGATCTGATGATTGGGCAACCTGCAGGCAGTGAGGTTGGTGATCGTGCAGCTTCATATGAATCAAGGGGTCCCAGCTCTCGTAAACGGAGTTTGGAAAAAGGTGGCAGCTCTGTTGATAGGCCACATTTAAGGACGCAGCAGGCTGATAGTGTTGAAGGAACTGTCATTGATCGTGATGGTGATGAAGTTACAGATGGTGGACAATATTCAGCTGGGCCTTCAAAACGTGCTCGTGATTCAGATATTTTCGATACACATTGTTCATCTGGTGCTGGTCCGAGTCATTCAATGGGTCTTGAAATTTATGCTGATGGTAATAGAGTTGCTTCGTTTCAGCAAGGTAGTGATCAATTTGCAGGAATCCATTCGAATAGGGATTCGGCACGTGCGTCATCAGTTATTGCAATGGATACAATCTGTCACGGTACAGATGATGACTCTATGGAAAGTGTTGAAAATTACCCGGGAGATGTTGATGATGTTCATTATGATACTCATTTCCCCACTTCTAGTACGTATGGAAATCTGGACATGAATGATACATCAGAATTGAATAATAGTAATCAAGCTCAGCAGAGCATTGGTTTCCAACCTGTTGCTGATGTGATTCCTGGGGAAATGGGTGTTAGTAGTACAAATGATGGGGAAGAAATTTTCAACACAGAAACCGTGACTGCTCAGGCGCGGGATGGGTTTAGTTTCGGGATTAGTGGAGGAAGTGTTGGAATGTGTGCTAGTCATGAAGCTGAGATTCACGGGGCTGATGTATCTGTCCATAGAGCAGATAGTGTAGTTGGTGATGTGGAGCCCAGAACAGAAGATGCTGAAAATCAGGGCCAGACAGGCGAATCTGCCCCAGATCCTGGACTGATGGATGAAATTGTACCTGATGAAATAAATAGGGAAGATCCACACGGTGATAGCCAGGAGATGCTATCTCGATCTGTAGGGAGGGCTGATAGTGGCTCAAAGGTTGATGGGTCTACTAAGGCTGAATCTGTGGAAAGTGGTGAAAAGATTAGTCGAAGCTGCAAGTTAGAGAACAATGCCCGCCCTTCTCTTTCATGCAATGCTAATGTTTACTCCAATTATAGAACAACCAAAAAGGAGGTCAAAAATGCTGGCAAATCTTCATTTACGAACAATTGTGTGTACCAAGAATCAGAATATGCAGTTGCCAATGGGATAGGTAAAAATCTATATTTTGGGCAGTTATGTTCCTGTATCATATCTCACCTCCCAATTCTTCTAAAGAAACTTTGTACGAATATGAAGACAGTTTCTTTTATTCTTTCTTATGTTTACTTTTAGGGGTGGTGAATGATTAAGATTTTTAGAGCAATACCTTTTCTTCATTGACTTTTGTTAATGAAGTTGAAAAGTGATGCTTACTGCTTAAGATATTTGTGACTGACAGTTTAACATCTTAAATATATGTTAAAAAGGATTTAGTCATTTATATATATTTTTATGCTTTTTGATTGGAGTTATGTTAACTCTATTTGGTTATTCAGGACCTCCAAAAGGTGAGAGCAATTATGAAGAACCTATGGAATTTGATCCAATTGGCCATCACAACCAGTTCTGCCCCTGGGTCAATGGGAATGTTGCTGCTGCTGGCAGTAGTGGCTGTGGCCCTGGTACCAGTGCTGATGTTGTTGCACTTTGTGGCTGGCAGCTGACCTTAGATGCGCTTGATGCTTTCCGTTCTCTGGGGCAGGCTGCAATTCAAACGGGACAGTCCGAGTCAGCAGCATCTTTATACAAGGTTTATTTCTTTTATATTTATACTTTGGTGTTGTAGATCCCACATTTATAATTTGGTTTGGTGTTATAGATCCAACATTTATACTTAAGTGTGTGCATCCTCTGATCCAACATTTATAGTTTAACCAGCTTCTCTTTTCCCCGTACCATTTTATCTTCTTGTTGCGCCATATGCATTGATTGCATTTCTACTTACAGGATGAACACCAAAACCCTGGCCAGAAGCTCCTTCGACACCACTCTACGAGTCGAAGCCAGGGGCAACATTGAGATGAGCAGTGAAGGTACTTCCAATTACATGTAAGTGTTTCACTAGAATGAAGCTGTTTTAATTCTCTTGAAAACACTGATGATTAGGAAACACCTGGTTTTATCTTCTGTCAAGAAGTTACAGTTCGATCAAATGATTAAGACTACCACCCACCCACACACATACTATGCACATGCACCCACGAGAAGCTCTAGATTGTTTATGCTCCGTGTGAATATGATGGGTATGAAACTCAACTTCTGTTGTTGCTAATTGCTAAGTATGATAATGTTGCAATTTTCAGTCTAGGTAGTTGCATGATTGGATATACATTGGTAGTAGGTCATTATTTTCTCTCTTTGAAATTAAATGTATTTCAGTTATCAATAACATGTCCATTGGGTACAGGAAGACTAACTAAACTTATTTGGGCCACGTTGTCTTTCTGTTGTTTGAAACTTTTGATGTCATCATTTTAGCAGTTGGGTTTCAGCTTCTATAATATAAAGCAATTACAGTTAAATGAGCATCAGCCACGCCTTGTCTGATGTTTGCTGATGCATTACAGAGTCCCAGTTGAACTGTCTGTTGTGTATATATCTTCATGGGAAGCATACAATCTTTTTCGACGGCGCTTTTTATTTTAATGATACTCATTTATGCATTCTTCGTAGGATCAGAAACCTCGCTCAAAGTCGTAAGGAACTTGAAGAGCAAGTTTCACTGGAGCCGCACCCCCTTTGCCCCTCCTTATGGTGGTGTAATTTATATAAAAGCAGGAATCTTAGATGCATTTTTTGGTATGTAACTTTAGACGCATTTTCATGCAGAGTTAACTTCCTTGTCTGTATTTTTGTTCAAGATATATTTTTTTTCTTTCTTTGGTTTACTATTACTTAGAAAATTAGTGATGTGATGGACCGATCGGATCTGGACATGTTCGAACAATTGTAATCCCCCGCAACTTGCTTTAATGTTATATCATCTTAGACTGCAAATATGGGTTTCTGCTTGACAGACTAAATATTTGTTCCCCCTTTGTCCTAATGTGTTCATTTAAGTTCAAAAAATTATTATTATTTTGCAAATCTTGTACTTTTTAGCCATTCTCACTACGGGGAATTAGATTTATGTACATATGTCATCACAAATTTAACATATATTTTTCTGTTTAAAACTAGCGGTAATTAAAAAATTTGTTGCCATACAAGCTTCATATTAGCTCCTTCCTACTAGAAAAGATTACATATAAAAAGTAGCAAGGGCAAGGAAGAACATGATCTGCAATGAAAAGCCATTCTTAAATCCAAGGCTCTGAGTCTTGTTTCCACTGATATTGTGACTTGTGAGAGGGAAAGGCAAATTTGTAAGTTTACTGGATGCAGCATAAATTGCTTTGGTCTGGATTTAATCCCAAACAATCTATGAAATCCAAACTCAACCAATCATATTCAAGCAAATTGCCAGGTGTGCCTCACTGTCCCATACCATTAAAACCACTCACATGATGATATTTCCAAAAGAAGGCCATCTCCTCCCTTCTCTCTCTCCCCTCCAAAAACCATGCCATTAACAACAGCAGCAGCAGCAGCTTTGCAGTCATCTCTGTGCTTCTCTTCTCATAATCCTCCATCATCATCATCATCTACTGCCTCTAATTCCCAGGCATTAAACACAAGCACAAACGCCCAATTGGCTGCAAAACCCAAAAGCCTCCTCCAAAAGCACCCTCTCTACACACCCACCCATACCAAACTCTCCCTCCAATTCAAAGAGAAAATCCTATGCCTTGAAATCATGGGAGTTGATGCAGGCAAGGCACTCTCCCAAAACCCTTCTCTCCACACAGCCTCTCTTCACTCCATCCACTCCATAATCTCCTTCCTCCAATCCAAAGGCATCCACCAAAAGGACCTGCCCAAGATCTTTGGCATGTGCCCCAACATTCTCACCTCCAGCATCAAAAGTGACCTCAACCCAGTTTTCATCTTCCTCTCAGAAGACCTCAAAGTCCCAGAACACAGCTTCAGAAAGGTCATCAACAAGTGCCCCAGATTGCTTGCTTGCAGTGTAATAGACCAGCTCAAGCCAGCTCTGTTTTATCTTCAGAGACTTGGGTTCAAGGACCTGGATGCCCTGGCTTACCATGACTCTGTGCTGCTGGTTTCAAGTGTGGAGAAAACCCTAATCCCCAAACTGGAGTTTTTGCAGAGCTTAGGATTCCCAAGAGATGAGGCTGTGGGGATGGTGCTGAGGTGTCCTGGACTGCTAACTTTCAGCGTTGAGAATAACTTCAAGCCAAAGTTTGAATACTTTTCTGTGGACATGGGGAAGAAGTTGGAGGAGCTGAAGCAATTTCCTCAGTACTTTGCTTTCAGCCTGGAGAAGAGGATAAAGCCAAGGCACATGGAGGTTGTGCAGAGGGGAGTGGAAGTGCCTCTGCCATTGATGCTCAAGAGCACTGATGATGAGTTCAGGGAGTTGCTGAGGGAATTTGGGGGTGGATGAGATGAGCCAAGCTATGCCAATTTGTCCTCTCTTCTTTCTCCCCTTGCAAATCTTCAAGACTCTACTTTTTTATTTTGTTTTACAAGGTCATCTTAGATTGTGTATTTGCACAGTTTGGATAATTTTAAAGCTGTTTGTGAATAATTTTGTTGGCCAAAGGTTCCAAGTGGCTACTTCACTTTGCTAGTTTACTTGAGCTTTTTTGTGTTTTTTAAACATTTCTTACTAAGAGGGGCGATAATATGCTAAACTTACAATATGAATTTGAATCCAGGACCTTGTCTGGGGAGCAATTACTCCAAACCACTACACCAGTAGATCCTCTACGCTAGTTATACATAAAATAATAGTCTATCAAAATATAAATAATTAAAAAAACAAAAAAAGAATAAAAGTCAATATCCAACAATAAATTCTATAATATAAAAATATAAAAATATTGACAGGGCTAAAATTAAATTTCCAAAGTTCAAAGGAAAATGTCTTAACTATTTGTTTCTTATGTGGATATGAAACCTAAACAACCCTTTAAAAAAGATTGCAAATTTCCCCTGTATGCTAGCTAAACCTTCAGAAAACTCAATGATTGAAATAAATAAATAAAAATGGGGAGCGTCGAATTAGCAAATCTAAACTAACCCTTAATAGAAATTAGAAAGTGAAAGTGCGCATTTTATTACATGGCTCTGTTTGGCCGTTGTGGTTGTGGCGCTTACACATAAACTCAAAGTTGATTATGTTCTTCCACTTTGACCGACCTCTCCCAAAAACCCCTCAAACACACACACGCACGCTGTAACTCTCTCTCTTGCTCTCTCGCTATCGGCAACTCGTCCTTTTGAATCGTTTATAATTTCATTGGGGAAGCAAAAAAATGTTATTTTCTCGGGGATTTTCTCGGATTGGAAGAAACCGCTTCAATGGGTTGTGTCGGTGTTTGCTCTCTCGTCGTATGGACGCACATCAATTATTTGTCTCCAGCATTTATTCTCAGTCTCTAAGTGAATCGACCCAGAAGGTAATTTGGGTCCATAAAGCTTTAGATTTATTGTTTAAGTGCTATATATATTTCATTGGTTTAATTAGTGTATGTTAGTAGATTTTGGGTTGCAGAGATTTCTTTTCTTGGGGATTGCCGCCTGTTTTCCATGGCTATAGGCACCAAATTCACCATCAAAGCAGCTCCATAGTTGAGGTGAGGTGTTGGGTATTAATATTTTTACTTTTCTTTTGGTTGCTACATACCCATTTGTTCGTTCAATGCCAAGTGTGAAAGCTTTGAGTTCCCAAGTGTTCAAAGGACACATTTTTTTCCTTGATTCCTGGTTGATTATGCAAAAGTTTAAGTAGTTAGGGTATGTGATCAGCCTCTGGATGGAATGTATGAATGATGTATTGTTGTTTGTGGTACAATTACAAAGAAGATTAATTTTAACTTTTCGATGCTAAATTGGCCTATGCCCCTTTCTCTTAGTGAGTCTTGTTTTTTTGTTTTTTGTTTTTTGTTTTTTTTGGTAAAAGATATTTGTTTTGTACATTCTATTAAGATGCTTAGATACTGCCTTACAGGAACCACTTGACCCATTCTCCCTTGTTTCCGATGAGCTGTCACTTATTGCTGACAGGTTGCGGGACATGGTAGTTGCTGAGGTATATGTAATTTCTTTCTCCTTTGGCTTTAATTAATTTTACTCTAAGGATGTATATGTTTGAAAGGGAAAGTTGATATTAATGGTTTCATAAGATTCAAATGTAATATCATAGATCATAACTGATCTTCTTTCTTTTCAGGTCCCTAAGCTTGCATCTGCTGCTGAGTACTTCTTTAAAATAGGGGTAGAGGGAAAGAGGTTTCGTCCCACGGTAATAGCAATAGTACTAATCAATTGTTTGACTTTCTCTGTTTCACTGAATATCAAGATGTTCTATACGTGGATAGCAATTTATCTTCTGTCTCTAAGTTCATGTCACCTATTGTTAGGAAAATCTGGTTGAATAGATATATGGCTTGTTTTTATTGCAGTGTCCTTGGTTTTATATGTAATACAATCACAAATCTTTTAAAACTCAAGTTCATTGCTCTATCTAGCCGTAAGTGACTTGAGGCTCACACCTCAAGTTGAAAGGTTATCTCTTACTTACCTTACACACCCCTTGTGGCTAGACCTATATACATGGTTACCCTCTAGTTTTTCTTTTGTTATGCTTGTATTCCCTGTAGTTTAATAAAGGGGGAAAAGTGAAGCCTATTTTCAGCCACTCCCTTGCTTTTCCCACCCCTCACAACAGTTTGAGGAAATTTTTTTCATTCATCCTACTTCACCACTATTACTAAAGTACCCTTAATCCTAATGCTCTGTCTCGTCGTTTGCTAGCTTTTGATGGCAGCAACCCTACATGCGGGCAGAGGGTGTTGCACCGATGGCAGCTGCTATGGGGCACAATCATTATTGTTATTATTTAGAATCTCAAACATGTCCTTTTAGGTAATTTGCAGGAGGATAAAATTGTAATTAAAATTTATCTTAAAAAGGTGGGTGGGGTGAGTAGTTTGAGGGTGGCAATAGCACCATTCAAGAGGAAAACAATGGAATCTGTTTGATGGTACAGGTACAGTTTCAATCTTGACCTTGTGTGAGATTTGTTTGCTCACATTAGTTCAAAATTTTGAAGAAGGATTAGGAGAGGGAAGTTGTCTTTTGCTCAAAATTAGGTAAAAGTTTTGAAGAATGATTAGGATACATAAAGTATTTTGATCCAACGTTGTTTTTTCTTTTTCTTTTTTTTGGCTGAGTAAAATCTAATATTCTAAGGAGAAGGGGCAAATTTTCAGTGTGCAAGTAATGGTGTTCCTTAAAAATATGAAGCAAACCGCAAGGTATGTGTAAGTATTAACAAAAGAAAAATAAAAAAACCACTTGGGGTTCAATATAATTAGGCCTGGCCACAGGGGTGTTTCTAAACTTTACCCTGAAACACGTCCAAACCATAAACCTTTAACCCAAAATCTTATTTACATTTATATATTATTGTTGTAACTTTGACTGCAAGTCAAAGAATCAACATGTGCCAACAGTCTATCTAATACTTAAACATTAGGCTAAAACTTTATGTACTTAAATACTACTGATCTCTGTTCAGTTATTTTATAAAATTTTAAAGTTACTTTACTTAAACACAGGGCTGATACCCTATGCACTTAGTTACTACTATCTCTGTGTCTAACATGCAAACACTTCATCCCTACCTTAGGTTTTCCAGAATAATGATTGCCATAAAGTCTAAAAGTTATTCAACAATTTTATGCTATATGCAGGTCCTATTGCTAATGTCAACAGCTCTGAATGTCACAGTACCTGAACCTCCTACACAGTTGGGAGAGGCTTTGTCAACGGAACTGCGTGCAAGACAGCAATGTATTGCAGAAGTCACAGAGATGATTCATGTTAGTATTATCTTTGCTGATTATCCTATTACTGTTGCTTTTATTTTGATATATGCTACATAAAACTGGAATAATATCTCTGCAATGTACTAATAAGGGGCCAATTCATTTGTGTCCTTCCAAAACTGTTTTCTAATGGCTTGTTCTAAGCCCCGCATTGAGGTGGACGTGCACGAATAACAAGATTTTTTCCCCCAAAGCTAGTGCTCTGAGTATAAATTTATCATCTTACCTTTTCGTCCCTCCAACTTATCTACAATACTATAACTTAACTCCTATATCTATGAAGTTTCTAGTTACCTTATTAGGAATGAAGTCTGTATTATAATTCTTCGGGATTAAGTTGTGCACATCAAGGATATGATAGTGCTCTTAAGACTTCAAGCCTAAAAAAGCTTCTAATTTAATTAGTTTCATTTTTCAGGTGGCAAGTCTTCTACATGATGATGTATTGGATGATGCAGATACAAGACGAGGTGTTGGTTCATTAAATTGTGTAATGGGAAATAAGGTGTACTTTTGGTTCACTAAAATTGATCAAGTTTCCTGTTTTTCACTTATAAGAACATAATTTATTGTAATGCCTCTATTCTTCTCTCTTCAAAAGTTTGATTATAAGTATAGGGATGGAGGTGTTTACTGGAGTATTGGAGAGTTTATATTGTGATAATTATATATACATGTAAGAGCGTCCACATGCATAACATTAAGTATTTACATAGGGAAAGTATCATGTTTCTTATTAACGGTTAGATTTTAATCCAACGACTTAGACCATGATATGCACCTTCCTCTGTTTGATAAATACTTGACCTGGGCAGAAGTGTGTAATCCATGGGACTCTTACCGTGCCCTTGTCTTTTACACTGCTAGTCAACTGATATCTCTGTTTCTATTAGAGTTTAGTTTGTGGCCTGTATATGGCTGCTGCTGATCCACTTTCCTGCTAAATGACATCTAGTATTAATTCTTGCGAAGTATTGGACATTTTAATATTCCATATGCGATTGGGTGCTACAATATATCATGATATCTCTTTCTTTTTGTTTCCCTTCTTATTAATGATTCTGTGCTGGGAATTACACAGTTATGGAAAGGTTTTGCATGATATGATAGTTGCTCTTCTTTCCATCATTGAATGCAGTTAGCTGTTTTAGCAGGGGATTTCCTGCTTTCCCGAGCTTGTGTCGCACTTGCCTCTCTAAGGAACACAGAGGTACGCATGTATTATTATGTACTAATGCACTGAAATGAGCAATAACACACGGGGCTATGTTACATGGACTCTGGCTCGTCTTGTTTCTTGTATAGGGGACTCTGCCACAAATGGTCAAAAAATTTGATACGCTGTGCTGGCACTCCATTCTTAGAGTAGTTGTATTTCATCTCCATGTCGTAGAGAATGTCAATTAACTTTAAGCCAGGATCTTGATGCTTATTAACCTACAGCTACAAAGTTTTTCTGGTGGGTGGGGTGGGGCCGCGGGGGGAAAGTTTGTAAGTACCTATATGACAGAGATATGGAGCTCACAGTCAAATGGTAGATTGCCAGGGTCCATAATGTCCCTGGTCCACCTCAGAGCCCATCTTATTACTTTTCCTAAAAATTAGTCTGGCAATTCAAAGACGAGGATGCCTATCCATTATTATATTGGGTTGTATTGAGATGGGCATGGACCAAAGTGCCTAGTCCAAGCAACACAGATACAGGGATGTATGTTCACTTTAGTTTTTTAAAATATTATCTGCATATTTTTTGTGCATTTGCAGGTTGTATCATTACTTTCAACAGTTGTAGAGCATCTTGTGACAGGTGAAACCATGCAAATGACTACCACATCCGATCAACGTTGTAGGTACACTACTCTGCTGCTTCTATCATATAAATACATTTTGTTTGCTTTTCGCTATTTGCTCGGTAGGTGATGTGAGTAGATGTTTAGACCAAGTAGTGATCATGATGCATTGACTTCTTGATCTTTGTTCCGTTTTTTCCATCGTCAGTTACAATCCTATTCTGCTCATAATTTGCTTTTGAGTTATTAAACTACTGGGTCATAAAAGTATATCTGTAGGCGTTCATAAGGTTTGGAGTTGGCTTGCTATGTCTTGTAGACTGCTTCTTTAGACCTTTTAATGTAAAGAAATTTGTTGAAAATTGCCATGGGGCACTCTAATTTTGTGTGCCCCCCTTTTTCTTCTTCAATTAGTACTTAATTCTTAAGGAAAAAGAAAGGAGAGGGGGTTGGTATGATAATTTCATGTTGTTTGAATTTTCTTGCAACAGCTTTAATTTAGGGACTTTCAGCCTGTTCTGGAGGACCATTGACGATGTAGGGGTGCTGGTAGTATGTGGGGTTTAGGGTTTAGGGTTTTGAAGAGAAGAGCAGAAGAGTGGGAAACAATTTTCCATTACCAAAGTACTCAATGTTCCATTATCTATGAGTGCAAGCAATTAAGCATACATGTAGTTTCAATTTATCCTTGTTCATGTTATATATATATTATTTTTGTCTGATGATGTTTCTTGATTTATGTTTCATTAAGATTTAGACGTTGCTAATAATGATAATTTTTTATATTGACTGCAGCATGGAATATTATATACAAAAGACGTATTTCAAGACCGCATCATTGATTTCAAACAGTTGCAAGGCAATCGCCATTCTTGCTGGGCATACAGCAGAAGTTGCAATGTTGGCTTTTGAGTATGGAAAAAATCTGGTTTGTGAACCCTTGAAACTCCTTTCCCGATTATTTTCTTGAGGAGCAAGCTAAGGTCTAAGATCTTTTATGAGTTTACGCATATATGGAGTAATACTAAAAATAATCAAAACTAGATCAAAGTTTCCTTCTAGAGCTCAAATCATGGATATTTTCTGATGGTGCATGCATGGGCATAATAACCATCAGAAAATATGTATGTATGGATGGATGGGTCGTTTTGTGTTTGTTTGCTTATGTATTTTTTTTTTTTTTTTTTTTTTTTTTTTTTTTTTTTTTTTTTTTTTTCCTCAGGGATTGGCATATCAATTGATTGATGATGTTCTTGATTTCACGGGTACATCAGCTTCTCTTGGAAAGGGCTCTTTATCTGACATCCGTCATGTAAGTATTTGATTGGTTGTGTGAGATTTCCTTGTCTGAACAAATGAGATTTGTCTATCTATCTCGCTTTCTTACTCGTTACTGAGCTACTAGGTGCCTCTAATGGCTAAGTTTGCTAGCTTAGCTTGAAATTGTTGCTGTGGCTGTCGGCCTTAAGAATGGTTTGAGTTGTGCTAATTAGTGAAAACAGTATTGGTTTTCATTCTTTATCTTTTCAATTTTGGAAAGCTCAACAAGCTTGCTTTTTTCTTTTCGAATGTATGGTATGCTTGACCTTAAGAAAATTTATATTTCAGGGCTAGCATTTTTTCGTTTAGCATGTTGAAGCAAACTTTCACTTTTTTATTCATAGCAAAATTAGAGAAGTTGTCAACTATCATTTTCCATGCTGCTTTGTTTTGAGCTTTCATGTTTCAGATACCTGGTTTTGTCATAATTATGTGAAACTATATAATGATTTTGTAGGGCATCATAACCGCGCCAATATTGTTTGCCATGGAAGAGTTTCCTCAGTTGCGTGCAGTCGTCGAACAGGGCTTTGATAACCCTGCTAATGTTGAACTCGTAAGTTTGTATAATCTACCAGCAAGTCCTGAAAGTCTGGCTTTTCTTTTAAATAATCTTTCCTTCTGCCAATGTCCTACTACCTTATATTTGAAATTCCCAATTTGTATACGTACGCCTTAATTTTATTAAATTCAATTCTTATTGTTGACTTCATGATATATTTCTGGGAAACACAGGCTCTTGACTACCTTGGTAGGAGCCATGGGATACGTAGGACAAGGGAGCTAGCCACAAAACATGCAAACCTTGCCGCATCAGCAATCGAATCTCTGCCCAAGAGTGAAGACAAAGATGTCAGAAGATCAAGGAGGGCGCTCCTAGATCTCACCCACATAGTCATTACAAGAATCAAGTGATGGAAAAGATATGCACCATAATGGCATAATAATGTGTTGAAGCTCAATTAATTGGTCATTGTCCCTATTAAGGATGAGGGACAATATTCCGTTGTTTTCATCATATTCTTTCAATTCTTCCCCTATTTTTGTTTTTCAAATTTTTTTTAGATGACTATATTTTGCTTTTCTTTTTTTCTGTAAAATTTTCCTTTATCCCTCGTTATATAAATTAAACTCTGGGGATATCACATAATTCTCCCAGATTCTGTTAAATGATGTACCTGGGATCGTATTTACTCTGCTTTAAAAATGAAGCTAGCAGTAAATTTCATCTCTGAAAGGCTGTGTTGGGATGCTTTCTCGAGTCTTATTTGAGCTTTCTTGTATTAACAAATAAATACCAAAAAATTTGTTCAAACACTCCCAACAAAAATATACAGATAAAATACCAAGCGCAGTTAATCGAAAAATGTACATTCTTCATGAAAACATGCACTAATTTACGTTTCACCTATATCCATGGTGCAGAGATTCTTCATGAATATTGCGAAGTTTGAACATTTTGCATACTTAAACTTGCTGGTTCTTCAATTGCCACCTTCAAACCAAAACTGAGTTCCAAGGGAGTTCAGATGATCCGCTAAATAATGAACACATCTTGGGAGATGAACAGAGCCCATGCATCCTACAACCACATAGCATCAGTTCATTACTCATCATCATAATTTCCTGGAGTTATTTTTGTTTTAATTTCTTTAGAATTTCTTCTTTAAGTTCTTTTAAAGGTTAACTATATATATATATACCTGGAGGATGGAGAAGGCCTTTTCAGCAAGGTGCTTTTGAGAAAGTGTTGCTCCTCTTTGTTGCAGTTTGTCTGGGTGGAGACAGAGCCTTGCTTTCTGGTAGGCTTTCTTGACCTGTGAACTTTCTATTAGGCTCGTCAAAGGAATTGCATACCATCCACTATCAGCCCATAGAATCTGATTAAGTCAACACCAAACAAACACACCACCATGTAATTAACATTAATTTGACTTCGGAGAGTTGAAAAATAGTATTGAAAGAGGAAAAACTACTTCAATTCCAAGATCTTAATTACATGGTGTAGTGTTGAAAGCAGCAAACGAATGTTGGATTCTCTGCCAGCTGACCATAGCCTTATGTCTTCATCCAAAAGCTCCATTTCAATCTGGCATTTTAGACACAGCATATTGATCAAATTTTTGTTCTTCAATCCGCATCTTACGAAGAAGGGAAGAATTCGTTTGCTCATATCGTAGCTCAAATATTTCAGAGAAGTATAAAGTTTATGTTGATTAATTAAACTGATGTACTTGAACTAACATGACACAGTTATGCAGAATCGATCGTAAAAGGACTTACCTCTTTTTCTGAATGTTGGTTTTCATCTTCAGCAACCCATGTTCTTTCTTCTTCTTCTTCTTCTTCTTCTTCTTCCTGAAAAACATGTAGATTGGAAGTGAGATGTCATTGAACCCTTGTCCTTGTTAATACTTAATGTTGCTACATGCCCGTTCAAAATAAACCAATAGTACTTTACCTCTGGAGATTGAGTCATTTCATGAAGTTCATCTCTCTGCTGATTATCTGAGAATTCATCCACATTATTATGCCTACCTGAATCATATCAAACACACAAATTACATCTACTCTTATGTTTATCTTCATGAAGTTTCAGTTTAAAAAGTAACAAGTGATCACCTTCTTGATCCATTCCAACAGACTGCTCATTCTCCTGTTGGGTCAAGCTCCCTTCTTTCTCAGAATTACTCTGTGTTTGAAACTTCTCTTTGGCCCAAGCAATTGCTTCTTCAATACCACCTGCTTCACATGTACCCTCCCTATGCTCAGAATTGATCTCAATCACATAAGAGCTCATCGCTTCATCGTCTTCTTCTCGTTCTACTGCTCGCATTACTTCTTTTTCATAATCAAAAACACGATCCCGAATCCCAAATTTGACCTCATGTTCTTGACAGAGTGAAGAGACTGCCGAGGATGGGGAATTGAGCTCTAGATCATCCACAGATAGCTTGACGCTTCGATATGAATTGGGTTCGAGACTAATGGTTTCTGGGGACAAGACCTTTTTTGTAAATCCAAAATAGGAGCTTCTAAAACCTTCATCATGTGCATTTTCCATAACTTGGTTTTCAGTGAAAGACATGCGATTGCAATGCAGAGCTGCTGTGCCTTGTTTCTTCGAATTTTCTTGTTTGGTAGGCAGCATAGTCGATGAGTTCCATCTACATGGTACATTTAGTGGTCTGTAGCAATCAAGAATGTGTTGACTTGAGGAACTCATAGTAGTTGGTTTGCTAAATTTTTCAAACCAATTGGATAAAGTTTTGGCCTTTTGGTTAGATCTAGGCTGTCAACTCCAAATAAATAAGAACCCAACTCATCTTCATTTCAACATATGTTATGAACATAATTTAACTTATATGTTGGAAGAGATTTCGAGTTCAAATACTAACTAATTAATTTAAAAAAACAAGACTATATTCGCACGGATTTATCCGATCAAATTATTTTAGTGTCAACCCAATAAATCCAAAGCATAAAAGAACTCAATAAATCCGTTTTTCAAACTATTAGAATGAAATCTACGGGGAAAAAAACAGAAAAATAGAAAAGAATCAAACGATTTTTTTAAAGTTCCCGCTCTACCCCTATCACGGACTAGAACGAAAACAGACACCCGCCATCATTATTTAGTTTTCCCTCACTATACCCAGAACTTAAGCAAATCCAAGGCAGAATAGAAGCAAATATAAAGCAACGACAGGGGTAAAATCGTCAAGAAAAATAACCGCTGTAAAAAAACGGTTGGGCATACCGCGAAATGATCAAGTCACACTACCTGAGCTTTGAAGCGAAGGAGGACAATGCCACGTCATCTCCGATGATCGGCCGGAGAGGGCTGAGCTCCTCCGAGCTCAGCACCGACGACGAGTTGGATTTCGCCTTCGAGTTCGGCCTCGATCGCTCTCTCGACCTCCGCTGGCCACCGTCGTCGTCCGATCCAAAGATATCGCTATAGAACCCCTCGCTCCTCCCTGGAATCCTGAAAGCCGGCAAGCTCCGGCCACTCTTATCCACCGGTAAACCAAACTCCGGCGGCCGGAAAATCTCCTCGTAGAAGGAAGTTGTGCGGCCGGAGAATTCGCGCGGGAGGACGCTACGCGGCGGTCCCCCAAAAACGTCAGCAAAATAGTCCGGATCGAGCGTCTGGCAGTCATCCGCGGCAGCAAACACCGAACGCGTGGAGGCGTGCTCGGCAGAGCGCCGCCGCGGGAGGGTCGGCATTAATCCCATGCGCATGCGCCACGACTCATCCATATTTGCAGCCAATCAACTGGAGAATTTTAATTACACAGTGAAAGAAACTAAGAGAGTGCAGTCTAATGTGTTGTTTAATTATATATAGAAGAAGAAGGGATCAAATGAACAAAAGGAACTTTGACAGAAAGCTATCAACTTTTTTTCTCTGTTTTTTTTCTCTCTTCCTTTTCTTTGTAACGGGGGTTGGCTTGGCCCCTCTTAACTTCTTTATAGATTATTGGGGTTTTAGGATGATTGAAATGTTGATGATGGATGGAATGTAATGTATGAAAGGTGAAGCCTTTGTTACTGGAAAAGATGGGTTTAGTTTGGTTAATACGTCGTATGATGGGGTTTTGTTTCATTGCTTTGTCCCCACAAATATCATGCTGGATCATCTTTCACTGCTTGCACACCAACCTTTGTTTTTGGATTTGGATGAGTTTGTGTTTGTTGGATCACTATTTTTGTTCTTTCTCTACCCTCTAATTGGTATAAAATGAATTATCTTTGCTCAAATCATCTAATAAAAATTTATTTACATATCAGAAAACAAGGCTTCTCCAAGACGGGGAGATTCTTCAATAAGTATTTTATGTTAAGGATTGGTTACGTACTTCTAATCTTGGCCGTCGGATTGCATTCATTAAATGTGTTGGTAGTCTCTTAGATGCAATCCAAACATTAACTTAAATACTTATCGGAGAATCTCCTCCGGAAGACAATATTTACTTTTGAGTCAAAAGCACAAACTTGAAAATAAACATGCCATATTGTAGATCATGCGCCGAAGTCCCAAAAGTACATTTTGAGAGTCTCAATTCGGTGTGAGAAGAGTGAACAAATCCAATCATATCAGATTTTATCTGCCAAAAAAGAACCCTAAAGACTATTGTTTTCCTAGAAAAAAAGTTGATGCTATTTACCACTCAGGAGGGGAAGGGAAGGAGAAATGTATTCGAACAGAAAATTAAAGCAGAAAGTGTGGGTGACTAATGTATTTGTTCAACATCTAGGATTTGCTGTCTTGGATAAAGCTGATTGAATTTATAGTGTTAATGAAATTTGTTCAACATCAAAGATTTGTTGTCATGTATGATTTAAAAAAAAATATCAGTCACAGTGGAAGGGAATAATTGAGGGAAAGCAAATCATGAAAAGCACTTTCATGTTTCTTTTACCTCTTTCCCCTTTTTGCATAGCACTTCAAATTAATATATTTTTGGTTCGTTTGATTGATGGTGTACATTTCCTGCGAAATTGATTTCATTAGCTTGAGAATCTTTCTGATATGAGACTTTTGGCCTCATACATGAATTTTGTTTGGTAAATTTGGAAAGAATTAAAACAGTTATTATATATCATTGAAAGTGAGGGGGTTTTTTTATGTTAAGCGTGGCCTACGGTAAGAAAAGTGCACACTTCCTCTTTAAAACTATTTAACAATGTATTTCAATGATCGGAATCGTCTATAATTTAAGTTATTCTTCATAAATTCCGTGTAAAAAATCATTTAGATCTGAAGTTGTTTGGTGCCGTTTCATTTGTACCATTGTTATCTCTTGGAATATTGTACTCCAAGATTTATCAGATACATCCCACATTCATTTTAGCAGTACTCTCTGGTTTACCGTTTAAAATAATATTGTAAGTTTATCTGTTTTACATGTTGTGTTGGAGGAAGTAGAGGCATATTAGTTACCTGAAATACTATATAATTAAGAACAGATTAACTATATGTAGTAACCTATCTTTTAATTACTTTATTAAGATAATCATAACCAAGAAAACCAGACGAAGCCAAATATTGTATAATATCTGAGGAAAAGTCAGCTATCAAAAATAAATTGGGGAAAAGCTTTTGTCTCCAACCATTTCTGACCAGCTGTCTGAGCTTTTCATAGATGCAATTTTTTTCTCTTAAATTTCTTGTTAAAGGTTTCCTAAGCAAAGGTAAGGGATTTCATGCATTATATTTCAATGATCTGAATCATGTAGTTTTTAGATATTCCTTTAAAGATCATTTCCGTAAAAAATCACTTGAATCCGAAACCATTAACCACTCAATTCGATACTTGAATCCGAAACTATTTGACTATTTAATTAAATGGTTATTATATATATATATATATATATATCATGATTGCTTTTGTTCTGTATATGGTACTATTTAGATGGTATGGTGGAACAATAATTTAACAATGTACTAACAAAAAACCCTAGCCGCTCTCTCCCTCTGTGAGTCCTAAAGGAAAACTCCATAGAAGGGGGAGGAGGAAGAAGCGTCAATGCCCCTCCTCCCCCTCCTCTCTTCTTGTATTTTCCTTTTAGGTTAATGAATAAATCCACTGGGGCATTTGAAAAAAAAAGCCTCTTGTGGTGGTTTCTTTTGAACCATGGTTATATTGAAGTTCCCCATCACCCCTTTTAGTTTATGTTCTCAATCAAATCATGCTCCCAAAATCCGCTCCTTGATGTCGCTCATGTTCTCTAAATTTGATTCTACATGTAGCCGCGACAGCGCTTCATCAGGTGGTGGTGGTAGGGTTCGTCTAGGCTCATGGGTTGTTTTAGGGTTTTGGTTATGTTGGGTTTGTGGGCTTTGTTTGGGCTTATGGTTAATTGTGATGATGTGAGTTAGTAGTTTTAGTGTAGCTTTATCATGTGATGATTGTACTGTTGAAGTTTATCTAATGAAGTTTCAATTTGATAAAATTAAAATAAATAATAATAATAATAATAATAAAACAATTTACTGACAAAGTGTTAGGAGGTTAGGTGAGGAAAAGGATGGCTGATACCTCAAAAGGGGACAGTGCTTGGCACAAGTTGATTGATAAGAAAAAGCTTTGTCTTCACCTCTCTACTTTACAACACTTGTGCTGCTAATAATCATCATTCTTTCAAGCAAAGCTAAACCTCAGTGCAGAGAGAGAGAGAGAGAGAGAGAGAGAGAGGCATAATTGATGCCACAAGAAAGCATAACCAGCATAACCTGGCGGTGCCAATAAAGAGAGCAAATCCCGTATTGCTAGTGGCAACTTGAGACTTTTCAATAATAATAAACATAATCAAATATATTTCCTCACAGACTTTGTCTGCTGTTTTTGTGATGTGGTCCAAAAACATAACCCCGAGACGAAGTGTAAATGGAGCTTCACACATGCTGGTCTTGCTGTTTGGTGTCTCAAGTTCTGCATGCATCACTTTGGGCTATTTATTTTAGCATTAAAGCAGCTTTTTGGTTTGACCACATTGTCTGCCCAAGGCAGCTTCAATCTAAGTTCAGGCTGTGAATTAACCCAGTTATATGATTAATGGCCTTTTCATTAATCAAATTCAAGTTCTTGCATTTATAAAAAAATCCAAAATACGAGATCGAGCATATGCTTCCAACAAGAATGGGCTGAGTCTCTCAGACATCTTACACGACAGGACACAACGTGGGCAGGGACTAAATGCAGAGCTGGTGTTTTAGTTCCACACAAGATTCATCAGGTGCTTCAAACACTAATTTAACTTGGGTAAACAAAGATTAGTCACAAGTTAATATGAATGATGATATTAAGCTAAGATTAGTGACAGATTAATATGAACAATGATATTAAGCAGCAAATATGCATGCAACAATAGATTTTTTTTTTTGACAATGCGATATTCTAAACTACTCTAACGTAGGACTTGGTGATCGAACTCGAGTGCAAAGGGGCGGACATACTACATTGGCCAACTGACCCAACCCCCACAACAGTATAATATTTTGCAGTGGGATAGGTTGGCCATGAAGCAGACATGCTAGGAAGTTCCATGTGTGGTGTGGTGTGGCTCTCAACATAAAGACGCCCTTTTTATCTCCTTAATGCAAAAGTAAAGCCCCCCATAGCATATATATTCCTACACGAAGATTGCTTCCACCTTTTCATCTTTCCAACTTGTGTTGAATGTGGATACTCAATTATGAGATGGCCTCGATAAGCAACACTTAACAACAATCCCTATTTTTGGTTCCATGATAAACTCTCTGATAAATATTTTTAAGTACTATACATTTGGTTTGCATATGAGATATGATCAATAATGGAGGAGACAATATTAAAAGTTGTCAAGTGGATCACGTGTAGAGGGGACCTTTCAACAATTTCCAGAAAAACCATGCTTTCTGTCTTTCTTTTTGTACAATGGATGATAATTCCACTAAGCAACAAATGAGCAGAAACGAAAATAGGAAGGCCACTCAACAACATTTTGGCTGACAATTATTTGTTTCCTTTTACATATTGAAGAAAGAGTGGTGGGGGTTAGGATTATCATGTACACATTGGAAAAACTAGGACCAAAACTGTCAACCTTCCAAATGCTATCTAACTAGGTGCTGGAATCTGTTACGAACTTATGAGTTAATGAAACAGTCTCCTGAAACCATGAACTGAAAGCTCAAAAAAGCGAATCTTTGAAGGCAAGCCTCTGAGATAACCAGAAAGTGATTCCTCTGTATTATGGCACAACTGGTGTTGTCAAACATGCGCTCCCGAACATGTGCATAATCATGTAATTGCAGTACTGAGTCTCTTATTCCACTGTCGGGTTCCATGTGCACAATGATGTAATTGCAGTACCAAGTCTCTTATTCCACTGTGGGGTTCCATTACGAAGTATATGCGCATCGCCTGCCAAAAAAAAAAAGGAATTGCATACTTGATGTTAATAGAAGAACCAACGAGTTATGAAGCGAAGGAAAATATCAGATTGCTGTTCTTTGCATTTCATATGACCTAAGGAATTAACTACAGATTGGAAACTCTGGACTGTAACCTGACCCTCTGACTCCTTGCAGCTGAAAACACCCTCTCAACCATGCATTTATGTCGGTCTTCTCAATTCTAAATGCAGAAAGGGAATCAATATGGTTTCAACGTACTTACAAGGGACAAATTTGAGGGTTCAGTTTCCTTACTGGAAACAATCACCTCTCCTGACTACCTCACCCTTGGCACGGAAGTTAACGCAGTAGGGGTCAAGTACATGATTCCGTATCTGAGCCCTTAGTCTCTATCACATGTTCTTTAACATCACTCTTTTTTCCGGTTTTTTCTTTTCTGTTGTTTTCTGTAAATAAATGATTTACATTTTCCTTTTGGGTCAAATGGCTGGACTACACACAACACAGGGTTGAGAAGAACTATCATGTCCTTAAACCCCTAATCCACCTTTGCCTGGATTTGAACCACTTTCTACCATATGCTTACAAAATGAAATTTCTTTATTTAAAGGAAACTTTATAGAAACTGAAGAAATCTTACTAGGTAAACGTTCCCGTCTAAACAAAATATTCAGATGAAGATCCAACGTTGTAAATGTTCCCTCCTCATCTGTAGCCAAATACCAACTCTATCAGATGTGCATGTTCTGAATCTACAACTAACAGATAAATACATTCTCCGAATAGAGCAGAAAGCTAGGAAAACACAAAGAAAAAATACAAATGGGAAATCAATAAAGAAGAATAGGCCTTACCATATTAAAGCCCTCGAAGACAGAATCTCAACAGCAGACAATGCTGAGTGGAGAAAAATTATACTCTTTGCAGTCTGAGCTCAGAACAGTTCTTGTTAGCTTCGCAAATGTTCCTGATGTTGGTGTGATAGGCATCCACGCTCAACAAACCGTAACATAAGGTTGTCTGCCTCTTTGGAGTTTCCTTCTGACATCAGTCTCTTGGTCACCTTCTCACACAACTTCAAATCAGGAATCAGATTCCGATTGAACATTCGACAAGCCACTTTGTATGCTGATAGAGGAGTCCCTTTTCTCAAATAACTATCCACAAGAACATGGCATGTCTTAGCATCAACTCTTGAAGCTGTTCTCAACACCTTACCCAGTAGTTTATCAGCCTCCTCAAGCTTCCCAAAACTACAAAGCTTCTCAATCACTTGATTATATGCTGTTTTGCAATTTTGCCTTAAGAACATCTTCTCCAATAATTTTACTAAATCGTCCACCCTACCCGTTTGACAATACCAGTGGATGACTGTCCTGTATGTGACTGGAGTAGGATCCAATCCCTTACCCAGCATCTCAATCATAAGTTTGGTTGCCTCTTGTATTCTACCTTTCTTTCCCAACGCATTGATCACTGTTGTATAAGTGATTGCGTCTGGATGTTTGTTGCTGAGATACATGTCATCAAGCAATGACAAAGCAGTTTCCAAGTCATCCTTTTGACAATATCCATGAATAACAGTTGTAAAATTGACAACATTAACAGCACACCCCTTGTTTAGACACTCCTCCATGAAACGTTTAGCCTCATTTATCTTCCCTTCTCGGCAGAGAGACTGAATTAGTAAATTAATTTCAACTGGGTTAGGGAGAAAACCCTTATTAACCATTTCTCTGACCATATCACAGGCCTCAACCAGTTTCCCTTCCCTACGGAGTCCATGCATCAGAACACTATAAGTGATGGCATTTGGTGTCCACCATTCTTCCTCGCTCATGTTCATCATCTCTCTTGCCTCTAATGAGTTCTGACTACGACAAAGCCCGTTTAATAAAGCCGTATATGATACGGTATTTGGCTTGCAACCATGCTTGTACATGTGCTGAAGCATCTTTTTAGCTTGATCCACCTTCCCAAGCCGGCAATACCCGTTGAGAACAGCAGTATATGTTACAACATCTGGTGTGCAACCTTTTGCGAACATTTCATTCACAATTTCTTTTGCCATGTCAATCCTACCATCCTTACAGAACGAATGTACTATTGCACTATACCCAACCTTATCGAACCGAAATCCCTTCTCTTCAGCTTCCCTTAAAAACTCAACAGCCTCATCTCCATAACCATGCTTAGAAAGCATATGGACAAGATTATTATAAGTAACCTGGTCTGGTAATAATCCACCATCCTTGGTCATCTTCTCAACCAATTCCCTCACTTCTTTGACCCTTTTCTCCTTACAAAGGAAACCCATCACAGTATAGTAACTAACTTTATCCGGAGGGCACCCTCTGTTTGGCATTTCATCAATCAGCTCCAATGCATCTTCAACACGATGCACCTCACAATACCCCTTTATCAAGCAATTATAAGTGACAACATTTGGTGCAATTCCAACAAGTTGCATCCTTTCCAAGACCCTCAACGCCTTCTCCAACTTATTCCCCATCACCAAAGCATGAATTGCAGTGTTACATATTGACACATTAAGCTCAACCCCAGCTTTCTGCATCAACGTCAACACACGCATGGCATGCCTCAACTTGCCGGCCCGGCTATACGAAACCATCACATAGCCAAAAGCTTCAGGGCTACGCTCAATTCCCCTGCGGGCCATGAGCCGAAGAACCCTCTTAGCCCCTTGGCACAACTTAGTCTTGCTAAGCACCTCAAGCATTGCATAGTAAACAACTGGGTAATGTTTATACCTCCACTGCCTATCAGCCCAATAGAAAAATTCCAGAGCAACTCTCTCATCAGCCTGAGACCTCAACACAGCACAAACTTGCCTTGCCTTCAGGCTTCTTAACAAGTTCCTTAATTGTCCTTCAAGCTTTGGGTTCCAGCCTGACCTAAGCTCAAGTAACCTGCAAACCTCTCTCACCAATGGGTGCCTAAACTCATCTTCATCTCCTTCAACTCTATCAAAGTTTTCCTTTTGTTCATGAACCCTATTCGACGAACCCAACACCATTAAATCGTCGTCGTCGTCGTCACTATCCTTTTCTTCTTCACCATCAGGCTCTTCAAGGTCATCAAAGATACCAAATTTAGAGCTTTGATAATCTTCGCAATCATTCTTCGTACTTCCTAAGAAACTCCAGTCCCCCAAATCTGGAGCACCCAATTTCCCAACTCCATCATACCCATTACTGGTAGGATCAAAATCATCACTTTCAACAGAAGGAGCTTTGATTTTAGAGTCAAAATCAGAACTGGGGTCAGAGCTTCTTGAAGAAAATGATGAGAAAAATGCAGCAAGCTCCACACAGGTTAATGGGTGCTCAAAAAGATGGCTGGTGGGTTCAAAGGCAATTGCTTTTCCGATTCTAAGGTAACAACTACGACCAAAGAACATTGCAGTTACTATTCCAAACAAAAATAAAATAAAAAAACCAATCTGAGATGAACAATTTGACCAGCGAATGTGACTAGAAAATGTTTGTATGAACTAGGTAGGAACTGTGAAGAAGAAGAAGAGGAAAAAAAGAAATGAAAAAGGGAAACGGCGAGCAGGTACGAAACGACGACGTATTCATACGTTACATGCTGAAAGTATAAAAAGGCGCGGGCTCCCGATGCATGACAATCCCAACCCAAGCCCGTCGACAACAATGTCAGCCATATTCTTTTGAGCCTTTTTTTTCCCTCTCCTCTTGATTACGGTCCCTATTTTTTTTGTAGGCTTGATTACTGTTTTCCAATGGGCTCGAACATCGGTCTCAATTTATTATTTGAAACTCAAATTTTCGCACTAAACTCAAACTTCTTAATTTATTACGTCATCAATTTAACGGTTTTGTAAATAGAGTAGACGAAAAATGGTGAAACAGGAGATGAAGTAAAGTTCAGTGCGAAATTTTGAGTTGTAAGGAATAATTTGAGAGCATGAAGAACAACAGTAATTAATAATTAGCAGAAAATTAAGAACAAAAATGGAAAAAAGTAGAAATTAGAAAGCCTATTTATTTATTAAAGCCTAAATAAGATTCGTCAGTCAAGTTCTTTTCCTACCAACCTACCAAGTAAATTAACGTAGATACATAGAGCCAATAATTCTACGCCACGTAGACAGATGCCCACCGATAAAACCGTCGCATTTCCCGGGCCAATGTGCAAACCAAATATTTCCTTTCCTTTGCGCCACCTCTCTCCTTTCTCTCTGAAAAACTGAAACCCTCTTCTTCCGACTTAGACTCTCCAATGGCGGCCGAGGACCACAATGGCGGTCGATCGGCGCTGATCTTCCTCGGGACCGGGTGCTCGAGCGCCGTCCCCAACGCAATGTGCCTGATCCAGCCCTCCAATCCCTGCGACGTATGCCCTCAGGCGCTCTCCACCCCCCCGGACCAAAACCCTAATTACCGGTAATTGAAGTTCAGATCTGTCATTGTGTACTTGTTTGTTTGCCGAGAATGTTGAGGAAAATGAACATTTGAGTGATTTGTGTTTGCAGGTGCAATACATCGCTTTTGATTGATTATTGCCCAAGTGATGGCAAGCACTGTTATATATTGATTGATGTTGGAAAGACGTTCAGGGAGCAAGTGATTCGATGGTTCACTCGCTATAAGATTCCTAGAATTGATTCTGTGAGTTTTCTTTATGCACATTTTTGTCTCTCGCCTGTATGGCTAGCTAGTTATTATTTTCAGAACATTTGGCCTATTAAAATCAATGTTTTAGACGAATGCATGTTTATTTTTTGGCTTGGATAGTTGTACAAGAGTTCAACTTAATTTACAACACTATACGTTTCGTTTTGTATTTGAAAGCTTGTTAATGCTGGGACTTTATAAGAACTAATTTTTGTATTAACTGCAGATTATTTTGACTCATGAACACGCTGATGCAGTTCTTGGTCTGGATGATATACGTGCCGTTCAACCACATAGTCCCACAAATGACATTGACCCTACTCCCATCTACCTAACTCAGTATGCAATGGAGAGGTACTTTGGGTGAACTTGGATATTGTTCTGTTCAACCGTTTTGACCAACGTCAACTCCGTTTGCTTTTTTGTTTTATCTAGATATAATTGTGATACTGATGACCATATGATTCTTTGATGTGCTCTTGGTATCTAGTTACTCCATCTGCTTTCATTGAAATAGTTCCTAGAGAAAATTTTTTTGGATGTATGAATGTAAAATTTTCCACCATGATAGATTGGTCATGGCAACACGAGCCTTAGTCTGCTTTCATGAATGCAGACTCAAAACTTAGGATTCACATCATAAAATGAAAATTATAGATGTTACTCATGAGAAGACTACTCTAGGCATTTTATCTGATTTTTGGTTTTTGTCATTCAGTTTTTATGTCTAAATCGCCGTTCACCTTATTATGCTTGTTGTACCTTTGAATAGCATTGCAGAGAAATTTTCTTACTTGGTGAAGAAAAAAGTTGAGGAAGGAAAAGAACTGAGACGAGTAGCACAGCTTGACTGGAGGATAATTGAGGAGAATTGTGAAACATCGTTTGTTGCATCTGGCCTACAATTTATTCCTTTGCCAGTTATTCTCGCCAAACCTTTTCTAGTCAGACGTGAATATCCTATTCCTTGTTTATCTTCTAGTTTCATACTGCTATTCCTCAAATGTAGGTGATGCACGGGGAAGATTATGTCTGTTTGGGTTATCTATTTGGTGAAAGATGTAGAATAGCCTACATATCTGATGTGTCTCGCTTTCCTGCAAGCACAGAACATGGTGAGTGTTGATTAGTTCCTTGTACTTTAGGGATATTACTTATATTATCAGTGCACATTGCATTTTATACCTTAATTAGTTAAGTACCCTTAATCATCTCAATCATGATTAAGAGAAATCTGAACTTTGTTAGAGTATTTGAAGATAAGATGTTTAGGATCCCTTCTTAGAACATCGTCCTATTATCTGAGTTGGTTTTCCCTTTCTACTCCCAACTTCACCAACAAAGCACTGGGAGAAACCCTTTACGAAGGAGAGTATGAATACTCTGGGTCATTTTATCCCTTCCATTTTAGTTTGTACTTTTGTGATGAATCCATTAATATATGCAGAGATAATGATGACAGGTTATCTATCACTTTTAATAAGAAAAATGTTTTATTAAGTGAATTTATTCATTGGCTACGGGGATTGTTCCTTTATGGAGAAGCATTTTGTAGAAACTTTCTCAGCCTGTAGTAGGGACAGTCAGTTTTTGACATAAAAGGCCTTCCCCAAAACATCGTCGAGAGAACACCCCAACCCCCCCCCCCCCCCCCCCCCCTATGTAGTTCACCATTGTTTTTGTCACGTGTAAATATTGATGCGCTTTGTCATTTTCAAGGCATTCTCTGTTTTTTAAAAAAAAAAAAAAAAAAACACATTTGAATTTATATTCTAGCCTAATTTTGCAGTCATTTCAAAAGATGGGGCTGGGCAGTTGGATCTTCTTATCTTGGACACTCTATACAAGGTCAGTAGAAAGTCTGTTTTCACACACCATCATTTGTACAGTTATTCTGACTCACCCTTGTAGGCATGGAGATTGCATTTGGGATAATACGCATGCCATGCAAGTAAAATAATGTCTCTCAACAGATGCAAATGTACAAGCGCAAGCATAGACACATGTGCACAAACTCACGGTGCTTGGTTCTAGTCAGATTTTTCTTTTGCCAGTCAGTTCTACATTCTCTTTTGGAAATTTTATAGGGAAAACTATATCTTTCATTTCATTCTGTTACTCCTCCATTGCAACTCTCTTGCTTTTCATCCTCTCACTCCTCCCACCACCAACCCCACCATCTTGCTTTCTCTATTTGGGCAGCCCCTAAGTCAAGGATGCTGCCATGGCATCCCCCAATTGATGTTTTTCCATTTATGTTGTCCTTTTAGGTAATTTCGTAGTGTCATTCTAAAATATAATTGTATATTTTCATTCATACATCAATCTGCATTCGTGTATATTAGCAGAAATTGTGATTTCAAACTCTGCTAACTCATGTCCGTCCTTTCATTTTTGGAGCTTCGCTTGTCTTGCATTTCCTATTATTCTCAAGGCATATTCTTCATAATCTGCTTTGCCTTTTGTTTCATTGCAGACTGGATCCCATAATGTTCACCTTTGCCTCCCACAGGTTTGTTTTTTGCACTAAAAAACATCTGCATTTCTTATAGCCAAATGTTCATGTTTGTGAACTATAATGTTTGCAGACTCTTGAAGCTGTGAAGAGGATTTGTCCAAAACGAGCCTTGTTAATTGGAATGACTCATCAATTTGATCACCACAAGGACAATAAATTTCTTACGGAATGGTCTGAGAGGTAAGAATTATGATCACTTTCCTTTATTCAATTGGATAGCAGTCCCAGTGTTCTGTGGCATTGATCTTCTAGCTTTAGTTTAGAGTTAAGACTAAATTGAACAATGGTACTACTTTTGTAACGCACTTTCTGTATAGGTGAGAAATATCGCGACTTAAGAAACTTATGCTTTCAGCATTTCTGTTGTTTGAATATAGGGAAGGGATACCAGTGCAGCTTGCGCATGATGGTTTGAGAATCCCCATGGACCTATGATAAGGTGTGCTTGCATTCTTAGAACTCTTTCAATTAGTCAAGCAATTTGTGAATTTTGGTATTAATGCAAGTACATATTTGAACTGCAAAGAATACTGAGAACTTAATTAAATGGACAATGAAACATCTGGTTCTTATTATAACTTATTTAAAGAATATAATATGACAATTTTGTTTCTTTTGTTTCCTTTATTTTGTTCTTTCTTTTCTGTTCTCCTTTCTGTATATCTGCTCCCTCTTAACCTAGCAAAATTGTACATCCTTCATCGATGGAGTGATGTTCCTCGTTGAATCCTTTCCTCAACCTCCCTCCAACTGAGACCACATGCATCTCTGAGTTTTTAAGTGATGTGAAATGAGAACGCATAACAGTGGGATTCGAATTGAACAACATTAAAGTCGTTTGACCTAATGAATTAAAATAATATTTTTGTGTCTCGTGTTATCTTTTGCAAATATCAATAGAGTTGTAAGATGAACAAAACTGCTCATGTTTTTCGATGTTATACATGCAGGTTAATGTAGGTGTGTTTAAAATGATATATAGTATATACTATGTACAGTTTCCATCCCATGTTGATGGGAGGAAGCAGATGCAATATTCTTGAAGCTCACCTTATCGTTGCAGTGACTGAAGAGGTAAAATAATTTTACAAGGATTAGGAAATTTATGCTCGAAAAACTCGAATTATGATGGTGAGCCTTGTAATTTTCTTAGCCGGTGATTGATGAATCATAGTAATTGAAGAGAGTGGATATAAATTTGGAGGCACCTCAAAATTTAAAGCTATGTTAGAGCAGGTGGAGCTCCTGGAAACACTTGCATTAAATAATTCTTTTCATTTTTTCCACTCGGATAAGTTATCAATCCATGGAATTCTGTAGATACTTTTTCTTTGTAACAACAATGGAGGGGGAGGAATTCGAATTTATGACATCTTTCATCGATGGAATAAAACATCGCACTAGATTAAGAGCTAATTAGTAACAATTCAAATGATGTGATGATTGCGGTGTACAAATTTGATAAACAGATTTGGTAAGCCTCACGAGGAACAATAATTGAACACTATTAGTTTAAGGTTTCGAAGCTTGAGCCAAATTATAATTATGTTTTAGGCAAAAGCTTCTATTAACCATCATCATATGGCCATTCTATGCCTATGAGTAAAAGCCAAAACATGCCATGCGATGCACACTTCGGTGGAACTGTGGAAGCATGGCGCTTTGATGAAGAAATTTCAGGAATCTCTGGGACGGTAGAGAGATTAGACAGAGACTTGTCCTTTTTAGAAGGCATCCTTCTGGTTGACCAGTCAAACCCATTGTTTTTGTGACTGCCAAAATTCTCGAACTAATCAAATTTCTTGGATTTCATTGCTGACATTGCCACGACTCATTTTCATTGTCGAATCAGAACGTGCCACCTGTGTGTAATATGTCAAAGAACATTTATTTAAAAAAATTCATGAAACATAGGTTTTATTAAGTTTGCTAGAACGAATGTTCTCCTCTTAAAATATATTATCGCTCGCTTGTATCAATAAAAAAAATATTGGTGAAAGAACATAAGCAGCTCGCTAGTTTTTCCAACTACAAGGTCCTGGAAAGTCTTGACCCGACAACACCCATTTCTAATTATATTTCTCAATAATACTTGATATAAAAAGAGAATTCGAAAACATATTCCATGCATTTTTTTAATGTTTTAATAGTTAAATTTAGAACGTAAATTCAACAATTCCATCCATCTAGAAAGAGTCAAAGCATGCACAAGACTAAAATGCCAAGTCTTTTTATTTTGTTTTATTTGAAGTCTCCCTTTCGCCGCTTCAACACAAGCCAAAAGAAGACCAAGCAAAACTGCAATGACCCTTTGATCAAGTTTCATTTTCCAAGCTTTCCAACCACCCTGTACTTAATAAGGCCACAGCTTTCCCACACTTTCTCGTCGAAGTTTCCAGTTTGCTGCTTTTGATTATTTTCACACATACACACAGAGAAAGCTAGAAGAGAAAAAATAGAGAGAGTAATTTATGGCATGCTTTGTGCCTTTCAACAACAGGAATTTGGACATAAGTATCTTCGTGTTCAGACCAACTGTTGTGCTGGTTGATGACCTTCTTAACGCCCTCAAACAATTCTCTTTGTGCACTGAGTCTCTTGGCTGTGTCCAAAGCTCCATCTTGCAGAGCATCCATGGAAATATGGTATGTTTAAAATAATATTTTTGTCTCATTAATTTCATCTCAGTAATTTGATATTAATCTGGTTTGTTTCCCCTTGATATTCAGATCATATGGTTTGGAGCATGGCTGAAGAGATCTTGTGAAAACAAGGACTCATTGACTGCAAGCCTTGTAAGTCCAGTTACTAGCTACTCATATCTTGCTCTTATAAATTCTTTTCTAGTTCTTTTTCTTTTTCTTTTTCAAGACAAAAGAGGTGGCTTGCTTGCTCTGCTCCATGTATATGTATGATGTGTCATGTATGCCGTTACGGTGTCGTTTTAATCTTGATATATGCATTTTACTTGGAGATGGAGCAAACCAACTAAGCAATCAATGGATTTTACTCCAAAAACTTGTTTTATTAAACTTGGACTTACTAATTGAACTTGAGGAATTAATCCAAAGTCAGTTCCATCAAGAACGAAGATTTAAAATATCCAATAGCCAGAAATTAGGGTTAGGATTTTAGTGCTTGTATCTTGCATTACTCTATAAAATGGTTCCCTCTTATTATGCATATAAAGTAATGTGTGTGCATTTGTGTGCACATTTCTTCATGCCTGCTGGATTGCCAACAAAGCACAACAGGCTACGAAACGCTTTTGATCATGTCACAATTTTGAAAGTCATCAAAACCATTCATTACAAATAACTTTTTCCCCCACTTTTCTCATAGCCAGTGATTTTTCTTCCCATTCAGCTCTCAATGTTAACGAACATGTCGAGCATGGCTATCTTACTCGAACACTCCTTCTTTGATGCGTACGCTGGAGAATCAAGAGACGGGTCTTGTGCTGCAAAATTTTGCAGAGGTGACACGGTGTCAATGAGCACAGCGGTTGTCAATGGCGGCAACATGAACAACGTCTCTTACGCATGCTTAGCGATGTTCAAGTCCGGTTTCCAGAAGATGGAAGGCGTGGCTGCCGGTGTTTGCTTGAAATGCCAAACCAAGCCAAGAATTGCTTCTCTTTTTGTGTGGAAGTCTCTGCAATATTGTTACTCATGGATTCTAAATTCAGACCAGAGAAAAGCAATGCTACCCTATTTTGAAAGCGTGTCAATTGAGATTAAGTACGACATCTTTCGAGTGGTGTATGTCAGTGGTGACAATGATCTCAAGTTTCAGTTCTTCTATCCTCCTCATCAAATGTTGGAACAAACAACTGGAGGGGAAGGTAAAGAAGAAGGGCATCTCATGCAAAGCACTTCCATAGTATGATCATATACTTAATTAATTAATTAATCTGAGCACTAGCTGGCCACTGATCAGATCATAGTTTTTTTGTAAACCCACCTATATATATTTATAAATGATATATATACCATTGTTACGAAATCTTTTTTCTTTAACTTGCAAGGCAAGTAATAAAAATATGACAAAGTTTGTGAATGCATTGATTCATTATAAGATTAGAATATAAACAATGGAAAATTCTTGTGTTCGAATCCTACTCTCAAATATCGCCGGTATGAAAAACAAAACAAAAACAAAAAATTTGCCAGCAAATTCTACATTTTTTTGCAGACAATTCGACATCAATATGGAAATCGTTTTAAGGACCCAATTAAGTAGTGGGTAGCTAGCCAGCCAATCTAAAGGCACCCACTAAAGCTTGGTTTGATGCCGGCATGCATATTGGTTGTGTCAAATTTGAACATTTGATGCTCTTTACAGTTTGGGATAGTCAAAAGTGCAGGCCAATATTGCATGACTTTTCAATGATTTAATGACCCTACTGTCATAAAATCTCTCGAAGAAAATATTAACCAAACAAATTGTCAAACTTTCCAAGACAATTCACCTTTGTTAGGTATATATCCCTTTGCTTTCTCTATCTCTATCTCTATCTCTCTTTAAGAAACTAATGGCCTGCAATGAAATGCATCCAACTTTAAGTTCCTTAAAACAAGTTGTAAACCATAAACTAATGACTGAAAATCAAAGCTAAACCAACCTTATCCTTGTGTTGAGAAAAAAATTTTGAAAAAAAAATCGCCTAAGAATTAGCTTTTAAAAGAAGTGCTTCACATCAAAACAAAAGCTATTAAAAGCTTTTAAAAGAAGTGCTTCACATCAAAACAAAAGCTATTAAAAACTTTCAAAGATTAGAGGATAAGTGGCAAGCTTAAGGGACCCATAAATCAGAAAGCCAAAAGGTCATTGTGCCCTTTTAATTCATTTCATATAGGGGTCAAAACAAACTTAGTATCCCCTGCCCAAAAAGGCCTAACACACTCCCTCTCCCTCGCCTAGTTTGTTCTTCTTCTTCTTTTTTTGTATATAAATCTCTTTTGATACCGCAATATGTGCAAGTATTGATGCTGATGTAGTTTTCCATGGACAGCCATGTGGGTGCTTTTGCTAGGTCTTTAACCTGGTCTACAAGTTCTACAGCCAAAAGTCGGTAAAAGTTTGAATTATGTGACTAAAGGAAAGGAAACTAGGGCACAATTTAAAATTGACTACTACTTCAGTCTTTTTGCCTATAAAATATGAAATATAATTTACTTTTGCTAGGTCCTCTACCTCTACCATTGATCCTAAGCTTTTACAGAACAAAACCTCACATCAGTGCATTGAAGAAATAGGTGAGGTGATAGTGAATTGTGTTTCCTAGGCCTAATTGTGGGTTTAATATGGACAGTTGGTTTTGCCCATAATTGAATAAGAAATTGAGAGCATCCTCCAGTGGGGGGTGTAAATTCGGGGGTGTAGCCGTGGGTCCCAGTCTTTTATGCTGACTTTTCTTCATTTTTCTTCTCTTTTCTCGGGTGGGTTCCGCTTGCAAGGGATGTAAAAATATATATAAATATACATTTTATTTTACATCCCCATGATGGTGATGTATATTTACATCCATTTACATCTCTCCATTGGAGACGATTCTGGTGACTCGGGGTGTATATTTAACATACACCCTCATATACACCCCCCCACTGTGGATGTTCTTAATAATGCAATCGAGTATCAAGGCTCAGCCTTTTCATAACTCTTCTTATATATGCCCAGATGCCATTTCACCCTATGATAGGCTATGAGCCTACAATCTGTCATCTGTTTACGTGTAAACTGAGTGATAATTGTCCATACGTGCATAAGTGATTGTCAGCTATTTATGCATTATAAGAATTATAAAACTCACGATGCATCAACAAATACAATTCATGTAAATTTTAGAGAATCCCATCCAATATAAGCATCACATATCATAAGAAGGGAAATCATAAACAATCAACATAAGAAAATATATGTACACATTACTACAAATAAAAATATATATAAATAAATAAAAGAGTTGAAGATAAACACGTTTTAATGAAAGGAAAAGCATTGAATTGATTATGATGTGGTTTCTGAAATATTAAAAGCACAAATACTCCCATGATTTGCCACCCAACGAATGAGTCCTAACCAAACATGATGAGCACAAGAAAAAAGAGCAAAACGGGGAGGTTAGCCGACTTCTCTTATCTCTGCCATGTGGAGAATGTGGTCAGAGAAGTAGGCTCATGAGGCAACATTTCAGTCAAATTTTCAAACATTTGGAAGAGCCAAGTGGGCACATTTCATCCATGGATTGATTATGCATTTGGACCATTTGACAAGGAAAACACAGCATGTGATGAGTAGGGCAACAAGTCACAATCCAATGGATCCATTGCAAATGTAAATTCACACATCCACATTTCAAGTTCTGCGTGAAGAATGTTTTTGGGGCTCAAATTCTTTTCTTAAGAAATTGAAGAATCGTTAGTGTAGGACCCCAAGGATTATAGAAACAAAAAAAACGATGGGGGGACCCCCTTACTTTGCCTCCTAGGGGATAGTGTTAATATAATTTGTTGATGGAGTAGTAGGGTTTTATATAGTGAGGGGGAAAACCAAGAGTGTTGGGATTCGAAGTCCTATTTACATAGATATTAGTATAATTTTTGAGTTAATATGTTGTTTAAATATTTTTGTATACAAGCAATTGTAGAAATTACTCTAATCGATGAGAGGAGGGTTTCAAACCACTGTCTGTTTTAAGTGATATGTTATGTATGTGGAGGTAAAGTCAGGAATTAGGTAAACTAATGACCCAAAGAATAGGGTTTAGGGGTAGAAAAATCTTTTTGTTACGGAAATAGCGCTGTTCTGTTATTTCCGGCCAAAAGTGATATTATTGCGATATAATTGAAATAGTAAAAAGTGATATTCCCATTGCATAAAAGCCGCTCGCGCTACTTTTAGAGGATGAAGGCAAAACAAAGGATAGTCATTATCAGCATTAATTTATAAGAGAAGCTTATAGAATTCTGAACCCCACAAGACAACCCCAATGCAATGACCCATCTGACTCTGACTAGACACTGTTCAATATGCAATCACTCACGTTCACATTAACAAATAAAAATGAGTCTGCATTGGACTGGAGCATGTGTTTACCAAAAGTATCTTTGACACTTTGACTGCTGACCTCACCTTCACCCTCAGGAATAATATTCATTCTTTTTCTTACACAAATTCATTTTTCATGTTCCTCCAATCACATCTCTTCAACTAATCGCCAATACCTCTGTAACTGTGATTAAAAAACAAACCCTTTGGCATTTTGCCCTTTCTCTTCTTCTTTAATTTCCTTTTATATCAACTATGTCCACTGGTATTATGCCGCTGTTATCGGGGAAGCCATTTGTTTTTTTATTTCCCACCAATTAGGTATTTGTTTATTAATAAAGGATACAAGTTTATTTATTTATTTATCTATAATATTAATGATGTAGGATATAATTTTAAGAAAAGTGGCAGAGTCTCACATCATATGTGCAGAAAATCTTCTGCTAAATACACACATGATCTTATGGAAGGAGGAAGAAGAAGAAGGAAACAACAAACAACCATCCAATTTCGATTGTACGGATGCAGAAGAAGAAGCCATGCTATCATCAATGTCTAAAATATGTTCCTGTGATTATTAATTGATAATTTCCTTTTTATTTGGTATATATCAAGGGGAAGAACATACACAATTATGAACTTAAGATCCTTTTTTGGCTAACGAAAAAGACAACACGCAAAGATTGCTCACATGCTCATTCAACAAGAAAAAACATAACCTTTCACCATATTAGAGTGTCCTATGGAGCTTTCCAAAGGGTTAAACAATATTGTTGAAAATTAGTGTAAGAAGTAACTGGTTCCTAACTTAATTATGTGATTTTGTTTAGGACAACATAAACCGTAATTGATTTTTAGCACATTATACAAAACCGATGATACCCGTTATTTTATAAACTAGCAATTAGTTTAGTGGTAATTGTTTGTATTTAATTAAAGGATATCTATCGTAATGAGTTCAATACATAATAAAAATCAATCTATAGTCTATTACGATTATGTAAGTTAGTTCTCAGCAAATATTCTACCATTTTTTAAAAGCAAATCATACTTACTATTTTGACTTAGACTGAGGTTAGTTATATAATTTGCCTCTAGATTCAAATCACCAACTTGTTTAATTGGCTGCCTGCCTTTGGTTAGGTTCATCAACCAATTTCAAATTTCACATGAAATGAAACAGAGAAATTGGGAGATTTGATTTGCAAATGCATTATTAATATAATTTGGTTTTGTTCAAACTTCAGAGTGGAATAATTGGGTGGAGGTGGGGGACCATCGAAAGTTCAAGTAGACAATCAGTCCAAATATCAAGGTGATAATCCATTAAGGGAAAGCTTGATTTATGATAAACTAAAGCAAAATTAGGGGCCACTAATTAGCTGATTAGATTGGCCACTAAACATAATGGTAAATTTTTGTGATTGATTGAGTCTGACCCATTTGCTTTCCACAGTAACTATGCAGAGAAAATTGAAACTCTACTTTTCATCATTGCCACTGTTCAAAACCCTCTCTGCCTTTAATCATTTCCATACTTACCTTTGTCCTCTTGGTAAAAAACAATCAAAGAAGAAAAAGAAATATAAATTATTTCAGAGAGTTAAAAAAAAACATCGACTCTGTAAAAAGTCGGCAATTACTCGTTTGGTCCGGTGGGAAAGCCCGCCAACCACCGTTTAAAGAGGTCGGCGAAGAATGGAAGTTACCCGCCGCAGATTTTGCCACGTCATATGAGGCCCACCAGACGTGGGTCCCAGTGATGACGTGCCAATATCAGAAATAAGTACCGCACGGCTTGTGTTGCAGGGGAGCTCAACTAAACAAAAGATCATCCAATCTTAATAAGAAGAAGGGAACTGTGAAACACGCCCGTCTTTGTCTGCCTACGAAAAGAGTCAAAATACACACACAGCGAGAGAGAGAGGGAGAAGACTGACTCTGATGTTTTCACCCATTTTAAAGGTCTCGCTTTCCTTCTTGTTCCTCCTCTCAATATGATAATATTGTAGAGAAAAATAGAAACTTCTTAGAGAGACAGACAGACAGACACAGAGGCAGAGAGACAGAGTTAGAGAGAGATCTAATGGAGTACGAGAGGATACACAAAGTTCAGGTTAGTTGCTAACTTTTGTGCATGAAAGAAAAACAAAGACCCATGTCCCCTTTTTTTTTTTTCTCAATTTCTTTTGCAGATGAATGGAGCTATTTTTCATGTTAGTTTTCTCTTTGGTTATGGGTTGTTTTCTTTTTTATTTTTTTTTTTTTTGTTGTGGGTGGTTGTTTCTAAAAATGGGGTGGTGGGGAAATGAGAAAATGCACACAAAAACCATGAATTTTGATGAAACTGGTTTCATCCTCCACTGGCTTTACAGTATTTATATCCTTAATTAAATTTGGTTTCCCCTTTGCTTCTTCATTGTAATATTTAATTAGTAGGTAATTCTGTTTCTATCATTTATTAATTAGATATTTCTGTTGTTGTTTTTCCTGAGTTTACTGTGTTCAGAGAGGTTTAACTTGACAGTATGAATCTAGCGGGAACAGAAAAGAACTTGACATTAAGACTTAGGGTGATATGAAGAAGAGATTGTTGATTTTAGAAAGAAAAAGAAAAACTCAAAATCATGAAGTGATATGATTACTAGAGTTTGCTTTATCAGTTGATTCTTTCACAAAGATTATAACTTTTACCATCTATTTTTATTTGTGGGCTGAAGGGTAATAATGTTTTGTCTCCTTTTTCTTTTCCTTTCCAGACTGGTATTATTTCCCCTAGTAAGCTGAGGATGAAGCTCATGGGGCCACACCATCATAGAAAGAAGGATGGATCAAACAGTAACTCCTCAAGAACTTCTCCTTCCAAGCTTGATGATTCCGAGTTTTTCAAAAACAGCTTGTTAGACCCCATGAATGGAGACGAGGAAGGTCAGTCTCTCTTCTTATTTGTTTTGATAGTAATTAACTTTGTTTGCCATCAGAACCCTAGAGCATCTGTTGAATAGGTTTTATATGCATTTCTCAGGCTTCTGTAGTCTAAACTGTTTACTCATTACGTGTTATGCTGTCCAGTTGCATCTTCCAGTTTAGAAGTTCTGTCTACAAATTTGTCTAGTGAACCGGCATTGGACCTGAGAGAAAGTGATCAAACTTCTTGCCAAATGAAGGAGTCATTGCCACGAGAAAATGGTGATGCCATTCGTGTTAGATTGCAACAATGTACAAAAGGTGACAGTGGTAGTTCGAGTGCAATTCATCCCATGAGAGCACTGGAAGATGAAAATCTTGACTATGATAGTAATGCTAGTTCATCCAGTTTTGAATTTCATAAAGGGGAGAAGTCAGTACATAAGCACATTTCAAGAGCACTCTCGAGAACTATGCCGTCTAAGTGGAATGATGCTGAGAAATGGATAATGAATAAGCAAATTGTACAAGCTAATTTTCCTAGAAAGAGTGCTTTACAAAACCAAACAATTCGGTTGCCGGTGACAAATATGGTGAGGGTGGCTCCGGAGTCTGCTAATTATGATTATAAGCTAAATGGAAGAGTAGCAGACACAAAGCGGGTTGATTTCTGTCAGCCTGCATCACATATTGGATTCGATAAATTCTCTTTTGTTCCTTCTGTACCTCAATCAAGTTCAGGTGAAGCTTGTGGGAATGCTTTGATTGATGCGTCCTCACAAAGTAAAGATTTAATGGAAGTGGGCCACGGGAATTTTCCCTGTTCGAAGAGTACTGTCGAAAATAATACAGGTTCACTTTCATTCGCTTAATAACTTCACATTGGTACTTTGTTATGTTATATAAGATTTTTCTTTCTTTAGCTGAGTTACAGGGTGAAGGATTCATGGGAAATTTACATTAACATGTTCAATGTGCAAGCAGAGGCAGAGGAATTTAACCATTTGTTTTTCTGTTTATGCAGGCACTGCTGCCATAAGATCAGTCTCAATGAGAGATATGGGAACAGAAATGACACCTATCCCAAGTCAAGAGCCTTCAAGGACTGCTACTCCTGAAGGGGCAACAACCCCACTCCGCAGCCCAACTTCTTCAATCCCGTCAACTCCTCGAAGTGTTGCACCAGCTCCCACACCTAACACTGATGGGGAAGCACAGCCACGAGTTGAAAACAACAAGAAACAATTGTCAGAAGAAGAATTAAAGCTCAAGACAAGGAGGGAGATTGTAGAACTAGGTGTTCAGCTTGGTAAGATGAACATTGCTGCTTGGGCAAGTAAAGATGAGCAGGAGAAAAAATCTGCTGCTGAAAAAATTGATATGGCGGAACTTGAGCGGGTTGAATTTGAAAAACGTGCAGCTGCATGGGAGGAAGTTGAGAAATCTAGACATACTGCAAGGTTTCTTCTTTAACCCAATAACCCACATACTTTGAGAAATTCGATTGGATCACTTTTTCCTTTTCTTCGTAATAGAGAACTGTTTTGATTTTGTACTATAAACCATGTACATATGTTCTACCATCCTAACATAACTAGAGAATGCTAATATTTCTCAGATATAAGCGTGATGAAATCAAAATCCAAGCATGGGAATGTCAGCAGAAGGCAAAACTAGAAGCAGAGATGCGGAGAATAGAGGTATTGCATCTTTACTCAGCCCAATTGTTCTATGTTTAACTCTGAAACCTTTACCATTGTTCCTGTTGAATTGTGTAATGTAACTGATTCAGTGAGCTCCACTTATTAATTCTATATCCAGCGATTGGAAGAGTCTTGTAAATTATGCTTGCTTGACCTCTCTGTTAATTGTGTTTCATACTTTCCAATGATTTGTTTTTTATATGGAGGGTTGTGTAGATGGAAACTTTTATATGTCATAACTAATTTAAGAGGACCTCTTGTTAGGCTCAAGTTGAACAAATGAGATCACAAGCACAATCCAAGATGGTAAAGAAGATAGCATTAGCTAGGCAAAGATCCGAAAAGAAACGAGCAGCAGCTGAAGCCAAGAAAAATCAAAACGCAGAAAAAACCGCGGCTCAAGCAGAATACATCCGCCAGACTGGACGAATGCCATCATCTCATTACATTTGTTGTGGTTGGTTGTCATAAACCAGAGAACATATAGAGCAGAAGACATTGCTTTTTCATGCAAAGCTTGGCAGAAGTGACCTCTTGTATGTGTTCGGGACACACCATGCTTCAAGGAGTGCTGTTGTGCATGCTAATCAAATTTGTATCTACAGAGCAACCAGAGTGTGTTACTTGTGACATGAAGTGAATTTTTCAAAAGATGCATATGAATGTTAAAGCATATATCTTCCATCATTGTTTGCACCCCTCTAAGCTCTCTTCCCTACTTTCTGAGAGAGAAGTGTGGGGGAAGAAGATAATAAATAGTAGGCTTTTTATCACAAAACGTTCTTGACGTTTACGAAACTATCAGATTGCATCCTTAAAGTGTTTTTGTATCACTCATGGTCCCTAATGTTAATATGGGTGCTTTTAAATAGTTCATCTGTTAAAAAAACTGTTAAATTCGGAGATATAATCGTCAAATCAATCCAAAATTATAAGGAATCTGGAGGCTTCAACCAGTGAGATTATTTCTTGTGGTTTCCTTGGGTGAATCTGGCAGAAAAAGTATAAGCTAATTATTCCAGCTAGAAATTCAAAAGTATAGGTTCCTTATTCCTTTTCTCTTTCATTTACCTTGGCCAGAGACAGGTATAACATGAATCTGTATTATGTTTCTTGATGCAACTTGGATTTGAACGAAGTGCTTTCGCTAGCTACCTTTTTGGGCCATTCTTAATGCATTTAATTCAATACATTTTCGATTTGACTAGATGGAACTTTAAGGATACATGTACATGTTTTGATTGCAAACATGTTTTTTTCTTTTTGCTTGCAGTCCTTGATGCAGAGGTAAGATGTTGGATTTGGCAGATATGGGAGGTGGCCCAGTTTGTATCATAAGCATGTCAAGGTCTCCACTGGGAAACATGAGGTCCAATTTATTTTCATTGTAATCTGTTTAAATTGTAAAATTTGGAAGGAAAAATCGTTAGAAACTAATGCAGAATGATATAAAGTTGGGTTTGGAGGTAGAAGGCTGCATCTCCTTCCCTTCCTCCTTGTACACTAATGGCTGCTACTTTTGCTGCTATGAATTATTAATCTCTCCGAGACCAAAGAAAAGGTCAGAACAGTCGGCGCCTGCCTATAATGAAATTCAAGGACAGCAAAATAGAGTTGGAAAGAAATTTTCAAGTCGTTTTGTTAACAAAAGATATTCTCAGAGAACGAAGAAAAGGAAGAGAGAAAGAAGAGGAAGAAAGAAAGAGAGAATGGAAGGAAATAAAATATATATATATATTATAATTTTAGATTGATTTGACGATTATATCCCTGAATTTAACCATTTTTTTGACAGATGGATTATTTAAGAGCACCTATATTAACGTTAGGGACCATGAGTGATACAAAAAATTTTTAATGATGCAATCTGATAATTTCGCAAACGTCAAGGACGTTTTGTGATAAAAAGCCTAAATAGTATAAGTTGAGTGAATGACAATACTTGCAATGAAAATTTTAGCCTATAATTTGATATGTGGATTCGGTTAAATATGCTTTTTTTTTTCTTTAATATAAAGAGAGAGGAGACAAAGGAGAAACAAGAGAGTGATCAAAGAGTTGAGAGAAAGAGAAACCAACAACAGCTATTTCAAATTATTTTTGGTTCTGTTTCTACTTTTTCTTTTGTGATGAAGCTAAGGCCCGTTTGATAATTATTTCAATTTTAGTTTTTTGTTTTCATTTTTTTTCCTAGAGTATAGAGGAAAATGAGAGTAAGAATGAGAGTGAGGATGAGATAAGAAAGAGGATGAGAAGGGAAGAGGGGAGGAAGGAGGAATAAAAGTGAAATAAAAACTTGAAAGTAAAAACAACTTCAAATGGATTTCAGTTTTCACTTTTGTCACTCCTTCATCCTTCCTCTCATCCTCCCCTTTCATCTTCTCTCTCAATCTCATCTTCACTGTCATTCTCACTTCCATTCTCCGTCTTTTTCCTCTATACTCTAACACAAAAAATGACAACTAAAAACTAAAATTGAAATGGTTATCAATATCAACGGGGACTAAATTTATCATCACCATTTCTGGGAATGGTGATTTTTGTCACTAGACTGACTAGTGTGTTTGTAGCTATGAATTCTTCAAGGTTAGTTTAGCTCATGTTCAGCCCACCACCATCAAATTGGGTTAGTCTCTGGACATACAAAGCATTGAAAGGCAGCCCAAAAATCTAAAAAGTATTCTTGATCTTGCAAGTCCTAAGCCCTTTGGTGCCCATTTCCGCTTGAAATTCGTTCATGCACATCTTTCTTTCTTTTCTCTCACACTTTCTTCTTATTCTTGTTAAGTTTTATCATTATTATTACTAATCCTACTTTGTATGAAATAATTATTCCCACTTCATATGACAAAGGATTTACCTTTGTGTGTTATTTAATCAAACTCCACATGCTTGTGCACACCCCTAGAGTTGGAGCTCTTTTTAAATTGGGTACCTTAACTTGAAAGACCTCTTTTTATATTTGTCGCCCCTAATGCCCCAGGCCAGGCCACATAACCTAGACACCTCTAGGCATGCTGCAAACATGCTAAACATCCAGTAAGCATTCACTTTTGAAACATGTTTTCAACTAAATTTAAGAATATTTCCCTGCATACTATGGGTCTACAAAACCCACCTACATTATTGATTTTGAATCGGAAATTACAAATGTGGTATTAACGGCAGAAACAAACTTTTTGTGAGTTCTGTTTATGTTTGCAGGACCAGAAATTTGCTTTCAGTTCATACCATCCCATGTGGACCCAGGGATGCCCAATTCCATGAGGGGTAATCCCTACAAATTATAAAAGGGAAATTTTGTTTCACAGTAACACGTTGTACTTTATGCAGTGTTATGAATTAAGATATGAACCCTAACCAAGTATATTGTTTTAATAATTGTATATGTTCTGTCATTTGGGTGGACTTGTAGCACCATATCGACATGCTATCATATGGTGTTTCCGTCACACAATAATGTATCCATAATTATGAATTAGGCATCAATAATAAACAATCTCTTTGTGATCATGAAACTGTCAGGATCATGCCTCTATGAAAACTTGGCATTACCATAATATTAGAAGAGAAAAAAAAACTCCTATAAAAGATATTCAAATCATAGTGCATAGAAGTATTGGTATTAATTTCCTCCTCCACAGGTTGGACCGAGGTTTAATTCAGGTAGACACAAGAAAAATGGGCAAGAGAGAAGCTCATCTTGTCTATGTTAAAGAAGATGGGGACTTTGATTTGGTCATACTGTGGATGACAGAGCAAGGGGTCATGTAAAAAGAGTAGTCATACAAATTATTACAATGTCAGATCAAGAAAAAAGTCCCTGCCCATAATATAAAGTGAGTTTTGAATTGTGGGGGCTTGTTTGCATTGCCAACCAACCTCACCGAGTCCTATTATTGTTGATGGTGTGCCCTACCTTTGTCACCATTCCATCCCTCAAGAAATCCCATCTCTGCACACTACACACAGACAACCCCCACAACATGCATCAAAAAGCCCAAACCTTTCATATCTATTTTACCTTTACACAGTGACCACTGACCATCCAGTCCAGTCCCGCACTGAAAAAAAGAGAGTGCTCAACTATGACTTTGCCTCTCTTTTTCGAGAAACACTTGTGTAAAACGGGAATAACACTGTTTTGTCGTTTTCGATCAATCACAATATATTACGCATGACAACTTTTCACCTGATATATCATAATTGACGGGGGATAACTTTTCACACAAGTTTTTCTGCTCTTCCTCACCCAACGTGATTAAAGAATTGGAAATGATACTCCATCCCAATTTGTAAGATTTGAGAAAGCAGAGTTTGCAAGGGACTTTTAACTCGAGTAAGAACGATGAGCATAAAAATAAAAATAAAAATTTTAAAAAGAAAAAGAAAAACAAGACTCAAGGACGACATGCAATGCCGACACCACATGGGTCCTCAAATAATTGTGGATAAAAAGAAAACATTAGGAATAGTCATGATATTCGATTTTTGAATGCCCATGTGGATGGATCATCTGGAGATATGAACATGAGGAAGAACCCTGATATGGAATTACAGGGTCACAACAAAAATGAAGCAAACTTGAACATGCAGACATGTACTTTTTACGGCTCACATACAAACAGAGAGACATTCAAAGTTTCAGCTTTCAAAGGAAAAAAGGGGAGAAAGAGACGAGTAATTGAAAGCAAACGTGGGGCTTCATACGTTTGTCTTCCACAGAACTTTCGAACCAAACAAGGCTGTCAAATTAATGGAAGCAAAGAGAGTTGCTTTCCACGCCTAGCTGGTTATATAGACCCATCACATGGCATTTAAGTCTTAGAAGTACTGTCAGAATCAAGACAGGTTCAAAGTATACTATAACATTTTCCAGTACTTCATGTCTCAGCATTATGTAAACTCTATCAGAAATATACTGCAATATGCTTGTTAAGGCTATTTTCACAAACATTAATAACCTGATACATATATGTATTGTAGTATTTCGACAGAAGGAAATAACAAAAAATATATATGTATCACTTAATTACAGTATTAGCTTATATATAAACTAAGGTCTTGAGCTAAGTATTAGGCATCCCTTCCCACTCTAAAAAGGGTTGGAGGAGATGCAAATATTACATAAAGAGAGAACGGTATATTAACCGGTTAAGTCGTTCAATACTCGAGTGACCCCACGGATGTTATCCCGCTCAAATTTCTTGAGTCCTGCCGGCTTCCATAGTCGTCGCAACTATTGTTTGAGAGCCTCTGAGTTGGGACTGACTTTAGAAGGTCTAGGCCTCGTTTTCCCATTTGCTGCACTTCATGTGGTGAGAGTATTTTGATACACCACACACTATTTACAAACTCCCTGGTATCAGCATAAAATCAATGAATCAAGAGTCAGCTAATAACCGAATTTAATTGCAAATTCCAAAATAAAGACAAACAATTTGGGTTTTTTATGATGTGCCAGAAAGTTTCACTGTCAAGTGGTCAATGTTTCAATTGAGCCTAAATAGATGCAAGTCATTGGTTACAAAATCCTAGATAACGTGAAAGCTAACTGTGGTCTTGTGGGGAGTGTCGTATTTGCAAATGCCTAGCAACACGGAAATAAGTCTTTCTTTCTTAGCAGAATAATAAAACAAAGACAAAAATACTAACAAGTTTTCTCTACAACCCCTAGTCTTAACTCTTCACAACTTATAGCAATACAAACTCTTGTATTAAGTCTTTCAAAGTTCAGACTAGCGCACCAATTTTAAGACAAGCATCCTACAATTCATAGCTAGGAGAATATGCCTAAGTTTTCAACCAAAAAATAGTAATAGAAGTGGGAACTCACGGCCAGGGGTCATCCCCGAGGAGAAGAACATCATTCTCCCGGTCAACAAATACAAGCTGCCAGCCTGATCTCACAGGGTCCTCCAACTCGCCTTCAAGGCCAAACATACGAGCAAGCTCACCGCGCAGCTCATGGTAGCTGCTGAACTTGGTAATATCCAGTGACCTCCCGAAGGACCCTGACTTGTAAACCTGCAAATAATTATGGAGTTTGTTTAAAGGACGAGAATGAAGACAGACTGCTTAAGGCCACTATCAGATAACTTATAATTGAAAAATTCCTCACAAAACTAAATAAACCAAAAGATATCAAAGAGAGAACTTAAAAAGGCCACTGCAACTTACCTTAACAAAATTATTGTTTAGTGTGTTTCCATGGCCCACATTTTCTGGAGACTGCAGGAAACCTGATTCATCAATGCAACTGGAAGGTGTAACTGCTGGATTAAGTGAAAAATCAGTGCCTGTAGTACTCAAGTAATTTGGAGGAAAATGCATGGTTGTAGAGTCACTATCGCTGCCAACTCCTCTAAGGTTTGACATCCCATTCTGCATTAGAAGAGATGAGGACTCTATATTGACACCAAATAAAAGATGGCTTTGTGGATCAGTGCTCCCTTCTTGGTCTATTGAGCACTCTCTCCCAGGAAACGGTGGCAACGAAATAGAATTCTGCGATATAGTAGTCTGGGGAGGTCCCAACTGTTCCACATGCGGCAGAACACATTGAGAAACTCCAGAAGAAAGAAGAGGTTCAATTGCAGCCCGCTTTGATGGCCATGCACCAGATGATACTAATTGATTGGTTCTAGGCAGGTTGAGAAGGTGGGATGGTTCATCCTGTGGAAATGAACCCATGAGACTGTGCAAGGGAGATAAAATGGTGCTGGTTGCAGGGTTCCCATTAGAATCAGAAAAACTCTGTTGCTGGCATAGAGAGGTGGCGACTTGCAAAGACGGTGACTGGGATTGAGAGGCAGAAGAAAACTGAGTCATGGCAGAGACAGCACTTGGAATCTGCTGATGATCAACTAGCTGCTGTTGGTTACTGAAAGAATTCTGATGCTGCAGTTGCTGCTGAAGAAGGTGCGACTGAGTTTGAGTCTGAGGCTGTGACTGACGATGGTTTTCCTGAACACTTTGGAGAAAGGCTTGTTGAGATTGAGATTCTTGCACCATATGGGGATGCATCAAGGCAGTAGACCTGCTAGGTAGGCTTTGGGGTTGCTGGAACTGCAGAAGGGATGTAGGAATCGGTCTGGAAGGATCCACTGCCCTCATCTCTTGTAGTGCAGCAGCAGCCATAGCTTGGTACATGTCTGTTTGCAAGCCAATCATGGAGGCATCAAGCCTTGGCTGCATGTATGGTGTGACCCCCAATGCCAGGAAAGTTCAGAGATTGGATTCCGCGGTCTCCATTATCTCCTCGAAGCCACATAAGTTGAGAATTCATGCCAAGATCATCATCCCTGATACCTGAGAGAACAAAGGAGGCAAGTAGAGAGGAAGATAAATTATTAAATGATTTTCGTAGTGCCTCAATGCAAGTAGATATAAACTAGACGAGCTGAAATTAGCCCTGGATGTAGCAGTAAATGAGCATACCATGGAAAGAGGGCAGTCCAGGTGGCCACGGTCGCTTAAGCCTAAGTGGGAACGGAGATGGATACATGGGGAATGTTGTTAATGGCTCAATCTCCCACAGTGAAACTCTTGGCTGCCTCTCCCCAGCCGTGGATTCATCCCAACCCACCTGAATTAAGTGAAAAAATCATAAATTTCCAGCAAAGTTATAAAAGATATTAGGTAATATCCTGAAATAACTACATCCATCAAACTAAATAGTCACTTTACAGTTAATCTATCTAGCAAAGTTATACATAGATATGAAATTAATCTCAACAAACCTTGACTGAGCGCCAGTGTGAATTAGGCCACCGAGGATCTAGGTCACTTATGCCAGTTATTGTTCCCATGTAGCTGATAACATATAATCGTCAGCTATCAATCAATAACATTTATAACTTCTACAATGAAATTCATATAAAGGACGACAGCAGTCTTTAATGTATTGAAATCCCATCTCGTTATTTTGAATTATTCTATTTATATAGATTATATAGATAATTCCCTACCGGCGGACACTTGATTCTTCTGTTTCGAACAACATTCGAAAACGCATCCCAACAGAAATGCAAGTATGATAGACTGCTTTGATGTACTTGGTCAGGGGAATAACGAACTCTGATGGGCTAGCCCTACACAAAAGGTGCTGTAAATATAAAGGGAAGCAATGAACCCAAAATATTTGATATCATCAGTCTGCAGAGACTCATACCTTGGATTATAAAATATGGTGAAACGACTATTTGTTGCAGCTGCGTGAGCTGCGGCAGCAAGAAGTCCCAAGTGCATGCTGTCACTTGATAAAACTGATGAAGGCATCACAGTTTGTGGTCGGTTAGCTCTCCGGATACCAAGGAGTAGTTGATTCTTTTCATTCCTGAAGCAGGCAAAAAACAAGTACGATAAGCATTACAAAACATCACATAACTTAAGGTGAATCATATGCTCAGATAAATATGACAAGCCAAGATAAAAAGCTAAAGGTTTTTCATGTCATAGAAATACCATCCATTGCAGCAAGATAGTTTGAGAGGGAGAAACACAGAGAAGAAAAAATCAAATAACTCAAAAATGCCTAGACAAAAGCAGAACACTCGATCGTGCCAGCCAAGCCAAAAAAGACATACAGCAGAGAATAAGTGAACAGCCTACCAGATGAAAAGAACTGAATCTCCAGCAACAAGTCTTTTAGCACTCACAAAGACACTCCACCCTGTAGTAAGGAGGTGCCTTTTGGGCTGGCCTGAAATATAAAAAAGTCAACAACCGTTCCAATATGCATATTATAGAATGGAAGTCTTGTCAACATGGTAGTTCCATAATTCAAGTCAGAAAACCAGCAGAAGGGCTGGAGAGCATCAACAAATGTATAATGAGGTGTAAACTCGTACTCATCTCAAATCAAACTTGATTCTCACTGTCTACTTCACTCATTCAAGATTTTGAAGAGAAATTGAAAACTTATTTTGAAGAGAAATTGAAAACTTTCTTCATTTTTCATGAAAAATACTTAGAAAACTCACCACGAAAAATGTGTCTAAACTTCCATTCATTATCATGAAGATCCCTCGCAATTAACTCTTGCGCTGGCGGTTGTTGGGAGAAATCCTGCATGTCAAAGTTCATGAACTCAGAAACAAAAAGGAGATAATAAAGCCAGGGAAAATTCTATAATGTGTAGACAGGAAGCAAGTGCCAGAACTACTGCACGAACTGCAGCAATTAGCTTAAAATTGATGGCCGTAATCCATGTAGTAATTAGAGAATTTACCAATGGAGGAAACACTTTTTCAGCTGCCCGACGAGGAACAGAGAAACCACCATGGGTACTTGTGTCACTGGCTGTCAAGGTTTTACAAAAATAATTTGTTGGCTGTTTGTTTGGGTTGCCCAACCCCGCTGGGAGGTACCCATCCTTTTGCTCTTGCTGCAGAGATGAAGGTTATTTACAATGAGAGCAATCAACAAGATCAATAACTCCAAAAGCCAGTTAAGGCAAAGTGGCATACTGGACTTAGCGGTTGCAAGGTCATCTGTGCATATACTTCATCTGTCTCAACATCGGCCTGAAGTTAACAATATTTAACCTTTAGAAACCTGCATATACGAATTTTCAAAACCAAAACTAACCAAATTATAAGCAAGCCTTACATGCATTGTCACATTGTGGAGTTGACAGATAAGTTGTGGAGGTAAGCTTGGGTAGTTGGGGATATGGGCATCCACTTCCTTGTTGGTTGATGCAGCAACCTACATTATGAAGCACTTCAGTTTGCATAGGAGGAAAAAGAACAAAAAAAAATATTACATTTGCAGAAGACTGATCACACAAAATATGACATTTGTTGCCAAAAAATTGAACAAACAAATTCATCCTTTCACTAAGGTAAATTGGCGATATGTAAATAAATCTGCTTCAACCCGTTATTGCAAAGCAGAACAGACGAAATTATTACGCAAACCTGTTCACTGTGACCTTGAGGAAAATAAACTACACGGCTCCCAACAGCCGGTAAAGAAACAAGAGGACCCGCACAAGCATGCCAAAGTTCAGAATTCAAAACTCTCTTCTCCCCTGCAAAATTCAATTCAGCAAAATAAATACCCATAAAGAACAAGACTTGGTTTCAGAATATGATTATAAAGCCACCAATTAGAGAATCTAAAGAATGTTTAAATGGCATTCAAGGGCCTCATCAAGAGGGAAATAAATTTTCCATCAGTATGACCTTCTGGAACTCATGGTAAACGACCAAATTTCACACTAATTTTTGAAGTTTACGATGATTGTGACAAGATATAAATTAAACCCCAAGCATAACAAAAGACAGAAACTGATAAAGTAATCCAAATCAAGCCACTGCCAGCTGAGAAAATGGAGGAAAGAGAAGATACGGAACAGTATATATTAAACTTGATGAAATTTTGGTCTCCAGGAGCAAAAAGGAGAAGTAGAAGAGAGAGAGAGAGAGATGATAGCTTAATACAACAAACTGGAATTATCTGGGCTAATTTGGGTTATCAACATCCCAAATCTTAATTCATACAACATATTAACCATATAACTCAGTTTAACATCCTGACAAAAGAGAAGGAAAATACACACAGAAAAGAATTCTGCAAGCAACATTCAACATACCTTCCTGGGATTGAGGACTAAAACCAGCAGATGAGAGCCTCATCTATGCAGAGATTCAAAAACGTCGAAAGCCTCAAATTTGAGCGCACAAAAAACTACTCAAGCCCACCACTCTCAATTACAATAATTTAACACCAAAATTCACCCAAAGTGCTGGACAGTCCTTTTCTTCAGCTCCCTTCTTTTTACTGCATAAAATCATATCTTCACCAGCCAAAATCCCTTCAAACCCCCAAAAGAAACAAACTTCATGCACAACTTTGTCAGGAAACTACTAAAGCATGAAGCTTCATATTCATGCAAAGATAACCATAAGAACCCTCAATACCCCCACTTCTGTAACTTCAACCGAAACCGGTTTCACTACAAAACACAATCAATTTCAGCCTCATTCGCACTTGGTCAACCTCAACCACACCCCCCAAAATGTCCAATCTTTAATTAAAGTCTTCATGCCACAATCTTTTAACAAACCAACCTCAACATTTGAGACTCACTTACTCACACCTCTAGCACAAAGCTTCATAGTCACAGCTTTACACTCCCTAGATAGCTCAATCTCAAAAACCAAGCATTTACGGCAACAACCCAACAAAACCCACGAGCCTAAAGACCCAATAGTGCTAACACAAGCACCAGATCTCAGCCTCAGAACACCAAAGCTTGTGCCACCAATGAAAACCAGAAAGGACCAGATCTCAGACCATAAGGAACCCAAAAGAAAGCATGACACAAGCACACAGCCTATGCATTATTCTGAGAGCAAATTGAAAGCTACGTGATGATCACTCTGCATAAACAGCCTAACAGATAACAGAAACAGATACTCTTCAAGAAAGAATATATGCATATAATAGAATCCGAGAGTTGGGTTTGGTTTCCAGTTTTCCAGTAATGGATGGAAACACAAGGTTGCTCGGTCAGGTATGCGGTGGTGGTGATTGTTCTAGTACACACTACTAGTGCTTGCTGGCTTTGCCACTATTGCTTTACCTCTCTCTCTTTTCTCTCTCTGCTCTGCTCCAATCAATCAAAGCACAACCGCCATTATTTTTGGCTGTCTTTTTTATACCATGGGAACAAGTAATTAAAGAAAGACTTTAGGGACAGTATGAGAGAGAAAGTGTCAGATTTTTTGAGAGAGAAGGTTTTGCAAATTTTTCTTTGTTCCTTTTGATTGATGGGTGGGTTACCCTTTCTTTTCTTTTCTTTTTTCCCCGCTAGCGGTGATTTATGCAGTTGAAATAAAAATGGGCACGATGGTGATGGTTTTTGCAGAAATACCCTTGAAAAGCAGAGCGAGTGGAAAATGTTCAAGCATGAAGAAAACAGTTTGAAATTGTTTTAACATTGCATGGATTGATTAGATAGCACTATACACTTAAAGTATGGTGATAGGCTCATAGCCGATAGCTGTGGCTTTTCAATTTGCAAGTTGGTCGAGATGGGCCAACACGGATTCCATCTTCACATTATATTTTTAAGTGCTTAATTTAATTTGTGCCCATATTATGTCTGCGACCAAACTTCAACTTTGGCTGCGAAGTGAATACAATAACAAAAAATTGCAATAATAGGCCTAGCCCTAGTATGCGAAAGTCCATGCATTTTTCATGGCATCTTACCCTTTGAATCCTGTTGGGGAAACAGTTAATATGGCATCTAGGGTCATTATAGAGTGTGATGTTAAGCGATGACGACGTAAGTAGATAAATTTTATTATGTATTGTACTTGTACAGACGATCTGAGTCGTATTAAAGAATATAATTTGTAATAATCGATATAATGTGATTCTTTGTGTTGAAGGATTCGCCTTACATATAATGTAATTTCGAAAAATTCCTAAAGGCTTTTAAGAAATATATGAGAGATGTTTAGTAAGAAAATCATAATAATGGGAGATTAACGTCTCGAACTATAGTTGGACCAAGAGAAGTGGGCAGGCAGCTATGATCATTTGTGAATTTTTCTTTAAAATAAGGTCTACAAGGCTAGAGGAGATGTTGGGTTAAAACTTACACGAATGGAATTTTTGGCGCTTCCTCATTCATGGTCTTCGTCTTAGACTTTAATCTCTCTCCCATTCTAATTCTATGGGCTCGGGTATAAGACAAAAAATGTTAATTAAAAAAGAAAGGAAATTACACGAAAGCTCTGAAAAGGAAAATAAGATAACATAAGGAAAAAAATGTTATCTGGAGACTGGACTAGCATGTTAAAACTACACACCATATTAAGACCTGTAATTCTGAGAGAAAATGTGCATGCGTGCATAAGACCGTCTGGTTTAATAATTTTTACTGTTATACAAGTGATAGTCTAAATTACAAAATAAAATAGGTTCTCTCATAAATATTACTAAGGTGTTAGGGGGTTCAAATCCGAGATCACAGATCAACAAATCAAGATTGTTTTCCACTAGACTATAGACTTCGTTGGCAAATCCCTTCTTTTAACATGATTGATAATAAATTTTAATATGATCACATTATACGTAAGCGTTACGTCAAAAGTCAAACGAATGAGCGTTTATAGTTTTGACATACGGGAGCTAAACTCTATTTATTTATTTTTGGTCGAATCAAAGACTAAACTCTTTAAGCCTTAAATCACATGGGTGCAAAGTGTAGTTCATCCTTAAATAAATTTTTGTTCTAATTTCTGAACAACAAAAAGGATATTTTTGTAAAAATAAAAAAAAAGCTAATTATTAAAGAACATGCATGACTCACGTGTATTGGTTCAGCTTCGTAATTCCGATCCATTTTGGGGGTGTATTAACGGAATCTGATGATCGTACGGATAACTGAGGGAATCGCGTAACAGGACGAATCCTAACCTTTCACTGGGCAGAAAATGGGTCCAGTGGGATTATGATGAGACATGACGGAAAAACTATTGCGTTTCCTATTGGTCACTGTCATCCGTACGGTGAACTCTACCACAGACAATACGTTACCCCACACGTTATTACATTATTACTACTCAGCTACAAGAGACGTTAGTGGCAAAATTGTAAAATCGATCTTCGCTGTGAAATGGTTGTCACGGAATTGGATAAACCTATCTATCATAGCCTTGTCTTCCTTTCCTTTCTATTTCTTTTATTTTTGGTTGACATTGTCTTCCTTTTCATCTTCAAATTTATAATTTCAGATTTCAAAGGATAAACCCATTAAATACTACTAAATAAAAAATAAAGTTTTTTTCTTAAGTAATTAAAATGCTTAACTCGTTCTTTTTTAAATTCACGCATTCCTTATGCGAGTGCATATAAATTATAAAATATTCAATTTGAAGTGCATATGACCTCATAAAATAAAATAAAAGCGTCAAAATATTAGCATTATGAAGGCCCTTATAAATTTATCATCATATTGTATACATTTTATATGCGCGTGTAAGATCTTCGGATCTTTCTAGTTAGAGCTTATGATTTTGCATTTTAACTCGAGACTCGATAAAAATTCAGCTAACATCCGACTCGATCCAGTGTGTATGTAACATCATGGTAGATCTAATTTAGAGCGTGACCTACCTCTCTACTCTCTAGTGAGGACTCATATTCGATAACAAGAGGATGAAACTCCTGCATCTATAGAACACAATTGACTTGCTTGCCTGTATGTGTTTTATTATACCAAAAATATACATCGGATATTAACCTATACGAGTATGGCACACCAGTTTGACCCGATCCGAATCCACTGACCCCACATGCCATGTATTAAGGATATATCAATATCATGGTATTTCACACGGCAATAATACCTGTAAAATAGGAAGAAAAAAAAAATCCCTAATGTTAATTTGATGACTCCATTTGTCAAAAGAAAGGTCCACACGTAAAAAGTATGATATCAATTTGAACAGAAAGTTCCACCAACAAAAAAATTTGAACAGAAACTGGCCACATCATAAATCACAAAAAATAAACGATATTAGAGAGGAAAAATTAATACGGAACTTCGAGCACATAGATAACTTCTATTAACCATTTGAATTACAAAACAATTAATGTTTTGCGGTACATAGGATACGTTAAAACATCACCTTCAAAAAACTCCAAATTCTAGTGCACATGTGAGCATTTGTAGCTTCATGGAAGGATAAGATGTGCCCTTTAAATCTTTCATTTTCACTTACAACTCAAGCCACCATTGTTCTAATTTTGGCAAAGAGGCCAAAGCCAAGGCCATCTATATATGCAGATTTTGGCAGCAGAGGGGAACATGGCATGTCTTCTTTCCCTTGTGAATTGAAAGGATTTTCAAACTCATTGTTCCCTGTAAATTTCCAATTGCATGCATAAAACGAGATTTTATTTCTGGAAAAAATCTGAATCTGAATTAAAACCCTTCATCTCTTGAGAAATATATTTTAATATACCGTCAGAAAGTCGGCACCTCATATTTTCAATTAAATTCCCGTCATTTTCAGTTTGGCATATAAACAGGTCCATTATATATCTAATCGGATTTCATCTGGGAAAAGTACAAAACTTGAGAGGGAGAGTGTACGAGCATTGGATGCATGCACTGGGCCATGCATATCTATATATATATTCTTCCAGGAGATTAGGAGCCAGCCAAGAAGCAGCTAGCAAAAGTTTAACCCTTAACACACAACCGACACCTTAGAAGAAAAAAAACTATATCAAACGTTGTTCAATTAATGCGTTACTGCAGCTTGAAAGATTTGAGAGAATGTCAAAATCTATATATATGTTCATCTTCCAACCAACATAACACAAATTTGACTATTCGCCGTTAAATTAGTCTCTCATGATAAGTATACATACCTAAACTATTCCACTTGCCCCCGTGTGAGAGTGAGAGCTAACTAAGAAACTATTTCAAATGAGTGGTACGTCTATTGGTTTTGTTTTTCAAGAGGCGAGTTTGGTGCTCGTAGACTAGTTCGTTTTGCCTTGTCTTTACCTGATGCATCTCTGTGGTATTGGAGGATCCTCGCTATATCATTCAAGATACCCTAACTGAACATTCGTTTTGAAAAGAAAAAAAATTAGGTTCGTTATTATTTGTGATTAGAAGCGGGAAATTTAAAAAATAAAATAAAAAATCACAAAAGGGTGGCATTTTGCTTAAAAGAGATGATACTGCCAAGTAGCTGTAAATGCAAAAGGTTTAGACCAAATCATATATACTCTTTCAAAATGATATGGATTTGAATTATAGCTGAAGTGGAGAATAATACCGTCCCTGTCAAGTTGTAATCATATTCCTAATCAAATCATGTTTAGCTTTTGATATCCAAGGAAGCACGCAATTTAATAAAGATAACCAAGGTGCCCAAGTTTTTCTTTTTGTTTCATCCTCTCAAATTATGAGCAAAAAGAAAAATTAAGCAACTTTTTCCTTCGTGGAGAGAGTTTGTTCTTGAAAATTTTCTAATTTAATCCGAATATTCAAAAAGTATATGTTCCCTACATATGTCCAATGAAGGCCAAGATGTGACAAATATAAAATATGATTTATTTAAAAATAAAAAACTAATTCACCTTTATTTCACAAGATTATTACATACATAAACTTTGACAAACCTCATATTATACCTACATAGGTGCAAAATCATTTTTGCTATTTTCTAACACAAAGGGCTCATTTGTGAGTGATTTTGGGAGGATTAGAATTACTTATTGGGAGAACTACCTATCATGTGCTTCTCCATATAATCACTTATTTTGAGAGTGTTTTTGCAAGGGCTAAGGTATTTTTTGACAACTAAAAG